CACCCGAATTTGCTGGTTATGTCCAAGGTGCCATGCATTTGAATCGAAGAAAATGATGACTCATCAATCAATGGAGCTCAACAACGATGAAAGTTCAACTGATGATGAAGTCATGAAAGAAGGCTCTCCTGTCAATGATGACAAAATTGATGATGACGCTGTCAATGTGGAATTTGATGATCTGAATGAAGAAGAGAAAGAGAATTCTCACATGGACAGTGGTATCATAGCTGAGTCAAGTGGCAATGATGAATCAACTGATCCTGAATCGATGGAAGAAGATACAGGCCATGCTTTGTATGAACTGGAACACCAGAAAGACAAAGCAATGGAAGAATTATCAAAAATATTCGAACTATTGGACATAGATCCAATCCATGACAGGTTAATTTAAAAATTTAATTCAAATTTTCTGAAACGACAATATATTTAGATCAGCAGTACTACCCATTCGAGCCAAAGTCGATGAGGTGTATAGAAAACTTAATCGATTATGTGACATATTGGATGGAAAGGCTCAAGTTTTGCATGATCCAAATCCTCACGGACTCATGAAACGTGAATCAAATGAACTTGTGGGTAGTTTGAGAAAGTTACATGCTGATAGCGATGCTAATGAAGAAGTTCGCTTGATGACAATTGCTCCCACAGAATGCGGTCAACAAAAAATTGAAAAATGGTACGTATTTTATCCTCCTTTCGTTTGATATCGACGTATATTTCTAATCAAATGTTGCTAAAAACCTCTTTCACTTATCAGGTTCAACTCAAAGCCAAATCAGGCTCAACGATTGCTCGTTCTTCGAAAAAACAATGGAATATTAGCTTATTCACAATGTATACGAGGAAATAATCGTCCTTTATCTGATTCAACAATTGATGCTGTGGTCAAATTCTATCGTGAGGATGGCATCAGTCGAACCTCATCCAATTCCAAAGACACAATTAAAATCGACGGGCAAGCAGTGGCAGTTCGGTTTTTAGAAATGACTCTCTTGGATGCTTATCACATATTCGATGAACGACATCCTGGAGCTGTTGCAAGATCAACTTTTAATGCTCTTCGACCACGAGAAGTAAAAACCGCAACACCACATGACACGTGCATGTGTATTATCCATGAGAACATGGATCTGTTATTGAAGGTTTGTACCAGTTGTATATTGATTCGAATGTAACGTAGCTTTATTGCAGGGGTGGAACAACTACTACCGAAAATGCGTCAGTGTAGGTTCTTTATCAACTAATGACAACGTCAATATGAAGGATCTGATCACTCAAATGGTTTGCACTATCTCTAATGAAAAGTGCTTTAATGATGAATGTGATGATTGCCCAATGAAAAGCATCACGGATATTCTTACAGATAACAACATAATGGATTTAGATGACGAATGCTCATGGAATTTGTGGAAGAAAGTCAATAATAAGTTCGACCTTCAACAGATGTCTGGCTCAATTGACTCTCTATTAACGGAAATTGAAGAAGGCTGGCCATTATTCTTACTTCACACACATATTAATCGTGAACAACGTGAATGTACCAAAGACTTGCGTTGCCAATCAACGGACAAAACGTTCGTTGTTGCTCAAATAGATTTTTCAATGAATTATACACTGGTACGTCAGCGTGAAGTTCAACAAGGATTTTTTAGTCAGCACCAAGTCACCTTATTTACAATTCATCTGACCATAGGAAAAGAACAACGAAATTTAGCGATCATCAGTGATTATATGGAACACACAACGGTGTTTGTGCACTGTGAACAAAAGGTTCTTACTCAATTTATCAAGAAAAATTTTCCGTTGGTAAAGAAGATCAATTATGTGAGGTAAATTTCACTTTTCTTGAAGTTTATGTATTACGTCAACTCTTTCCTTTTATTTAGCGATGGTGCATGTGCGCATTTCAAAAACAATGCCAGCATTTTGAACCTAATTCACCACAAGATCGACTTTGATTTGGATGCTTGTTGGACATTTACAGCTACAGGGCATGGAAAGGGTGCTGGCGACGGCATTGGTGCAGTACTTAAGTTCTCGGCTAGACGTGCTACACTTTCCAAGAATATTCTCATGTCAAATCCAAAAGACTTCTACGAATTCACACAAAAACAACAACTTGAAACAGCAAGAAGATCTAACAAAGATATTCCTGGTGTTCATGCCTTCTTTCTTGAATCAGATGAAATAGAAGAAGCGAAAAACTTCGAACAACAGGTGAAAAAGGCTTTTGCTTCTATTCGTTTATGTCTGTATTGATTTAGGTACACTACAAGGAATTCGAACTAAGCATGAATTCAAATCGATCAGCAATTCAACGGTTCAATATAGTTTGACATCTCGATCAATACATATCAGGACATTTACATTCAAATAAAAATCCTTTTTAGGTCGTTTCCAGTCGATCAAATTTTTTAAAGTCAAACTTAACCCTTTACCGCCGGCTACTAGAGAACTACTAGCAAAAAATCTTTTCTCGTGCCATTGTGCTTCCCACAGTGCGAAGATACAAGAAATGTGGCCACATAAAAGATAAACTTTGCTTGGTACCTAATGGCAAAATGTTGCCTTTTGGTAACATCCGGCTGTAAGGGGTCAAAAATATTTGAAAAATGTCAGTTTTTATTGGCCTATCAAAAGCCAATATTTTGTTGTTGCTTTCAACAAGTTCTTTGATACTGAAGCGCAACTTGTCTTTCTGGCTGTCATTTTGCAGACTAGAACTGACAGATACCTTGATTTATCCTAAAACTAGCCGAAATTCTGCAAATTTGATTATGTATCTTTAGAAAATTCTTAATATTCAGGATATTGAAAGATGTTTCAGAATGTTGCATAGTACTTCTGATCGAAAAACTTCATCATACTCTGGAATATTAAGAATTTTCTAAAGATACATAATCAATTTTGCAGAATTTCGACTGGTTTTAGGATAAATCAAGGTATCTGTCAGTTCTAGTCTGCAACATGACAGCCAGAAAGACGAGTTGCGCTTCAGTATCAAAGAACTTGTTGAAAGCAACAAACAAATATAGGCCTTTAATAGGCCAATAAAAACTGACATTTTTCAAATATTTTTGACCCCTTACAGCCGGATGTTACCAAAAGGCAGCATCTCCCTTTTTCTCCCAATGGCGTGCCGAAGAAATTCGGTTTACTGATACAACAGATAAAGTATCTCTAAACCAAAATTAATCGCTCTTTGACCCAAAAGTAGAATCTATAGGAATCCGAGAAATTAATCATTTCTGTTTGGGCGCACTTTTGGCACAAAGCGAGAGACCCCAACTATTTCTTTAAGAAAAGGTGTTATTTTTCTTGAGCCTCTATAAAAATGTGCTAAAATGTATGAAAAAAATTATTGAAACGTCAAAATAGCTGTGTGCCACCATTCTCAATCAAATCATAAATAAATACTGATTCTGTGTGTCTAAAAGGCAACGTCCGGCGGGAAAGGGTTAATGATGATACGCAACATTCAGACAGATTGGACAGCTTTTTATGTCCTCCTTATACTAGATTTCTTTAGTCTTAGGTTCATGAATTCGAAGAAAATGATTGAGCAATCAAGACTTTCAATAGGATGCGCCTAATGTTTCTCAGGAAATATATTTCTTGACTTGTTTCATATTTTTGAACACAAGAAAAGTCCGAAAATAGCTTTTGAAGAAGTTTTAGGCATTTTCCTGATAGTTTTTCTATGTGTAAAAATACACCATAGGAGTTCCGAAAAATTGCTCAAAAACTCGGAATTTTTAATACAAAGTATTTCGTTTTTTTTTCATTAAAAGTGTTTTCGAGTGCATACCGGCATTTTGAATCGGAAACAAATAAAAAAAACCTTTCCAATTAAAGGATGTAGGAGAGTATTCTCTTTCAGGCATACACGCCCACCCTCGAATTTTACCCGTTCTGAATAGCAAGTAACGTGAATCCAACGCTATTCTCTGAGCTGATGATCGAGTGTGTTTAATACTAAAATTAAGTTAGAAGCGATGCAGAATATGGCACATTTAGACTATAGCTTAGATCGCCATCGTCCGGTATCTTTAGAATCAATCCTTAGATAGACAGAATGCTTCTGGATCTTTTTGAAAGATCTGAGTATCTAGAAGAGAATATTCACCCACACTCTCAAGAATACCCTCATATGAACGAGGATCTGTATTATTTATTACCGATAGAAATCCTACAACTTGAGTCATCACTTTTGCAATATTAATTGACATCTACTTATCTATTTTCTTCGAGAATGAGAATATTTGAAGAATTCCATGCAACAATAAATGCGTTGTTGCATATAATTTCATACAAGAAATGATCCTATAACCATCTTGTATGTTCAGATAATTTAAAACAAAAAAAAGGAAGAGATTAATAAATTAAATCATTATGGCTGATAGTTTCTTGAAAGTCGAATAGAAGATATTAGAACTGTTAGGGTGTGAATGTTGCTAATGATTCGTGTTGCCTTTAGGTCCCCCTCGCCACAGCCTCTTAGAAATTTTCTACTTTTAAAAAAGCTTTTATTGGTAAAATAGGAAAATTGATCGAAACACAGAAGAAACAATATTAGTTATAGAAAATATAGATCGAGTCCGACCCTAGTTAAAAAAATTCATATTAATGCTGTTCTCTTCCAATTAATCTGGCATGAGCTAGTTTAGAATACGAATCCAGATAATTTTCGATATAAGGTTGTACTGTTTTCCAAACCTAAAAAATGAAATCATATATTTTCGTCTATGAATTGATTCTATTCTTACAATTCCAGATTTAATAATGCGCGCAGCTTTTTCAAGATCAGCAGCCATAAATCGATCTTTATCACAAGTTCTGTAAAAGAAAAATAGGTATGCACTGTACATCATGCTTTTCGTAGGAACAACGATTGATTATATATGTTTCCATATCAATCGAATTGACGAACTTCTGCACACTGTTTTCTTCAAGTTTGCTAGGTAGTGGCGAAGATTGACAGTGCTTTAGAGCATTCTAGATCTTTACGGAAAATTCCAATAGCTGTTAAATTTGTTTAAATATTTGTCAATATTGGATTTTTTCTTTATTACGACTCAAGTAAAATTTTATCTCAGTACTCAACGACGATAGATAGTCACGCTTTTATTTGCGACATCCATTATATACTATAACAAGAATTTTTTTCAAATCCTGAAATAAGACAGTTTGTAGTATGAAACAGAAAAATACATACGGAATTGATTGTCGGACCAAATCATGAACCCTCTGCAATGGAGGAGTCGAAGTTAAAGGATGTAATAAATCTATAGCTTGACACGCCATCAATAATTCGATTGCCAATACTAAAACCAAAGTAGTTTAGATAAATATATAAAACATATTATTTCACCTACAAAATTCAACGTTATCAATAACTTTTAACGCTTTTCGAGCTGACCATCCACCCATCGACACATGATCTTCTTGGCCAGCGTTTGTTGATATACTATCAACCGATGATGGATGGCATAATGCCTTATTTTCCGAAACTATATAGCAATGAAAAAATAATTTAGTTACCTATTTCAAATAAAATGATTTACCAAGTGCTGCAGCTGTATACTGTGCGATCATAAAACCAGAGTTTAATCCGCCTTCAGGTGTTAGAAAAGCTGGTAAACCACTCATATTATGATTCACAAGTCTTTCCATGCGACATTCACTTAAACTACCTATTTCATGCACACCAATTGCTAAATAGTCCAAAGCCTGTAAAAAAAAGACGTTTTGCATCATCAAAAATAGAGAAGAGAAAAACAAAACAATTTACTTTAGCTGGATATTCTCCATGAAAATTATCACCTGAAACAATTTCATTACTGTCTACAAAACAAGCGGATTATCTGTTGCACTATTCATTTCAGTTGTGATAACGTTTTTAACAAAGCCAATAGTGTCCCATGATATTCCATGAATCTTTAAATATTCAATCTTAACTCGAAAGAAAATTCATTCGATAGAGCCGAACCTGTGGAACACATAGAATTGAATAAGCATCTTGTACCCGACCGGAATTACTGTGACTTTTTGATATTTCCGATGGATGTACTTCCGACGCTAGCAATGAACGTAATCGTGCTGCAACAACACTTTGTCCACGATGAGGTCGAGATGAATGAATTTCTTGATTTGAAAGGAAAAAAACCTTTTCTCAAAGAAAAAAGATCGAAGTAAAATATTTACTTGGATGTAAATGTCGAACAGTGCCACGTAATGCGTCTGTACTAAGAGCGGCAATTACATCGGCTTGCCGTGCTATTGACATTGCTCGTTCAATAGCTAAATAAAATTTAAAAAATAAAATTTTGTTATTTGAAAAACAAAATTGTTACCTTCAGCTCCTAGTGCCGTCATAAATTGTGTTCCATTGATCATAGTTAAGCCCTATCAAAAATTATAATTCTTGAGTAAATAAACGAAATTTCATTTTTTTTCTTCTTACTTCTTTTGCTTTGTATTCAATGAGACCTAATTCATTCTGTTCTAAAACTTCCCTTGCATTTCCCCAGCCTGTTTTTGGTGACCACATACGTCCAACACCCATTAAACCTAATATAAATGAAAAAAAATCAGTATTATTATTTTTTTCAAAATTTAAATACCAGCAGCTAAATGTGATAACGGAGCTAAATCACCTGAAGCCCCTACTGTGCCTTGAGATGGAATTTCTGGAATGCAAGATTCTAAATAGAAATTCAATTCAATTCAATTCGAATCAGGTTCTACGTGTATCGCCCTTACTATTGAATGCAGAAATAATTTTACGCAGAGTTTCTTCTGAAATGCCAGAATATCCTTTGGCAAGAATATTGATCCGTAATGCGAACATCATTCGAGCTCGTTCAATTGATAGTGGTTCTCCAACACCAGCACAATGTGAAACGATCAATCGAGTTTGTAAATCACTAGATATTCATAAAGAATAGGATGCATACAAGTAATCGAATAGGTGGAATAACTTACGCAAGTTTCTCATCAGAAATAATTGTTGATGCAAACGAACCAAAACCTGTATTTACACCGTAAACAACTATATAACAAAACAGAAATAGCTATTTTCTATCAATAACTTCTCGTGCTTTACGAACTGCAGTCCAGGTTTCATCGGGTAACTATTTAATAGAATATGACAGTAGATAAAGTTTCTATTGCCATGGGATATTTACCTCGATTTGATAGTCACCGGTACCAAGACGAGCAGTCATCCTATTCCACAATGTTGAACATTTCGGAACCAGTTCCGCTCCCGGAATCAGTTCCGTCGATTCCGGAATTAGTTCCTCCGATTGCGGAATTAGGCGAAAGCGGAATCACTCGGAATTCCTAGGAATTCCGGAATTACAACTTGCGTTACTATTCTATCTTGTCTTACCCATTTCGAGATGATCCCATTCCGGTCCGGAATTCCGGAATTAGGTCAATACGGAATCGCTGGGAATTAGACGGAATTCCGTACCGGAATCGCAAGGAATCCTGGGAATTGCTAGTAATTCCGGAATTACAACTTGCATCACTATTCTCGCTTGTCTCAAGACGATAATTCCGGGGTCCGGATCCTGCAGGAAACAAAAGGAAACGGCCTTTTTTCCGGCTAATTCCACTAAAATACAGTGTTTCCCTCCGGCACCGCCCGGAAAGCACCCGGAAAATGGAAGCAGAATTCTGGACCGGAAATCACCGTACCGGATCCATAACTTTCCAACAAAATCCACTTGACCGGCTCCACCTGGAAACTTCCATATACGCAATGAACTCCTTCAGGAAACGGCCATATCTGTGACGAACTATTTAACGAAACTTTCTGTACCCGGTCTAATACCGTCAAGAACTACAGCATACCTACGCGGTATCACACCCAGGAGGAAGATTAGCGTGACCGTAAACGGTCGCTAACACTATATTCACTACCCCGGGTCGATCAATCCCACAATAGGATCTGATTAGAAGCAGAGTTGACACCCTAGGATCGAAATCAAATGCAATCTTACAGCAGAAAACCGATTGATAACAAACATCATTCAACTGTCGGATGCCAGGGCGCAATCGATGATGCCGGATTCGCATTCGTCGACCTCGATAACCTATTACAAAGTATCATCAGAATTTAGCTGGGAGTTGAAATAAAAAATCTAACTTTTCAAATTTTGAATTTCTGTTTGCGGCAGTTTCTTACCAGCTCGATATGCTCGTAGGGATATGATGTAGTGAGTGACTGGTGTGATTTGATCAAAGGTCAATAACATTAGAGTGTAGCGCAACTATTTGCTGGTATCGGTATGTGTCCGAACTGTTTGAGGTCGAAGATGAGTTTGGAATATGATTGAGGAAGCGGTTTGGATACCGATACGGTTGACATATATGTCTTTCCGGTTTTGGAATTCTCGGGAAATATGTTGGAAACGTCGGAGATACTCTCACGGAAAGCGGCGTAAAAATTCCGTCGAAGATCCACTCATTTCGAACTGTTTCCGTTCCGACGACGTGTACGTGGATCACAAAAGGAACCGCCCGGATTTTTTCCTGAATTTTTCGCGCTGTTTCCGTTGGGATATGAGTGGAAAGATGGTGGGAAAATCCGTTCCGGAATACTGCTTCCGTGAAATCGCGGGAATGTCCGGGAACCGGCCGTTTCCGGGACCGGAGTGTTCGACCTGGGTTATTTTATTCGAAACAAATAAAATTAATTGTTATTTTTATGTTTTAGTTCCATTCAACAATTCAATCCAAACGGACACAAATGTAAGTATAATTTTTTTTATTTTTAAATAAACATTATTATAATAACTCAAATTTTTTCTTTTCACTTTAACTTATAAATTATTTTATGTTAACAATAAATTATTTCAGAATAACTCAAATATTTTTTTTCATATCAATAATAAAATTTGTAAAAATAATACAAAATTTTTCTTTTCATTTGAATCATAATTATTTTACGAAAAGAACAAATTAATTTGCATTTGAGGAATAAAACATTTTCAAAGTAATACAAATTTTATTCATTTCAATAATAAATATTTTCAATAACATAACTTACAAATTTTCATTCAAATAACACAAAATTTTATTTTCATTTAAATATGACAAATTTTATTTTTCATTTCACTAATAAATTTATTTATTTTACTACTAAAATATTTTATTTTACTAATCTTTTTTTTCATTTTACTAATCTTTTTTTTTTTATTTTACCAATAAATTGTTTTTGAGAAATGATACAAAAATTTTATTTTTTCATTTAAATCAAAGATATTTTCAAAAACGCAATTTATTTTTTTCACTTTAATCATTAATATTTTTTGCGAAAAATAATCTTTATTTAATTCATTTCTTTTCATTTAACAGGTAAATAAAAGAACAAGAAGAAAAGAAACATATGACGTAATTTTATACTTTTACTTTTTACTTTTCTTTGAAGCGAAAAAGTAAAAGAAAATTTCTTTTTTTTGTTCATTTATTTCAAAGTATAGAAAAAGAAACGAACAAAGAAAAAAAACAATTCACAAGTCTTTTTCGATAGAAAATCGTTGAACACGATGATTATACTCATCGGCGACATAGAGATTACCTTGTCGATCGAAAGACAAATCATAGGGGCAGTGGAACTGGTTTTCTCCTGCTCCTTCGCCATTTCCACCCACAATTACAGTGCCTTGTTTCTTGTCTCGTTGAGTCAAGCGCATTACACGATGATTCGACGAGTCTGCTACGAAGAGTGTACCCAACGTATCAACGAAGATTCCATTAGGATGATACAGTTGTGTAAGAGCATTCCCTTGACCTTGTCCTCCAGCGACCACAATACCTTCTTTTGCACCTTTATTCCATTTCATTACACGATGATTGTTGTTGTCTGATACGTAGACAGTCTGTTGTCGATCGACAAAGAGATATGTCGGGCAGTTGAGTTGATTAAGACCATCACCTTTACCATTACCACCAGCTACGAGAGTGTAATTCTTCTCACCCAATTGATATAGTCTTACTTCATGTTTTTTCCAGTCAGAGACGTAGATATTTCTCTGCTCATCCATTGCTAATCCAAAACAATAGATGTTGTCGATGAATATTTCACCTTGTGTTGTACCACTACGAAGAGACCATCGTACAACTCGTTCATTCCTTTGATCACAAATAATGAGACTATCCGTCTCGTTGTCAATTAATACATCAATTGGACAATTCAATTGATGTAATCCATTTCCTTCGCCATTACCACCAGCAACAACTTGTCCATTCGTTGTATCACCGTTCTTCCATTGCATAATACGATGATTCCCGTAGTCAGCAATAACCACTGTTTGATCATCACCAACGAAGAGACCATGAGGCCAGTGGAGTTGATTAGTAGCATTCCCTTCCCCGTGACCTCCAGCAATAGTCACTCCGTTCTGTCCCCATCTAGCATTAGCAGGAATATTATCTAGAAGAGAAAGAGTAAGAATAAAAGGAGATCTCTCTTTCTCTCTCTCGAGTATAGCTAGTATATGAAATCATTTCGAAAGTATCGAGTAAAATTCTTTGAATAGATCATTCTTTTCTTTTCTAGAAATTTCTCAGAATAGGTTTTTTTCTATATACTGAAAGATTATTCTATAGAAACAATATAGTTCCCTCTAATGCTCTTTTTTTTTGTTTACAATTATATCATATACACTGTAAACTAGAAAATACATTATAGAGTATTATGAAAGATATTCTAGGAAAGCCCATACGAATTCAATGACGAATTTCTATATACTTTCTTGAAATACGATATTCAATAAGATAGAAATTGGAAATTTTCAATTTCAAATGTATAGAGAATATAATAAGATTTTATCCTCAAGAGAAACAACTAACTAGTTATATTGTCTTCATCAATCTGTTCTATATGAAACTATAACTTGATGATAGATAAAAATGAATGATAGAAACTAAAATTTTAGGATTCCATTAAAAAGAGGAAAATTTTCTAAGAAGAAAAAGTCTAAATGTGTAAATATTTCGATCAGGAAAAAATGACTTGAAATACGATATACTCATAATGTTAAATGCAATAATATAATATCAGAGTTCATGTATAATTCCACAAAAATAAATGATTATAAATATCTATTTTGTGGTGAGAAAATTTTTTATTTGCAATATTCTTTTCGTGAATAAGAAATAAATGGATATATTATGTGTTTGTTCATGTAAAATGGACTGACTCATGTGGATTCGAAAAATAATATAGTTGATTTGCTCGCTAGAGCTGGCAGAGAAAATAATAAATGCACTATACACACTGCCGACTATAACTTATATACACAAATGAACAATAACTTTATAAAGGTCATAATCCAAATGATTTTCTAGAACGTGACGCCAATTTTTTACTTTTGGTAGAATTTATCTTGATTTTTCTATAAAATTGCAATTGAATTTCTATAATTTAGAAAATCAAGGATTTTCTGAATATTTAAAATTCGACGAATGAATAATAAAAATTCGAAAATGCTTCAGCTTGTTTAAAGTCGATTTTCTAAAAAGTAGAATTTCAAAAAAAATTTACAGTGTATTATACGCGTTCTACTATTTTCCTATGATCAAAATATACTTTTGCTAGAATCTTTTTCGTTTTCTCTTAAATAGAACATTTCTTACTTCTAGAATATTTTTGACTTATAATTATAATGGAGCAATAGAAATATATATCGGAATCAGAAATAATTCTCATTTAAATAAAGAGTATAAAATAACTTCATGAAATATTATATGTAATTCTATACAAAAATGATTCAATCGCAAACACGCAGCACAGTACCCTGGTGAAACATCTTGTAAGCAAGATCTGGAAATCTTGGGATTGGTAAGTAAGATCATCGAAAGATCATGGAAAAGATATCGTTTACTATTATCTTCTCACAAGATCTTGAATAAAACAGAAAGCAACATCATTAGTTGATTTAGATACCCAGGTCGAAAAATCTGACGCCAGATCGTACAAGATCGGATAAGACCTTACCCTCATAAGATTTTTCGTATGGTCTTGTCATAAGATCAGATAATATCGTATGTATTCGGTTTTCAAAAAATTTCATCAGATTCTGACCATAAGATGCCAGCAAAAATCTTATAAGATTCGAACATTAGGAAACATATAAGAATAGACTGAACGCTTCTTATCAGATATTATTAGATCGTATATGATTCGTACAGAAAGAAACATATGCCAGTACATAATGTACATCTTGTCTATTCGTATCCAATCGTGCATGACGTGTCCTGCTCTTTCACATATTCAAGAATTATTGAATCGATTCGTTTTAAAATCCGAAACAGTATTAAAAAGAACCGGTCCGACCACTACACCGATCATTTCCCTATCTTTCTTTGTTAATCGTGCCGAAAACAGTCACTTATATTTCTTACTTTCCCATATTAATAATTTTGGAAATCATAAACTCTATTTTTTCATATCAATAATCAGGTAAAACTTAATTTTCTTGTGTAGTTTTCAATATCAATCAGATAGAAAAATTTTATTTTTATGCATTATTTTTCTAAATTACTAATATAGAAAATTTTATTATTTGTTTTCTACATTTCTATATGAATAATATGAATATTTTGTTCTCTTTTGTATTTTTCTACATCAATGATGTAGAAAATCCCATTTTTAGTTTTGTAGTTTTCTATATTAATGATATAAAAAATCCCAATTCTTGTGGTATATTTTACTATATCAGTGATGTAGAAAATCTTTATTTCTATTTTTCTATAGTAACAATGTAGAAAATGTTGATGTTAATTTTCTAGTGTTCTAGAATATTAGTATAGAAAGTGAATTTTGTAAGCATACTTTTTCTGGGACTCTTCAGGTATCAGTTTTATTGTGGAAGAGTAACCCGTGGTGAAAGTACCTCTTAATTAGGTTTATTAATTAGAGTGCTCTTGGATATATGAAGTTAAATTGAATTTGAATTCTCAGAGAGAGGTGTAATGTAACGAGTTGTGTATATTTCTAAAAGAGTTACTTAAAATCTTAGAATAGGATTTTAGATAATCATGCAAGACTGTATCGTTGGACGATATAAGAATCTTGTTGTAAGAATTGACGTAAGAAGTCAGAGACGACGATTTTTGTACGATTTTCTGTATGATCTTGTATGATTATATACGATTTTAGTGTGTGACCGGATATGATCATATAAGAATTCGTGTCTGATATTACTATACGATTTCTCGACCTGGGTAGAATATCCAGTCGTGCATCCCCAGGTCGAGCAATCATATTGTAAGATCTGATAAGATATAGCATCTGATCTTATATGATCTTGCACGGTCATGCGATAATCATACAAAAAATCGTAGTTCCTGAGATCTTAGATCAGGTCGAACAATCAGATTCTTCAAAGATCATATTAATGTGTAAGATCTTTCAAGAATCTGATTGTGTGAATAGATCTAAGATCTCAGGAACTACGATTTTTTGTCAGATTCTTGTAAGATTTCTCCCGTATTCCACGATCTTGTATGTGTTTCATAAGATCTTGTGTCAGATTTTTCGACCTGGGTCATTCTTTTGTGCATACAGAACTGAATATAAGCAACATGATTGAACATGTACAACATAATTTTTCAAGATAAGTTGTTTTCTAAACTATTTCTCAACGACTCTTGATTATTCGAGAGAATGCTGATCTCGATCATCGATCGAGAGAGGACTACCCGAAATTGGTCTGACGAAAATCGGACCAACTTAAAGACGGTCAGATCCCATTAACATCTGAGTTATTCAGGACAGAAATAATTATTATTAAAATAAATTGAAAAAATATCAAACATGCTTTCAGAATGCATCATTTAAGATCTTATGAATTCTTCCTTAAGATCTGTATCCAAGATATTACTTACAAGATGTTTCACTAGGGTAAACTCAACCTTCTAGCAACGCATTGAAGCAGTTAAAAGAATTTAAAGTTGTCTTATTTTTCTATAGTCAATAAATGGTCCAAAGAACGAGGGTGTGGGTGTATCGCGAGATAATTAATCGAAACTCTTGTAAGTAGTACACAACCAAGAATACTAATGAAAATTGAATCGATTTTCTAATAATTTTATTGGCATAAATAATTTGCCGAACTCATCGAAATGTAAAATAAATATTTTTATTATTATTTAAAAGCAAGCAAGAATGTTTGGACAATACCGACTGTGATTCAATATCATATAGTTGTGAAAACAATTGTTTACTCAAACTTGTCTAGATAAATGATGAATAAATAGTATTCATGCATAGTCTATTTTAGTTAGTTAAATAGATAAATTTGAGATCGGGCGAATAGCATTGAAAATCTAGTTAGTGTAATCGTGTCTAAAATTTCAGCAGTTATTTCTTCTTCAATGTAAAACAGTTTCATTCAATACTTTGTTCAGCTTTAAGAGTATAGAGCACAATCAATCCTCAATAAAATTATATAAAACTTTTAAAGTTCCTTAAAAATACAACAAAACTGAAGAAAATAAGTGAATCCTCCTGTACTGTATATTATTCTTTGATAGTTTGTGGGATGCATACATTTGAAATTGTTCATCGAAACGTGTACATGTTGGAATAGTATTGAGAAACAAAAAAATCTGTCATGTTTTGTATCATTACATTTTTCGAAAACATGTCATTTTTAATTTGTGAAGCGATGAAAATGAGAAATGTCATATATGATAGTAAATCACATATTTATTCTTGTGTCTCTTTTGATAACAAAATCTCTTCAAAGTTAAATGCTTAAAATCACTAGATTTGTAGAAAGACATATTTTTGTAAAGATTGTCAAAAAATGATTGATCAAGAAAACGGAAAACAAATTAGTTTGAATGACAATATTTTCTACAATGATATAACTATCGTCATGTAACATAGAACAAATGATTCAATACGATAAACGATGAACTTGAAAAGACTCATAGATAATGTGTTATCTTCCTATTGCAACTTCAATATGATTTTAACTCATTGACAAATATAAAAGCTTTACGATCATCTAGTCGTATTCTTGTTTCAAAACTTTGTATACATGAAAAGATATATTTTTAGAATTAGGAATGCGTTCAATATCGTACATAAAAGCGAAATAGACACCCAGCTCCTTTTTTTTGGAAACTATATAAGTTAGTCTGAAAGAAACAGGGTATCACTAAAATTATTCTTGATGAGAAAAGAACAAAAATATTTCTAACTCTATATTACTATTATAAGTCAAGCGACTGTAAAATATACTGATTGAGTCGGTACTTCTCGGCCAATGTCATCATTTTGCTTTGTTTATTTTACTACGGATTGAATTCAATGATCTTACTGTAACGTTATATGCGGAGAGCGTCCAAATTCTATCCGGGGGGTGTAATGCTCTCGTCCGAGTGTAACCTATACATAATATCTGGTCTTATGGTGCCATTTATTCTAATCACACCTATTGCCTTTATCTTTCTGTTCTTTACATTTGTCTTTATCTATCTGTCTTCTTCGTTCTCTCAAATGGTTGAGTATTTAAGCGTGTGCTTTATATGTAATCGATGCGATTTATGATATGAAGAGTTAAATAAAGCGTAATACCATCAGCACAAGCATCTCTTCTATCTAAATTCGTCACACTTACCATTTATTCTCTTTTCTTTCTCATATATCATCGAATGATTATTTTCCCAATCAATAGCATATAATCTATTATTTCATGAATTCGATTATTGTTACAGATAGTCGAAGACCAGAAAACACAACGCGAATTATTTTCAGTCATATTTTCAAGTCGATCCTTCAGTGAAAAAGTTGTATTAGTGAATTCTCTAAGAAAAAAATGTAAAAAATATTTGAAAAAGCTAGTTATACATCTAGTCAAGAATTTCTCAGAAATCGAGATAATAGCACTATAGAACAATTGATGCAGCAAGTAAATCCAACAGTAAGACGGCGAGTTCTTTTAATTTTTAAATTGATAAAGAAGTTATGAGTGAAATTGAAATAAACAAGCGTGAAACGCGTAACAGAACTTGATTGATAGTAGTCAACATGAAAAAACTATTTACATCTAGGCGTATAACATGCAACTATTGCTTCTTTTTAACAAATCACTTGTAATCTTTTCTAGTTGTTTTCAATACATTATCCAAAGACTTAAATATCGATAGTAAAAGTTTTCCTGTGTGTATATAACTTTGATACATCTTTAATCTCTTCGGTCGAATCATTTATTTTATGAATAAACATTAAAGTAATATATTTGTATAGATAGTGAAGTTAATTTCACTTGTCATTGTCTTCGAACAACTAATATATATATGTATAATGATTATTCATTCGATGAGAAAAATGACCTTTACTATGCATAGATGTATTCCAAAGAGTGGCTAAAAGCAAAAATCTCATTTAACATCGAGTGATAATAGACAAACTGCAAAATCATACTCTGTTCCCTAGTTTCTAATTGAATTTCAATTTTCAAGAAGTTCCTATTCGTTGAAGAACTCATTCGTTACAATCTTTTACTTCGAATAGAGTAAGAAGTGTGTGGGTGTGGGTGTGGAGGGTGGGTGTTGATGTTCTGGACATCCACACCCACACATCCACACTTAATCTACTTATTGTTTTCCCTGAAGGCATAGTTGATTGATGGTAGATCATTTCTCTATTTAGTAAGCATTATACTTGTATTATCTTTCGAACTCACCAATTGGATTGAAATGAATTGGTAATGAACCAATAATAGGTACCGGTTGTAAAAGTGGAGATGGTGGCGTAGTTTCTTCCAATTGAATAATATGAAGATTATCTTGATTAAGACAACCCATTGCTTTGAATTGAGTTGCAGCCATTAGAAGTACTTCATTTTCAGCTGGAAAGTATGAATGATTTCGAATGTCTCTAGCTGATAGACATTGTAAAGTAAACATCGTTCTAGCCCCTGTCGTTCCCAAGAATAGTGCTGATTTTAAAACATCAATAGTTGTTGTGCAAGATGAAAATCCCCACCAAACGATTGTTTTCCCTTTCGTATAACGCTCGGTTAGATCTAATTTGACGCCCCTATATGCAGTTTTCGGTAGTGACGGGAGACGGAAGAGCGCATTAAGAAACAGCCTCAGAAATAAGTACCATGGTTCAAGACTTTGCTGACGATCTGGGGATCTTAATGCACTGTTCAAAGCGACATACAGACATTTATCAAGCGGCTTCCAGCTCATAGTGTATAACATGATTGAGGCAGATTCATCTTGTGTCAATCCATCGGCAGGATTCTCACATCTTTGTTTGGCAACATATGCATGACTTTGTACAGTTGGTAGAATAGAAACAAGTGGTTCGACAGCTTTTTCAAGTGGAACCAGTGGCATTTCTTCATAACCACCAATGGGTGCGATAAATTGAAGTGGCTCATCGATGATGTCAGTAATACGTAACATACGTTGCGCTATCGCTTCTTCTCCTCCTCCTGCTGTGGCCATGGTTATTAGAAAGAAAACTCTTTCCGATGATTAATATCTGAAAAGTAAAACAAAGACACATTCATAGTGTTATTTTCTATAATGTTCATCTATTTTTATCTCAATATAATAATTAAATTTTCACAATATTAGACAAAAAATATGTGCGCCTACAAGCCCTTTTTATTATTGATCATTATGATTAGTAACAATCAAATAAATAAAATATTCAAGTTGTTAAAAGTAAGAAAACAAGGTTTAGTTTCATGCCATATACTGTTTGAAACATCAGTCTTGAAGATAGCTGCTATGGGAATTTCCTCTGTCGATTCAGAAACTTTCGAATAAAAGACTTTTTAACAATCTTTTCAAACAAAATTTTACTATTGTTGCAGTATTTTGGGGTGTAGGTGTGAGTATTTTTTACTGACTGACACTCGCACCCACACCCACAAGGAAAAGACAGAAGTATATAATGTACATATTATAGATGCAAAGTTTCTACGAAATACAAGGAAGTTATACAATATGTCAATTCAATATTATAGTGTTCATATTTTCTATTGTTTTTGAATATTCACTTCAACAAGTATATTTAAGTTAGAATATGTTCGTAAGAATAATGTGTATTCATTGTTTTTCATAACTTCAACGATGAAAAAACTTCTTGTGTGTTGCTTTTATGTAAAAACAGATTCACAAATCCATTTAAATCTCATTACTACTCTACTTGTTTCAAAAACTTATATTCACTGATCTATACTTCAGGAATTTTCTCTACTCATTCTACCTCGGTGCCACCTGACAAAAATTTTATAGTATAAACTCCTAACCTTATGTGTGCTGGACGATATATTTTCCACACACCTATGATCAAAAGACACCCTGTATTAACTAATCTAAAGCTTTCTCTTTATCGTTTTCCGTCGACTTCTATATGAGATGAGCCTTACATTGGAGTCACTTCATGTAGCCGATACATTGTTCTGTTGCTGAAATGTTTTCATCTTTATTAGGTGACGCAACTTTATGAATATAAGGTAAACTTAAAGTTTGTTTTTATTTTACCCACGGAAAAAATTATACAAAACCGCGGTATTATTTTGATCCCATTCAAAACCGCGGTGTACTCGATAATAACCGCGGTTCTGAATATAGCGGTTATTAACGGTTTTCCAAATCGCGGCGTACTCGATAATAACTGCGTTTCAAAAAGCCGCGGTTGCGTGCGAGGAACCGCGGTGCATACCGAAGTGTCAAGGAATGTGAAAGGACATTCGAGATGTCGTGCCTCAAAATTCTGGCAAATTTTACTTATTTCACATACATAATATAAGAACTCTACAAAGACACTTTGTGGAAATGGGGCTCGCGAGAGTTCACTTCACTGCTCCTCGAAGGGCGTCACACCTGAAACCTTCAAGGTGCAGGTTATGGTCGATACACTTGCTCCTATTGAGTCTAGTGTATCGAAAAAACTGCTGTAAGGAGCGGTATTAAAAGCCGCGGTTTTTGGATATAACGGTAGTCAGACCATTTATGCGTTTCAAAAAAATCACCCAAAACCGCGTTGTTCGAAACCACGGTTTTTATCGGTTTTCAAAACCGCGGGAGTCAGACCATTTATGCCTTTCAAAAATACCGCCTGAAACCGCGGTTTACAACGGTTTTCAGAACCGCGGTATGCGACGGTTTTCAAAATCGCGAAAGTCAGACCATCTATGCGTATCTTTAAAACCGCGGTTCTGGGCGGTATTAGAGATACACATAGATGCTCTGACTTTCGCTATTCGAAAATACCGGCTGAAACCGCGGTTTTTGTGACCGCTGATTACCGCGGTTTTTTGAAAAAATTTTCTCCGTGGGTATATGCCATTGAAATAGCCACAGCATCAGTAGGATTGATTTCAAACTAACATTTTGTCATGTATAACATTAGTGCAGGCCAGACAAGAATTTACAACTGCTGGCTAAAACTTTCTATTCATAAAAAAATATGGAAGCTTTAGTTTTCATTCAATAGAGACAGTTTATCGGATTCAAAATGAGTTTATCCTAATCTGGTTTAGTGAAAACTAGAACTATGATGTCTCATTAGTTTTCATAGAAAAAGAAATGAAATTTTGAGTGTTTATAGCGCGTTGAACATGACTGATTGACGGATAAAAATAGTTACTGAATAAGGAGCTAAATGTTGTAATCACATCATTGAGGAAAATCGCAAGTTTGACCACAAATTCACATAAAATAGTCGTTAATTTCTTCTTTCTTTCATCATTCTACTATTCATGTATTTAGTGTAATAATAGAGATATGGGTCAATCTTCTAATATTTTACTCACCACGAATCAGAATTCGAAATAAATAAAATGTTGTTGCTATTGTTGAAAAAAATTCTTACTACCTACATCGTTTGCCTATTTTTTTCCTGGTGACTTCTTATCTGTATTTTACGATATGACAGTATTTATCTTCTCTATTTGCTCTAGCTCCTTTTATCATGCTTCTCAAACCGCATAATAAAATGAATTCTATTAAAAAGAACTGCATATTGAAACACTGAAATATTCAGTAAGCGAGTAGACGATGGAGGGGGGACAAAGCACAATAAATTCTTATCTCTATAAAATTTAATTCTCTGTGATTTCAAGTGACTAGTTTCTTTTTAAAAAATCGATGTTGATTGTAACTAGAAGACGAGACATTAAGCCTCTGCTCGATCTTTCGATTATTCTATTTGTTAAAATATTTTGCATCTATTTTAAATTGAGATAAAAATAAAATCAATAAACTTATACCACGATTCGATACTTGAGTATCTTGTAGTCAGTTGGTTATGAATAAAATTGCACATTCGTTAAAAAAAACAATTCAATCACAGCACTTTAACTTGAATGATTTTTGATCGCATCAAAACTGATGATCAGGCACAATTTTGAACTGAAACATCTGATATCGGTTTAGAAACACGATATATCTTATGAGAATGTTCATGCGTCAAAAACGAAAATACAACATATTCTTCAAATCAATAGTATAACAATCTCAATAGTTTCGATGCTCGAACAATGACAACTTTGCCCGGTCCTGTCTTCAAACTAGGACAAAAAAGTCTCGTATTGCAGCATAATTCTGTTCTCGAAAACAATTACACAATTACCTACAAATGCTTCGATCTAAATTTATTTTCTCTGTGAATAAATTTTAAATTATTATCTAGAAACAAAGAATCCAACTTACTCATTTTTTATGTTAATATTTCATCATAAGATACATATTGTAAATCGTCAGTTTCCAGTTTTAATGATGCAACATTTTTTTTAATGGTCTCTCATTTTACTCTTGTGCACTCAACTGAACAGATGCAAGATTTTATGTTGACTATTAATATTACATTTTTAAGACGTTGTGTACCGGTAGTTGTAATTACTCAGTTGCAAGCTTCTTTTCAGACATTCAATTTGATCTAATAGTTGTGTTATTTAATAAAAAAAGATAACCAAACAAAATTTTTCTCTTAAATTTTAACCTTGAACCATTTGATTTGATTAAAATATCATATTTTTCAATAACAGTCGACTTTTTTTGGCAGCCTAATAAGAAAAGGAGGACTCCTTCGACTTACGCATACACATACGTATAGGATTTCATGATATCAATTTTATTATTCTCTTTAAAACGAACAAAAATAAGCAGAGAGAGAGAGATCGTATTTATTTTATGTTTCAACTTGATCGTTCATTTGACACACGAATCAAAAAGATTTCGCATCTGATTTTGAACCAAAATTTTATTGTTGTAGTACTATTACAAACATCCAACTTCCATACCTTTAAAAACAACGTGTAACGGATGGGCAAGAATAAATGCTGGATAAATTAATATATAAGTGAATGTTTATAATTACAAAATCAAATTTAAATATAAATGAAAAAGACAAAGAAAAAACAATTTTTGTGTTTAGTTATCATCCAATGTGTTTATATTTAAACTGTCACTACTATCCATATTCAATTCTTCCTGTTCTTCAAAAGGACGTTTATGTGATACGGATGATGATGACGATGATGTTGTTGCTGTTGAATGAAGACGTATATGCTTATTAAGATTAGATGGATCACTAAATGGTCGAAAGCAAACTCGACATTGCAATGGTTTATATCCTGTATGTGTACGAAGATGAATTTTTAATCCATATTTACGATTATAAACCTAAAATATGACAAAAAAAAATGTGCAACTAAATTTTACATGACGCTAAATTTACTTTGCCACAAAAGAGACATAAATGAGCTTTACGTTGTCTTCCATCATTGTCCAATGAAGTGAATTCTAATGCATGTGTACCATCGAGTACACTCATCTTATACGATGATACATCACTTGATGAAAATGGAATTGGATGTTGTAGATCATCAGGTTTTTCTTTAATTTCCTCGTCTTTTTGTTTCTCATGAATAAGAGGATTTACAGGAGGAGGAGATGATAACGATCGTTTTGATAATGAAAAATCTATTGAGCATTTTTTTGTTGGAGACGCATGAACGAATAAGCGTTCATTAAGATTAAGATTAACTGATGAAGTTGCATCACGACATTGATCAAGAAGTACATGTGCAACCAAAACATTTAAATAATGTTGTTCGACTTTACATCGAGGACATCGTGTAGCTATTAGTTAAAAAAGATCCAATGTTTTTCTTTTTATAAAAAGGATAAAAAAAATAATCTTACATTTTAAAAGTTCTTCAACTTTAAATATTTTTGTTAATTTAATTTTTTCACATATCGAACGCAGTTGTGAAAGACTAAACCAAGCAAGTAGTGGCTCATCGGGAACAACTAAACGTGTAGTTCGAAAACCAAATAAGCTTGTTTCAGCCGATTGAAATAATTCAATATTTTGTTCATCTGGCGTACGAGCACTTTTTATTGCTATAATCCATTCTTGAAAAAGCCCGGGTCCAATTAAATGTTGATTCCAAGCATGAATCTACAATAATTAGCAAAAGAAAAACAAATAGAACACAGTTCGAGCTTTAAATAGCTTACCGGAATTTTATTGTAATGTAGATTATGATCATAAAAGTCAGTTAAAAGAAAATTATATGGCAATTGATGAAGAAGATACACCACTGAACCTTCTTTTAATGTTGTAGCAGCAACAGCTAAAGGTTTTATTGTTGCTGTTGTTTGTGGAGAATTTCCATTAGCAACATTAGCATATTTAGGAATCGGTTTGATTATTTTAACATTCGACATTTTAACTCAGCAGCAAAAAAAGAATGATCGACTATACGGTAAGACCAATCGTGTATAGGTATATAGCATGTATTGACAGGTGAAAGAACTGATTTATTTTTCTTTCTCTTTCGCTCTGTCTCTCTCTCTCTCTCTCTCTCTCTTGAAATTATGTACCAATCGGAGACGAGAGAAATCAAATAGAAGACAGAACGAAGTTACCATTGGGGAAAAAGGTATTTCGATGGTGTCAATCATCAAGTATGTATGTACAGATACTATTTGCTTAGTACAAAGTTACTAATAAAACAATGAATAGAAAATGACAAAAAAAAGAAAAACGTGAAAGAAAAGAAAAGAGAAACGTAGATAGAAGTCATGAAACTGTTCTGCTTATGTCTTATTACACCACTTAACTTGTTGCCATAGAAATTCATCATATTGACGAGTCAAATTTCATTCAAGTGGAAGAAATACCTTCAATCACCACCATCATCATCATCTGCCTCCACCTTCTTATTCTATTCTCTTGTTGTTGTGTTTGATTGTTCCTGTCTAATGACCAAAGACAATTTAATTGGCATTGAGTACTTATTGTCGTTTATCGTTTTCACACCTCTCTAAACTCATAATTATCTTTGGTCAAGGAAGAATAAGACACATAAAATTCTATCATTTGCGATTCAATAGACTAAAGTGATAAGCTGAAAATATGTTTTCAAACTAAAGAAAGACACCGCAAGAAAACGACAGCCGACGTTTTTCTCATCGGTGATTTAGACGCTAATTATTACAGACACGTGTTGCTTGCTGTTCCGATGTATGGATTTTTTTCTTCGTCGTCTTCTCTTCTTTTTACTGTTGACATCCAATCCAATGATGAGCATACTCTTGGGTCTTCTCTCTATTGTTCATTCACCTCACTTGAATAGGCTTAGATGACAAACAAACAGCACGTGTGCATTCTTTCTCTTTACTTAATGTGTTCGATTAGCGCACTTTTTTTTTTGAAATGTACAAAAAGTGTTTTCGTTACCTCTCTATTATACCGTTTGTCTATGTGATGAGCGACTCTTTTTTCCACTCTACAAGTGGGGATCAACATAGACGATTATGTTTTGATCTTGTACTCATCCTGATAGTATTTATTGATAGAAGAACAAATGACATTGACATAGGAGATTATAGATGAAGAATATTTCCTACTGTTTTATTTATTAGACTTTCAATCGTACAAAACTCATTGTGCTGATAATTATTGAAGATATTGATTAGAAAAAGCTTCAAGATTGACTCCATGGTCTATTGAGCATTAACAATGTCACATCTGCAAATGTATCGTTAGTACTTATGAAAACATTCAATCGCTCAGAAACAAAAAATAAAAGGGAACTTTCAGTTGCCAAGTTGTATTTATGTAATCATTTCTAATTCGATAAAAAAAAACATATGATGTAAATTGACGCTCTCTCACATGCTTATGTAATTAAAATTTCTTTTCAGAAATAAAAGATTCTCATGGAACCTTTGTCGGGTAGGAAAAAGAAAGCGAATCTGAAATTGGATATATTCCTTGAATAAATAATTCATCAATCTTTGTTTCATTAATAAACACAATAACTCTTATATCTCGAAAGTTCTATTCATGAATATCAATAGCGTGCATAAAAAATAATAAATACAATCTTAAAAAGAAAACAACAAACAAGATCTTATGAAAAACATGAGCCAAGTTGACATGCTTCGCAAAAAGTTGAATTATGTTCTGCATGCATATTTCCTTTACGTTGTAATAAACGTCGAACTGGCTGAATACCATTATGCGTCATATCCCACTGAATCGATGGAATAGAATCAGGAAAATAATGTTCAAACATTGTCCATGCTAATTTTTTCATGACCCGGCAGATTTCATCTAACGATAAAACGACAATTTACTTTCGTCTTTTTTTTTTTGTTCAAATCTTACCGAAATACCACAAAGGATGTACAATTGAATAACAATATTGACATTGTTGTGTATAGAGTCGTAATAAAACAATACCGCCTTCGTCAGGTTTCGATACATAAAATGTACAACGTGCACGCATTGATGTCCAACGATGTCCGCAAATATCACATTTAAATTGTGCTTTTGCATTTTCTGATTGTTCTATTGAATAGATTGCATTCCATGCTAGAGGACATAATAAAAGTGCATCGTAAGGCATAAGACGATAGTCAATATTATGTGTCATAGCAGTTGCCATGATCAATCGGCCAAATTCACCGTGCCAAGTCCAAGCGGTATTTTCACAAAAATATTTCTTATCATCATCACGTATATTTGCTGCTTTGTGAGCTGAAGAAGAAGAAAAAAAATAGATACAGACAACTTAAAGAAACAAAGTGTTGAATACCATCATCAGTAATTGTTATTGGTTCATTTGAATAATAAAATTCGAAATCACAGTCATTAGAAAAATCACTGTTGCTATCAACATCACTATTATCATAACTGATACCAGAATCATTTGCTGTATAATAAGAAGAAGGACTATCGGATAATAAATCGTTTGTATTATTGTCATCAACGACATTGATTTTAGATACTACAGAAAATGGGTAAATTTGTAATTGTTTCATTTCGTCGTACGAAGACAAAAAAAAGATGGGAATGATCTATAGACTTGATTTATAGATGACGAGATATATTTTTCTTTCGTTCTTTATTTTAAATATTCAAGTCTCCTCGTGGGTTAACTATATATTTCTATCTTATATACGAAAATGTTTATACTAAGAATAAAAGAGTTATTGCTTATTTCCGTTTGTATTTTGATGCGAACGTCCTAGTATTGAATCATTATGATCCAGTGCAGACAAAGCTAGAAAATAGATAGCATCAGGCAATTCATTTGTATAGACTTGTACATCATATGTATTCGGCAGAATAAGTGATGATAGTCTTTTTCTTATTCGAGCAAGAACATAACTCGGTGCTAATTCATCTCGAATTTCACTTGTGAATGAAAATGGTAGATGTTCCAAAAATAAACGTCGATTTCCATATTGAATATTGTATCGAAATAAAAACTGAGGAAAAGTTCGAGTAATTTTACCAGGAATCCATTGATTGTAGAACATATCAAATATTTGAATGTCAGAATCGTATACTGAAAAATAGAATCGTAATTTATTTGATTGAACAAACATATAAAATCCATATCTTACGCCACATGACGAAGTTATTTTTAATTGAACCGACTATTTGTCGTTGTGGATATGCAAAAAGTTCTGCTTTTTGAAGAAAATCATAACGTGATTCGAGCCGAAAGAGTAAATTTCTATTGAATCGATCGTAAATTGAAAATTCACCAGATTTTAATCCATTGAAAAAGTCTTTTTTAGCAACATATTCACGAAATATCTGCTGCGATTGAATTCTTGTGCACAAAAAAAGATCGATAAGTAAGATGATAATCGAGTTCGGCGACATTTTCAAGAGTACCAACAATCAAATGACATACTCTTTTCTTACTGTCGAGAATATATAATATAAACAAGGATATATTATGCAGAAGAATTCTATTTTTAGTTGAATCCATTAACGTTGGTATCGTATAATTAGCATTCGAGGCTGCGTATATTAGGAGAAGCCCTCGGTTCCTTGCTCCGTTCTTTCCATTAGACAAGATGGATTCCCTATTAATTTATTGTAGTTCTTTATTTTTAATTATCCAATAAAGAGATGACGAAAACGAATACATAAAAAAACAAGAATAAATGAATTCTAAATGATATTCTAATCAAGTGAAAGATTTCTATGAATTACATAAGCACGCTAGTAAACGAAAATCTATTTTTTTGTAAATGAAAATCCTTCTTTTTCCAAAAAATTCATCAGACTTGTACGGCCAAATGCTGATGCTGGTGTAAAAACGCCACCTCTAGAAAAATCAAAAATAGAAATAAATACTAAAATAAATTTCTTGTTTCTTACTTGGCGGGTAAACGATCATTTTCTTGAAGTAACATAATTGCACAAGCAATTGATAATTTTGATGTTCCAATATATCCTGGATCGATGCCTGCGAATTCATGAATTAGTTTTTGTTTGTTTTCCGTATGAGTTACAAAAGTCATATTAAATGAAGTTTGTTCACACTATAATAAAATAGATTTAGAACAAAGTCATTTATTTTCATTTTTGATTTACGTCATGTCGTGTTGGCCCTTCTTTAGTAACTAAACCACCAGAAAAAAAACGTGGAAACTAAAAAGAAAACAAGGAAGTAGAATGGCTATCAACCCATCGATATTAATTACTTTAAGTAATAATCTCATGCCAAGTTTAAATTTCGTAAATAATGAAAAAATTAAACCATATAATATAACTTTAACAACGGCAGCGAAGGAAGACAATTGAAAATACGGTAGAAAACGAATCTAAACGAAAATTTCTCTATATAACCTTAGTCGGCACAAAATAGTCTTACCGGTTTTTTATTTAACACTGTGTAATTAAAGTATTGCGAACGTTGCACAACAGATTTATCACTACCAATAAATGGTATACTCCAAAATGATTTTCCATTAACGGTTGTTTTTGTAAATGATTTACTAAATGTCAAAGAATAAATCTTGAGGGCGATATATATTTTTTTATTAAAGTAAAATACCTTTTCATTTTATAATTTGCATATGGTAATTTTTGTGGAAATAGTTTTCGACGAATTGATTGTAATTGGTAGGCCTGAGATAAGCCATAAACAGCTGATTCCCATGTTGCAAAGTGAATCAGACCACGACTCACTGGTGACATTGAATAGTTTATGACGAAAAAACTTTCAATCAATGCAATATCTAAACTTAGATAATGATTTTTATGAATAGAAACTAGGTAATACAATGGCTACCAATATTCTTTGTTTCACATTCTTGTCGAATCATTTCAACGCCAAGATCAGCAACAAGCGAATCAAAACCACAACTACCAACAATTGCTATTTCATTTTCTTTAGCCTGACCATCATATTGCAATTGAGTTGTTTCAAGAAACTAAAACAAATCAATAGGATACTTCGTTTGTGATTCGATTTCTTCTTTTTCTCCCTCCACGTACTTGCGGTTCACCACATATATCAATATAATGCGTACGTGCTTGAAGACAAGCTTGTACTACAGGTTCGCCATAATGACGATACTAAAAACAGAGTGTTTTTATTTAAAAAAACAATGTATCCTTCACGCACTGGTCCAACACAATTGAGCAAAACTTTCGTGCGACCACACATATCAACTAACGATTGTTGATTTGTAACATTTGCAATAATCGTATCGATATTTGATACCAAATTTTCAATTCCTATACAATATGAAGAGTTGATTTATAAAAGAATATCTTCATTGTTCTTTGTAAGAGTATCCTCCGCACATATGAAACCATTTTCTAGCTAGCTACCGGCTATAATTATATCCTCTTACTCATCCTAGGCACCTGTAACAGTTGAAGCGTCTTCAAGACTTTGGTGTAATTTGTCAACTGTACGTCCGGCTACGCCCCATTTAAATCCGAACTGTTTCGCTTTTCTTGCCATTTCTTCGACGATATATTGACCCGTAAAACCGGTGGCACCAAAAATAAGAACATCAAGTCGTTTCGACATTGCTTTATCACTGCTGCTATCGAATCTGAAGTAGAATGCGATTTCAAATATCAACATTTGTGTTGAATTTCTCTGCAGATAGATGTTATCTGTTCGATCAATACACTTTTATGTGTTCTCTATGAAAGAAACACAGAAATCAAGTCCGTTTATTTATTTTATTTATAAATGTATGTACAGAGTGCAGGAAAAATAATAATAATAATCAAGTTTAGATGCTAAAACACCAGTAACAACAACAGACATGTCTTTTTTCTTTCTTCTTGACCACCACGAATATTTACACGAAAAAAAACACAGAAAAAGAGAAACGTAACATACAATAATGAGACAAATTTTAAGTAGCATAAAGAACCGGTTTTCATTTTTTTTAAAGTTTTTTTGCGAGTTGTTTATTGTATCAATCCAGAGTATAAATATGAATAGAGAGCTAAAAACAAAGAATTTCAACGTTCTTTCTCAAGAAACACTCGTAATCGATTGGGTTGGGCCGCGCATCGTAAAAAGAACCGTATCAAGCCATTTTAATGGACCTTCCAAATGAATTTCTACCCAGCACGGTGTACATGTTATTGCTTGACGTCTATAAAGTTTAAAAAAAAAACTTATTTTCAAAAACAACCAACAACAATTTTCTTACCTATATTCAACACCCCACCCTTTCACGAAACTCATTCGAATGATACACATTCTCATAAGATTATAAACAGCTTCATAGCTTTCGTGGACAGCACCACTCAGTATTTGTGTGAAATCATCGCTGTCGAATATTTTCAGCCGTACTTCTACAAATAGATAGATTTTGTTGTGAGAAAGAAACAAATCTTTTGATTTTACTTACTGGGCGGAATTTTACAAACAGTAGCTGGATGCCATGATAATCTTCGATTTGTTATTGGACTTTGAACAAAAACAGCATTGTCTGATATACATTCAGCAAATACATTTCCACGTATATGATACAATTTCACACCACGTCCAATATGGCGTCGAGCTTTATCGATTTCAAATGTTCGATGAACATTTGTTAAACCACCCAAACAAAAGCGTTCAGCATTCGATGGATCCGTAAAACCATCGATGATAACTTGTGGTTGTGTAGCATGAAATTGTTCGCCGACACGTGTGGACATTTCATAATAGGATATAAGACACCATTCATGAGGCTCTTCAAATGGTACTTGTTCGCCATTGGTTATTGAATATTGAGATGGATGAGGAGATGTTGTCGGTAGTCGTTGTTGGGAAAAGAGAAGTGTCGTGTCAGTGACTACAGGTGGAATAAGTTCAATATCCATTCGATTGTCATGAGCATTTTGATTATTTTCATCGTTGTGAGTCGTACCAGTTGGCGAAAGAAGAGAATCTAAATCATTGAAAAGTATATTTTATTCTATGCGCATAAAACTGATCGGAATCTGAATGGTCTTGTTTTTGTTTTTCTTATTTACCTTGTGAACTGATACTTCCAGGTGATAATTGATAGGATAATGGTGATTGTTGTTGATCGATCGTTGTTTGATAAGTTGTATTTTCAGGTATAAGATTTGGTAACATATCATTCGTTGAAGCTGAGCGTAAATTAGGCATATCACGAATTGCTTCCGGTGGTAAATGTGGAACATAAACAGAATATTTTGCTAGAAAACAAAAAACAACAGATCAGAAAAAAGAAATCAATAATAGAATGATTACCTGGTACACGTTCGTAATGAAAAGGATTAATACAAATATCATCTCGTGAATAATGAAATGCATTTGGACAATAATCAACAGGTTTAAGTTCATTTTGATTGGCTAAATCTGGCCAACGCCATAGACGACAATAGATAACTACAGAATTTGATTTCGATGATTGATTTGGTGGAACATCAAGTGATCTAAATAAAAATATTATTATAAGAATCAAATCCAACACGGAAAGCTTTTTACCTTGGAATTGTTACACATTTCGTTCTTGAATCTTTATGTAAAATCGCTTTTTCAAGTTCATCAATGGAGCCATTCTTTTTTATTTTCGTCAATTTTTTAACTAAATTTCGTATTACTTTTTCTGTATGTTCATTAACATTCGATGATTGTGATGACATTATTTCATTCTGTTTATTTTGGTTAATACATAAACCAACAAAACGTTGAACGATAGGTGATATCGAACGTTTTTTAGTTATTGAATGTAAAAGTGTCGTTAAAGGATTTGATGTTGGTGATGAATTCGTATTCATCGTTGTTGTTGTTGTTGTCGGAGAAGCAATTGACATACTATCTTTATCTAGAAGTAATAAATCTTGTTGTTTTTCTTCTTCTCTGTCGTATATTTACAATAAATTTTTTCTGATTCTTTTTTATAAAAAAAAACACAAAACAAAATCTCGGACACAACTGTACAAAATATTTTACATGGTTTCACCTTGGCGTTGGATGCCAATGTTTCATTCCTTCAAAATCAAACAGATTATCGTAGGCTAATGTAAATTCACTGGTTCGATTGAATTTATTGACTTTGACTTTCTTTTTTCCATCTGATGGATTTATATGTAATTCTTTTTCCATAGTCAGAATTAAAAATTGTTGCCATTGCTGTTGAACCGATTGCATTTCATTGAATAAAATTGAATCAAGAACTGAATCTTCTTCAAGTGATTCACTATATGAAATTTAGGTTGTTTTGCTTTTCATATAAGAAATCGAACACTTACGTATTGGACATCATCGTTGTTGTTGATATTTTCTTTTTCTTTTTCTTTTTCATTGGTTCTTCTTTAGGGCATAGAAGTAAACCTTGGGATGGAATTAATAGAATATTTTGTTCAATAGAATTTATTTCTACTTCTGGATTGCCACATGATGTTTTTTTAACCATAGGAATATCTAAAGAAACAACAGTACGAGATTATAACTATGAAATGATTTTGATTAGAGGATGTCTAGAGAATGTTTGTATATTTACTAGAGAGAGAGAGAGAGGAAGTTTTTACCAGAACTGCAAGTATTTTACAATTGATAATCCTATTCAAACATGTTATTAACTGTTTTCCGGAAATAGATTGTTCATGAGATAAAATAATTCTAGTGTACTACGTGTTCATAAATGTCAAACTTGAAGCTTGAATTCAACTTTTAAACCAAGAGCATTGTGAAGAATCGTGACTCACACATATATCGCTATGAGTTGAAAGTTGAAATTTTCTATTTTCAACTGAATTCAAGTTTCAAGTTGGACACTACTGTACGTGTTAGACTTTGCATTTTAAATAATGTTTTTTTGTCTACAAGAAATATGTCGTCCAGTGCATTTTCTGTTTTTTAATTCAGTAATTTATATGCATTATTTCCCTTTCTTTTTCTTTTTATAGAAGAATCATTCTAAATTCACCGAATGACTTCATCAAAACAAAACAAAACAAAAGCCTGCAGCACAATGTACCACTTCTAGGTTGAAACTAGTCTTTTTTCTTTCAAACTAACTTTTTATTAATGCTGCTAAAGATTGTTCTTGTGCTCGTTCATTTGAATTCGATTGAATTTTAATTGGTGAATATTTTCGTTTTTCGTTCGTTAAATTAAGTTTAGTTTTTTGATGATTGAATTCTTCGTCTCGTAGATCTTTTTCGCATTTAAAATTCTCATCGGTCGATTGTGTTGAATTCGCTGAAAGGAAAAAGAAAATATTATTCTTATGCAAAATCGAGAATATTCTCATACAGGAAGGGGACTTTGAAATAGTTTCAGATTGTTTTTGTACACTCGACCATGAATGATGCTTCGCTATTGATGATGCAGGCGAACGATGCAGTTTTTTATTCAAACATAAATTTTGATCAATTTTCCGTTTCTGATTATTTTCTTGACTTAAAAAAGAAAAAAAAGAACGATTCAATAAATAAAAATGATGACTTTATTACTTTGCTGATATATTAACATCAATACGTTTTATGAGGCAAGTTGCATCATTTGATGAAGAAGATTTTTTGTTTTGATCTGACATTAAATCATCTGCTGGAAATAATTTTTGACGGGTTGGCAATGAATCTTGTTCGTTTTGTCGTCGTAAATAAGATTTATATAAATTATTCGGTTTTGTTTTTGGTGATGAAGATTCATTAGAAGATGGTGATGACCAACGATAATCAACATCGGATGTAAATGCCGATGATGGAGGTGAAAGTTCAAATGACTAAAGGCCAAACAAAAAGATAGTATGAATCATGTGCACGAATTTGTTTGCGTGCAGTTTTTCAACCGAATATCCAGACAGTGCTATGGCGGATCACATTTTTCAAAAGTGTTTTCTGTTCTTACGTGATGATAAGCTCCTATTTTAATGATAAGTATGTGAAAGTCTTTTTACAGCATGATCACTTGCTTTTAAGCTCATTACAAACATGTAATCGTGTTTTGTAGAGAATCTATCTGCTAAGGAGTATAGTTTGTTAGTCAGAGAATGTCTATAGGATTGACCCTAATATTAAAACTTCTATCCTATTGAAGAAATAGACTTTTTCAATTAGGCTCAAGTAAGAACTTAGTACCTCAGGAATCAGTTAACTATTCATGTTTTAAGTTAGAATGCATGTATGGCTTGATATTTAGAAGATATTTATAGACTTCTATTTTAGATCCATTATAGTTCAATATAATAAAACCTACGTGAATTCGCTCATCGACATCCTCTGTTGTTGATGATGTTCTCAGATCTTGATCAAGTTCAACTTTTTTATCATACAATCCAACGCCTGGTTGATAAATAAAAGATAACTGTTGTTTGTCATTCATAGGTGATGATAGGGGTATTGTCCAATTTGATTGTAAGGGCTGTACTATATCAGCCGTTGGTATTGATGGTAGTTCACACCACATTAAATTTTCATCTAAAAAAAGAAACCAATATCAATGATTGTTTTTTTTCTTTTCTTTTCTTTTTCTAAAAAAACGAACAAAGATGGTAGAAATTCGTTTTATGATTTCTTGTCTATCAACATAACAAAAAAAGAAGCACGATAACAACAAAATAACGGATGGTTTTTTTATTTTGTCGAAGAAAATTAATAGCTGATGACTTGATTTTTCTTCTTCTTTTCGGCACCCAATTCGAAGTGTTTTGTTCGTTTGATAGCCAATTGTTTTTTGAATTTGCATTCCGTACATTCCATACGTAAGACAATTTTCTTGGTTGTTTTAGCTTTCTTGTGAAAGACAGGTTTCTTTTGTCCGCCATAACCTTTTTGTTTCATATCGTAACGTCGTTTGCCTTGAGCATGGACACTGTCTTTGCCTTTTTTGTATTGTGATACTTTATGTACCGTATGTTTTTTGCAATTTTTTCCTTTGCAAAATGTACGACGGAGTTTTGGTACGTTTACCATTGTTCTAATATGGTTTTTTTTCTAAAAACTTGATGGATCTAGAAAGAAATATTATTCGAATAATGTTAACGCTTTAGTATATACAAAAATTTTTAATGATAAATAAATGAATGAAACAAACAAATACAACACTAAAACAAAAAGAAAAGAAAGCAGCGGACAACAAATATGAAGTCTCTCTCTATATATATCTGACAGAATTTGTTTTGTTCGATTTCATATTCATTTACTGGACATACTACCAGGCGCCGGCAGTTGTTGTAGAACATTATCAAGCCATTGCATTGGCCCATTAAGATGAATTTCTACCCAACATGGAGTACTCATGATAGTACGTCGTCTGAAAAGAATTTTTATCAATTATATATATAAATTTTCCAGGAAAAAATACATACCGATATTCTTCTCCCCATCCTTTAACAAAACTCATACGAATAGCGCATATTCGTGTAAGATTAAATACAGCTTCGTATCCATATTGAATTGTTTCTCTAAGCATTTGAGCGAATTCTGTATTACTGAAGATCTTTAAATTACAACCTGAAAAGAAAAAGATTAAATTAACATCAGCATTGGAAACGAAATTCATCTTATATAAAGCAAAATCAAAAATACTATTAACAGAGATTTGTTTGATGTGTTAATTTATGTTGCTTTTTATATATCAAAGGAAACCAATCAACACATTTAGAAGGAAAAAAGAACGTGCCAAGTTGTCAGGATTTCTTTTAGGGCAATTATGATTAATGTGCCAGACTTTGTTTTCTATTTATTAAGATTAGAAAGACATCATGTATTTGTTTCCTGAGTACAAAGCGCATTGTAGTGAAACATTTTCTCTTTGGGAAATATTCGTCGGTATTCGTGATGAAATCTCGGTCAAAACTAATAATAATCTATGGAAACATGTCTTTGATTACAATCTATCAGAAACGAGCTAATTCTATTTAAGTAGGACATAATTTTGTTGAATCATAAAGGAGTATTATAAATGAAAAAAAAAAGAAGAATAACTATGACAGAGGAAAAAATTAACGAAACAAAATGATAGTTGCATAACAGTTTTTTTACATATAGAAAAGAAAAAAAAAAGCTAATTTTCTAAAAATTTACCTCGAATAGCCAAATCATTTGATTCAACCGAATAGGTTGAACTCGAAATCTTTTTAACTCTTAATTAAAATCGAGCAATATATTATTAAACTCTGACATTGTAATTATATATAATTATATATCAACAGAAAACATTCTGAATGTGCTTCACGATTATGAAATCCTTCAAATGAAAAATTACGATAGACATACTATTTTTAGAATCATCACTATTTATGCATGAACACACTACTTAATTTTAATAATTAATAAAGTTCTCTCATGTTTAAAAAAAGATAATCTACACATACGTGGTGGAATTTTACAAACAGTCGCTGGATGCCATTGGAAACGTTGATTGCAACTTGGACTTTGCACAAATATCGGAGTGTCCGATAAACATTCGGCAAATACTTCACCGCCAATATAATAAAGTCTCACACCATGACCAATCATATTTCGGCAAACTTCACTTTCACGAGTACGATTTACATTTGTTAATGAACCAAGACAAAATCGATCCGACGCATTTGGATCACAAAATCCATCGATCACAAGAGAATTTAAAGATGCATGAAAAGTTTCACCAACACGTTGATTTAATTCATAGTAAAGTATAGAACACCAAAATGGTGTTTCAGCATAGGCAATCGAAGCTGTTTGAATACCTAAGAAAATTAAAGATAGTCAAATTTCGTGCATGGCAAAATACAATTTTTACCATTTAAATTTGTTGCTGCTACTTGTTGTAGATTCATAGATGCTTGTGTTGGTGTCATAGCTTCATAATTGTCTTGTACACTAGCTGGACTATTCACAGCTGTACGTTGTTGATCGTTGGGTGATGTAGCAACTAAAAAATAGAAACAAAATTTTTCTTTCATTTTGTTTTCAATTCACTTACAATCCATCGGAACAGTTGAATCTGGTTGAATTTGCATACGGTCACTTTTTGTCGAGTCAAATACCGCACGATCACACACAGGTACTTGGATTGGTGCAATAACTAAAGCGAAATGTAACATTAGATATTTGCAAAACGTTTCAAAATTTGCGATCTTACATGGTGCAACAACTCGTTCTGAATGATAAGGATTAACACATATTTGATCTTTCTCATGTTGAAACGCATATACACATGTATCGGTTGGTCGTAATTCTAAATGAGTATTTAAATCTGGCCAACGCCATATACGACAGAATGCAACTACAGGCGTAACATCGTGAAAAGCTTTTCGGACGGTTTGTGATGGATTTGGTTCAACTAATTTATTTTGTGATTCTCTGAAGTACAAAAAAAAGAACGGAAAATTTCATCATCAAAAATGATGACAGCAAAATTAGATATACCTTGAAATTGTTACACAACGTGTTTGTGGGCTTTGTGTTTCTAATGCTGCTTGTAAATCATCTATCATAGACGATTTAGTTAATCGTTTGATTAAACCTCGAATTGCTTTTTCAGACCATTTGTCTTCACTTGAGTTTGTTTGAATATTTTTTCTGTGTTGTAATAAGTTTTTTAATGTTTGAGGATTAGTTGAAAATGAAAATGGTAAATTAAATAAATTGCTCATAGTGCGTGACGAACCAAAAAGAAAAGAAGTTCAATCTATCAAATCCAATTCAATATTATTCAAAAAACAGACAAAAAAACACAATCGACAGAGAGAAAACGTTTGTCGGCATATTGAAGTGATTTGTAATATTAGCCTCTACGGATTATTTGTATTTTAAAGTCAATAAAGAACTTGTTCGAAAAGAGTAAATTTTTTTCCAAAGAAAAAACTGTTTATTTAATTTAAAAAAATAGAATTCTCTTTGATTCTATTTTTTGTCATTGATAGATGGGAGTTTAATGTGATACGCGTTGCTACCAGGAAGTCACAATCTGATTGGATAGAATAATTAACCAATCAAAAAGAGAATATATTTGAGTAGTAGTAGTTGCTTTGGAAAAAATAGTGATTGCATAGTGATCAACAAATCGTACTGAGTTTGTATATTTGGGTAGATTGTTGATTTAATTGGAGTTTTTGAAAAAGAAAATTTTCAGATGAATTAATGACACAAAAATTAACATATACATTATTTTTGCATATGAATAGGGTTCTATTTGCATAGAAAGGCCTACAGAAATATATGTTCGAATATTTGACATCTCAACAAAATATTATTTGAAGAGTAACGAGTTTACCTGTTTTTTGTGATTCTCTTTTCATAGAATGTTTAGTTGTAAGCGATATGTCAAAAATCTGACAGAACGATTAAGCATAGTAGGGATATTTTTTTCATCGAATCTACTTTCAGTACTTTGAAAAACTAGATCATGAAGAGATAGTAAATTTTATTGCTTACTGTACCAGTAAAAAGAGTTGAGAATAGAACACGAGTCATTCTTGCGTAGCTGTTCCAGACAATTACATACATAAATAATAACAAAAATACATAAGCAATCTGTCGTGTTATGGTACTTTGAAGTACTTCATCTGAAGCAAAAATTAGTATAAGAAAACAAAGGATACAGTTAATTCCATTTGTTCGAGTACGTTTTTAGAATGGGTGGCGTTTTTTAAAGTTTAACCTTCGAAATTGTAAGCTGTGTAGTGAAGTATTTCGTTTTTTTTGTATCCTTCGGAACACTTATATGTTTGTCTTCGAAACTAAACATTGCTGATACAACAAAAAAAAAAAGAATTATATTTTCTTATACAAACGCAACATATGTCCAAGTAAATAATCATTGGAACGATGAAGCCACTAAGATTGCTTATGAAAGGGTGTGCTATTCAAGGCAAAGAGACACAATAAGGGAGATTTGTTGGCTTAAAGTTTATTAAACAATTTTTGTCTTTTAAGATGTTGATTTTGTTTATAAAATATGTTCAAACTTGAATCATATATCACACCATGGCTTCTATCTTATATTGATCAATATGTCAAACTACGACGTGAAGATTTTCAATTATCTCTATGGGGTGGTGATGTTGTTTTTTATAATCTCGAATTACGTTTAGCTAATATCCAAAAATTAGTTCCAACACTTCCTATTATCTTTCAAAGTGGCATTATTCACGAGTTACGTATTCACGTATGTTCATCGAATCTCCTCTCCCTCCACCCCCGAAAAAAAAATACAAACATTTATGATTTATTTTCAATAGGTTCCATGGATTCGAATCAATTCCGAACCAATCGTTGTTACAATAAATCAAATCGAACTTGTTATTGTTTTAAATAAAGAAGTTTCATCAACCAATGGCAGTTCAGTATCAGTTGAAGATGATGTTGATTCGGATCACATACTTATTCAACAACAACAACCAACAACAGCTGAACAATCAAATTATATTCAAACTGTACTGGCACGTATACTAAATAATGTACATATTGTTGTTAATAATTTAATAATAAAATTTGTTGAAGAAAATATTGTTATATCATTATCATCGCGCACTGCTGAATGCTATGCTGCTAATCAAAATTGGTCGAAATCATTTGTTGAATTATCACAACAAGATTTATCGCTGAGACGTTTAATAACATTGCCTGATTTAACATTATGTTTAGATAAGCATGATATTCATGGAAAAGTGCATCGCTATGAAGTACCGCTTCTATCACGTTGGTCATTTGAATGTCGAATACAAATGTACTATGCAAATGTTTATCAACAATTAAATACAAAGCCGAGCCAAACACGTTTAAGTTTCAATTGCTCAAATATAGAAGTATCCATTGTTGATAGTCAACTGTCTATGATAATGCGTTTAACTGAAATTATTATGTTACTTATTAATCAACAAATGTATCCGAATGAAACTGATACGCCAAAAGAACAGAGAAAAACTTTAAAGAAAATAAAATCTGAACCAACATTTACAGTAGCAACATCACCGCTAACGCCATCGTTATCTCCAATTATGAGTTCAGAAGATCAAGTTGTTGCTTTGAAGAATGCTGAATCAGGTTGGGTATCATGGGCGTGGTCTTATGTACCATCAGTAACAACACTTTTTGCGGAAGATGACTTTCCAGCTGATGCTAATGATTCGAATCATGTACCCATTGAACAGCACATAAATAATGAATCTCGATTGGAAGAAACAAATCTACTGACAACTAGTAACCATCAGAGTCATACTCCGACACCTATTCTTTTTGCGGGTATTGAATTAGATCGAATTAGTTTACAATATAAAGTAAGAATTTCAATCTTATACATTGAAACATTCAATTGGAATCGTGATTTTGTTTTTAGATTACAAAATCAAATGAAAATAGAACTTCACTTGTTCCTTTTATTGGATTTACCATTGAGAAAGCCAGTATGTATTCATTGAAATGATTTATTTATGATATGAATCATCAAATTTTTATAGCGACATAAAAAAATTTCTATTGAAAATATCATAAACTATTTTATATTTAGATATTATTGTTGAACATTATAAACCTACAAGTACAACAGCACTCGATGGCCAATCAATTGTTTCTCGTGTGCGTAAAGTAAAAGTGTTAACATCAAAAATATCCTTAATATGGAATCAACGTTTATGTTTTTCATTATCTGATGTTCATTTTACATTACATTATGATCGTCATGTACGAATGACACATTTTTCGTTGACTATAAACGATTTCAATGCACGTATTAATGACGATTTTCTTATTTATCCATGTCAAGCAACGCTAAAGCTTGATCATCATCGAACATATTCATTACTTCATCTCGAATTTTCTTCATTAACTATAAAAATCGATTTTAATATATTAGCATATTTGATAACATTAATTAATCAAATACGAACAATCGTTGATACGGCTATATTAATATTTCGGCCAGCAAAAATAATTGATCATATCGATGATGATATTATATCAGTTGATGATTTAAGAAATGGTTCAATGAAATGGATATTTCAAACATCACACGAGCTACCAAATACAAATGAAATCTATTTTACAACCACAAATGATCACAACATTGCATCGTGCATGACATGGAAGTACGAACAGCGACGATCAATTCTTAAATGTCATATACTACCTTTACCATTCGATAATGATCTTACTGGAAGTCCAATGTCACCAAGAATAAAAACGGTAAGTATATAACCTTATAAATCTCTGCGGAGTTGTTTTTTTTTTATAAAGATTTGTAGGCATTCTTACGAAACTATTTTATCATTTAGGTCGAATGTTTAATGCAATATTGGCATTTTGGTACAAAACAATTTGTTACTTGGCAAACATTTGATTTATCCGATGGTCAACCATTGTTTCTCGATTTTAGTAATGATCTCGGACAAAATCCGTATTCAGAAATGTGGCGCATTGTTTTACTCAATGCATCATCGATTATAAATCAATCGAACTCATTAGCTGCATCGACACGTATTGATTCATTACAAAGTCAACGTTATGAACCATTGATTGAAATGGCAATTAAAATACCTAATATTCGTTTACATTTTATGATAGATCCGCAGGTAAGAAATGTTTTTACATTACATTAAAGATAATTTCAATCTTTCTGCCTTTTATTTAGAAAGAAAATTTATCTTCAACATTTCATTCGACTCTTAACGGATGTAAACACGATGTTCTTACACTACATTTTGATAATATAACATTCGATTTGAGTCAACGTCTCGAAACGAAATTAATCAGTGTTGAAACAATTGTGTCACTTGAAGCACTAGAATATCGATTTTTAACAAAACGTTCTTGTATTGAACCAACGCTAATTAATCTTGATTTATTTATTGATATGTCAAAATCAAGTATATCATCATCTCTACCAGATGTATTTGAATTGAATAATGGAAAATATAATCAATTATTTCGTTCAGCTAAAAGCTCATTTGTTTATCAACTGCATTTTGATATCGATCATGTTAACATTAGATTAAGTCAATCATTATGCCATCTAGTTAATATTCTTTATCAACATGCGCTGCAATCTGATATGATTGAAGCTTTAGAATTAACTAAATTAAAAGAACAAGGTAGAGAAAGTCAGGCACAGAGTTATAACTATGAAATTTCCCTCGAGACTAGACCAAAACCAAAGAAACGATGCGGAAGGTTCCTATGCATCTATACGACTGTTTCTATAATGTCAACAATAATCAGTTTATTTTCGCTTCATTAATTTTCATTAAGAATAACAAGATTTTCTATATCAGTAAAAAAACTCGATTTTTTATTTTTAGCTTTAGTTTTAAGTAAAAATGACAATCCAATGTATTATACCTATTATCTATTTACTAATCATCTTAATTGTCCTGTTGGCTTGAAACAACATAATACAAATGATAGTTTTGTTATACTTTGTCCATCTGAAACAACAGATTTTGTCTGGTCAAAAATAAATACAAATGAACGTTTAGTAGAATTTTCTCTCGATCATACGTCAACAGAACCAATTTATTCATCACCAATAGACATACACCATTCTGATAATAACATGAAACAGGTTGTTCAATTTCTTAATAGTACACATTTATTTTATTTACAAATTCATTTCGATCAACATCAAATTCGTCGTCATATACACGTTATTGGCAAAATAATTCTTAAAAATCTTTGCGATATCGATTTGAATATAAAATTCTATCTCAATGTTGGCTCAAGACAATTGGATTTATTTATCTCAAAAAATCAATCATACTTAAGTTGTTTACAAACCATCGAAGATATTCAATTTATTCAATGGAATTCTTCGATGAAATATTCAATCGACCAATTGAACCGAGATGGGATTATTTCAACCAGTGATAATCTATCTGTATGGATACATTTATTTGAATATGAAAATTTAACTTGTTTCGTATTTACACCGATTGTTATTTATCGTTCGTATTTAACACAACCGGTTTTAGTATATTTAAATAAAGATAAATCATTTCTATTACAATCCAACGGTATTTATACATTTTTTAATGATATCATTTTTGATGACGCGAATACAATTTATGAGCATCGTTTACAACAGATCGATGTTGAACAATTGACATCGTGCATATTCGAATTAGATAAGCAATCGTTTTCATCAATCGATCGAATCGATGATATTCATGGAGATAATTTAACTCTGATTGATTATTTTTTACAAACAAAAATACCTTGTGCATTGCAATGCGAGGAACAAAATCAACAGTATTCAGTGATTGATCTTCTTCGAGAACAACATATAAAAGCAAAGCAAACCGACGATGATATTCCTGTGCCATTGATCGAACAAACAAATGAAATTTTAAATGCATCACTAGTACCAAGTATCGGTGCTAATGGTCCATCGATGTATGAACCGCCTGTGCCAATGCAAACAAAAAAAGTCGAGACTCGTAAGTATTAGTAATGAAATACTTTGACAAGGCAGAGGTAGTAGTACAATTGCAACTTTACCGTCTAAGAAGAAATAACAGTAAGCGGTGGATACAGATTTCCATTGGAATTCGTCTCTGCATTATTTGCAGTTCAAACAAGCTTATTTGTTTGCGAAATTCCCTTGGTAAGGTCTCGATAGTTTTCATTTCAAAACAAAAATTCATTCTTAAAGGACGCTTTATATTGGAACCTTTTTTGTTTTGAACGATCCAGTACAACTGAGATCAACCGTGTATCGAATAGCTTAACAGTATAGACACTCTTCATCCATTTTCTTTTCTGAATCCACAAATAGAGTCGATTGTTGATAAAAAAATAAATATTTGGAAATTTTCAGTAATCAATCCAACGTTGATAACAACAAGTTCGATTGCTTGTCGCATTGAACCCATTCGTCTCTATTCTCATTTGAATACAATTTTACTTGAACTGAAACCTGTAACAATAATAAATAATTCAACACCATTTAATTTCCATCTGTATGCAAACGCCGGCCATGATCATATATACATTCATGCTGACCAATTGAACTGTCTTTCGAAATTAGAATATAGTCAAATACAATTTATTCTTATTGATCCACATGACGGCGAACATATTCAATGTCAAACCGTTGATTTAATCTTTCGAAATATTCCATTAATGAATGCCGGAACTATAATTAATAATCGTCTATATACTAATGGTTCAATTGATCTTTATTTTATAAAATCTTCTAATAATGATTATTTTATATTTCATTTAAAACATGACTATATTGATCGTACACATGTATTCACGATTGAATCAAAATATAAATTTTTCAATCAAACAAATCAACCATTACTATGTTACGTATTACCAATATCAAAACAACAATATACGATAGATTATCCATTTAATTGTTTAGAATTAAAATCCAATGAAAAAATGAATCTATATCGTTTTCAAGGCATACCATCATCGGATATTATCTATTATTTATTATTTCAAAATGAAGCGAATGACAAGCAATATTTATCGAAACCGATTCGATTGTTTCCAAAAATCGACGACAACGACAATCGACAATGTTTTTGTCTGTTTAAAAAAGATGATCAAATTAAGTAAGTAAAGTCATATGTACCAATTGAAAAAGAAATTTGGCTGTATCCCTCTGTTTTTCTTGTTTAGATTGAAATCAGCAACATTTCAAAGTTTACGCGGAGATTTATTTTCTATAAATCAATCAATGAAAAGTCCAACAAGTCAAACAGACATTGTAATTAATACAAACCCATCTTGGGCATTCTTACATGTTGTTAATACTTGCGCATGCCCGTTATTATGTCGATTAGAAAATATTTCATCAATGTCACATATAATCCCACCATTTTCATCATCATCCATTGGAATTGATTCATCGGAACCATTGTCAATGAATAATAATAATAATAATAATAATAATATACAAAATCTAATGAATGGATCAAGATTTTATTTAGCCCAATTTCAATTAAATGAAAACGCCAATGGCCTTATTCCATTGATAACAAAATATTTTCAACAGATAACAACGAAAAATGTTCAATGGAGTAGACCATTGAAAATCGATTCACAATTAGAAGACGTCTTTTTGCCGATACCTGGTATGAAATCTTCACTATTTAGAGTAGAGAAATATCGACAGAAAAAAAAAACTGAAATGCATTATCATTTTTTCTTTAGGTTTGCATGATGTTTTGATTCGTTCATTACCAGCCTCGATCTCGGCTAGTCGAACAATAATAATTGAACCTGTTCATCGTCAACGTTCGATTAAAACAACGGTAACACAAAAATCCGATAGCATCGTAAGAACAAATTCGTCAGCTAAGCTAACTAATTCCGCATCGCCACAAGCAACAATCATATCGGAAACAATGCCGCGTCATTATCGTTCACATATATTTGATAAAAATGCACCGATCAACACTCCGAATGCAACGAATCAATATTTAAAAGCATGGCAACAAAAATATAATCAAGGAAATCACCGACAAGTTCAATTGAATTGTTCCATTAATAAAATATCTTTATCATTAATGGATGAATTAAGTGATGTATGGTTATTTCGTGAAATTCTTCGTTTGACAGTAGACAAAATCAATTTACTATTTTATCAGCATACGATTGAAATTGAACCATGTTTACATCAAGAACAATTCTTTTGTTCTATTGATCAATTACAAATTGATAATCAATGTTATAGTTCGAAAACGAATTTTGATTTTCCAGTTGTTCTTATGTCAAAAGATGAAAAACGTATATCGAAAGCAAAAACAAATGTTTACGAGAAAAAAGAACCGACAGAGTATGTACCAATTAAATAATTTCATCGAAATCAAAATCTTCTAAAGACTTCGATACTAGACATTTCCGAAAGAATTCTCTATAAAATGACTATATATATATATATATATATCATTGACAGAGAGTAGATGTGAGTCCATTTTTCTTCGATGCTTAAACTCTCTATGCTAGGATCCATCAGGGTGGGAGAGGAAGCAAATGTTTAAATAATAATCCTCAATTTATGTTTTAGACCGACTGCTAATTTTGCCAATCATAATCGTCAACATTCTTCTTCATCAATCGATACAACGCTTACCGAAGATCCATTACCAGCATTTGATTCTTTATCACATAATCATAAAATTTCTCGTCCAAAATTTATTCACAATGATCAACCGAAATTTCTCACTGTACATTTCCATCGTATCAATGAACGTTTCATTAAAATTGATTTTCAACTTCAATCATTCGATGTTTACCTTGAAGATCATTATGTTTATGTTTTATTAAAAATCTTCAGCCATCTATTACCCGTAGATTTACATATTCCATCGAATACAGAAGAAATTCAATTAAAAATCGATACGAATGATAATGAAGTAATGAGAACACCATTTGTGTGTGAAGCACTTATTATTGGACCTATTGATATTGTTATTAGTATTCACGCTTCCATGAAAGTTTATATTGGTTGTCATCAATTACCACTTTTTGTTGATAAATTTCAAAAAAATTATATTTACTCAACCAATAAACAATTATTAACATTAATTACCCGACATTATTTGGTTTCATTATTAACACGATCGCCAATGCTATTAGGATCATTTGATATATTAGGTATGAATAAAGTTTTTCAAATCTCTATTGAATTTATTGATGTCAATTATTATTTGAACAAAATTATTAATGTACTACTTTTAGGTAATCCCTCTGCATTAATACGCAATATAACCGATGGTGTTTACGATCTATTTCATTTACCGTATGTTGGAATGCGTCATGGTCCAAGTGGATTTATGACAGGTATATCGCAAGGTGCTACAAGTTTACTTCGACATTTATCATTAGGTAATTTAATAAAAGTCATGCATACCTTCGTAAATGTATCTTCTCATTTAAATAGGCACATTGACGTCGTTGACAACATTTGCTGATAGTGTTGCAAGAAATATGGATAGATTAGCCATGGATTCTGAACATACAATACGTAATGAAGAAACTTGTAGAAATATTCCGACTGGAATGACGCACGGTCTTCTACAAGGTCTTGAATTATTTAGTTTAAGTCTATTAGGTGCTATAGCTGGTTTAGCCGAACAACCGTTGGCTTCATTTCGTAATCGACCTGATTCTCAAACGGCAACAACAACTATGTTGTCCGGTGTTGGTAAAGGTATTGTTGGTATTTTTGTGAAACCCGTTGGTGGCATTGCTCAACTTATTTCACAGACGGGTCAAGGTATTCTTTATGGCACTGGTCTAATGAATATTCCACATAGACGACATCGACAACTAGAGCAAGATGCAAGAATAAATACAAGTATAAGTTATGTTAAACTTTCTCATGCATGTCAAATAACAAATCAAGATGAGATACTTGATATACTAGAATATGTTCTTGAACATGATCAAATTGAACATGGAATATTTATTTTAACGAAAAATCATCGTTTTATTGACTATCATAAAGACGATGAAAATCAACATGGACAACATTTATTAGAAAATATTGAGCTAAGCGAATCACCTGATTCAGCGGGTTTGTTAGTATTCAATAATTTATCATTCTTTATTGATTCACGTTTTCGTCATCAATTTCTTGCATTGTGTCGTCTTATTCGGCACTGAAATTTTGTTTTTTTCATATGCGAAATCTAACATTCAAGTATTGAACTGTGATTTGTTTTCTTTTTCCGTCTTGTTATGGTCTACTTTTTATTATTCTTTTCCATTTGTTAGTCAATTCTTTCTTTTTCTTCTTATTATTATTTATTATTTCTGTTGAGGTTGTTTCTCCATTTTTAATCGACTCATAAAATATACATATATATATATATATATATGCAAAAAAGTGGTTGCATTCCGAATAATTTTTAAATAATCCAATGAAAATATTTGAAGGCGTTACAGAATATATTTACAATGTTGTACGGTTCGATGGAAATTATTGAGGTCTATTTAGAATTACAATGGAACATATGGTGCCCATCGATTTGTTTCTGTCGAAAAATAGGACCCATACCAATAAATATGTTTTTTTCAATAAACAATTGAAACTTGCTTTTTCTTTTCTTTTCATTACGTTGGCTGCACATCAAATGATCTGAATTTTGGCTGGTACGTGCGAAAATCTAACAAACCGAGGTATTCGCGTTACAATCGTATTATTTCACTCGTGCCTTGTTTTCTAATGATGCAAACGAAGATTCGTTTGAGTTTACCTTAGACTCGTGTTCGAAAACTGTTACTTGAACAGATATGTTTTGAGTACGCTGATAAATGATATCACATGGGACAGCATGTGTTGAAAATAAAACAAAGTTGATCTTTTTATTAACTATCAGATATGATTTAAACTTCATCACCACAGTATATCAAATAGATAAATGCAGTGAAAAAAAAAAGAAAATGATATTGATGATAAATCAGTAGACAAATCGTCTGTTCAAAATTCTTCTCATACTTTTTAAAATGAACTGCAATGATGATTCAGCATTATAGTAGGGCCTACGTTTTTCCTTGGTGTGACACACGTGAATAAAAGCATGTTAGTAGAATCGAAATTCAAGATGTACTCTGACGGAGTTATACATCAGAGCACTCGCGCGTTTGACTCCAACGAAATTTAGCATGAAACTACATAAACTTATCTAGATATGACTTGTACTCGATCTACTGAGCTCATCATTGTTATATTTCTTGCGTGAAAATGTTGCGCAACGGATATATATATATATATATATATATGCGTGGACTTTAATTTGCATATTTTCTATTAGACACCCCAATGTACGATTCAGAAAGATGAAAAGCTGCTCGATCATATCAGTCCGTGTAAAAATCATTGAAATTTCTTTCTTTCGAAAATACCACATCAACCAGAATTCAACGAACAAAATCTTAGAATCTTCAGTAGAATATTATCTATAAACTATTGGCTCGAGAGCTTTTAATCTTGATCAATTTAACTTTCGTATCAGGAGTAAAGCTGATTTGGCACTCATCTGTACTCTTTAATTAAAAGTTTTCGTTTCCAAGAATATGAGTCATTTTACCTAGAAAATACATACGAAATTTGGTTTTGTTCTTTTCCTATTCAAAATATACTATGTCATAGAATCACAATAGTTTGAACGAGACATAAACGATGCAACTGTTTCCAAACAAAGAAACATTTTCCTACAACGTCTAAGATTCCATTAAAAGAATGGTTCTATTTACTGCAAAGGTTATCAGCGATGAGATTTGGCTCGTGTATGACATTGTAAGAAATTATTCTAGAGATATTTGTTTTTCATGTTGTACCCATTTGATCTAGAAAAGTTATTTATGTCCTAAAAAAGTCATACTTCATGCACTGTTCTTTCCAAAGGGAAAACGACAGCGCCCACTCCATTGGTTTATTAGAAGTCAGGAATATGATAGCGCATAATTTACACCCGATGATAATTTTAAATAGGTCAAAGTTTATCTCTTTTATGTAAAGTAAATATGTGCTCATCAAAGTCAACACTAGATACACTTATCAACTTTGCTCTGTGACACTTCTGTGTTCGTTATGAATGATCCCATTAAACTCATACTTATTTTCATTTGAATGATTTAATAAAAAAAACGTTTTTTAATTTTTAGTTTAATGTTGGACATTAAAGACGAGACCTGAATTGGCCTCCTCCCCTCCAATACACACCATGATTTTTTTTTCGTTTTTACATTATCAAGTGCACAAAAAGAACAGGTTTTTTTTATACTTAACAACTTTTCGACAGAAAAATAAGAGTGAGAATCACTTCAGAAAATAAATATTTATGCTCAATAGCGAATGAACAACCAAGAAATGTCACCGTTTAACAGGAGATCCATTATGACAGAGCACTATCACTACGCGAAAACACTGATGTACAATAAATAAATAAATGAGCAAATGAAAGACTAGAAAAATAGATAAAGCGCTACAATGTAACATGAACAACACTTAATTATCAGTCAATAATAGTTGTTTAATACGCATTTGAAAGAGAACGTATTGTCGATGATAGTTTCGTGCTAATTGTAATGCATGTCGTGCATCATGCTGTCTTACAAGACGTGTAAAATAGGAACCAATAAAATCATCACTGTCGCCATTTGATGGTGATATTTGTAATATTGACGAACGATTTTGTTCAAGTAAAGCAACGCAAAGAAATATTGTGAACATATCTGAAAAATGATTCTCATCATCGACCGATGAAAAATGTATTAACCATTTTCCTAATGGTACACATGTTGCTGTAGATAGAGTGCTTTTTGATGTTAAACAAGTTGAATTTTCATATTTTTGTGAACGTGAATTAAAATCTGATAAGCCCGGAATTTGTTCATCGCGATAACCTGAATCGCAACCGTCCAGACTCGATTGCGCATCTTCGAGTGTTGGTGAACTTGACCGTGAGGATAATATTGTATTGGATATTGAAGAGAGCATGGAGTCTCGATGTTGATTGCATAACATTGATGGGCAAAGGTCATCGCGATCTGATAATGTATTATCATTATTTAATTCAAATCGGTCGACTGGCAATGATGCCCATATAGTTTCAAATACACGAAATGTATCTTTAAATGGAAATTCACGTTTACAATCTAATAGTAACCAACGGAACGTAAACATTAGATTACCTAAAATAAAAATTACTTCAATAGAAACGAAAATCGGTAGATATGAAAATCACGAACCAATATCACATTGTTCTATTTTAGTCCATAGCTCCAAATCAATAGCTCGAATTGTTTTTCTTAGCAAATCTAATCGACGATTCATTCCAATACCGTTTGGATGAAATATCGAAGTCATATGACGCATTATTGCACAAAAACATGCATAGGCTAATGATTCGTCACGTATAACGTATAGAATAGGTGCTGCCATATCATTCATACCTTAATAATAATAAAAAAATAAATTTAAATACATCAAATTCTTATTTATGAAATAAATTACCTTGTACATAACCAGGCTCTGGATGATAAACACTATAAGTCATGAGGATTTGAAATAGTTTTTGTCCAGAGGAATTTTCTTTATCATCAAAAAATTTCACTGCACGATCTGTACGTTGTACATCTTTTTGTATTAGATTTTCAAGTGCAATAATCTCTGAATCGTTTAGTTTATATCGATTTTGCCAAGCTGTTTTCATTCTAGACGATAAAATTTATCAAAAACAAAAAGTTTATTTAATTATTAAATATGTTACTCGTTATAACGTTCTGTTGCTTTAACCGTGTACTCCTTCTTATCATCGTTTGTCATGGATTCATTAAATACCCGTAACAAATAACACCAAACAATTTTTCGAATAGACTCATCACAACCATTATCAAATATTTTTTGTCGGAAAGCTTGTTCATCTAATAAACGGCCTGTAACGGGATCTAGCATTTGATAGAATTCTTTTTTTGTTAGACAACTATTCGATGTTGCATTGGCTGAACCATGTAACCAACCTAAATAGGAGAAAAACAAAACTAAACAATCGAAAATGTTTTTTTTTTATAGTCACCAGTAGCTTTTTGTAAGAATGATTCTTGTCGATTATCTTTTGGTTTAATGGTTACTAAAATTGAGTCGTTTTGTATTTCGATTACTTCGAAATTATCATCTTTATCATTTGAATTTGTTCCGGTCTCGTCGAGTATACACCAATCATCAGTATCAGATTGAATTTGACGTTTTGCTCGTGGATATACATAAACAATAAATTCAACGGATGATTGTTGTTTAGTTGCATCATCATTTTCTTCAAGTGCATTCATAATACAACCGTCAACATCAAAATCGTTGGTAACAGGAATATTGCACATGAATGCAGATGCTTCTTTAGCGATTAAAGTAAAATTTGACTGTAGATTAAATGTTCGATTTACTAGACGAATAAGAAATGAATAGGATACTAATTGAATATCGACTGAAAATTTTTTTCGCGATTCGTATTGGTTAAAATTGTTTATCTAAAAATCAAGATTCAAGTAGATATTTATTTTTTTAATTAACCTTTAAAAAAACGTTTCTTACCGATATATAAAAAACAACAATATTTGGTAGGCGAATATCTTGTACAAGTTGTCGCGAAGGCAATTTGGATGAATATGTTGTCACAACCTAAAATAATAATACAAAGACGCCATTAAATAATGTGACATAAGAACACGCAGTTATGATTCATCGGTTGTTATGAAATTCTTCTCTATCAGCTATTATATACAGTCAAAATATCATCGGATTCTCTTTACGTAAGTACAACAAAGCAGAACAAAATAAACTTACTTCATCAATACTGTTACATCGGCATGAGTCACCTTTCAACAGTGCCGAACATGTCGATGTTTGTGACGCATTCATCTTATTTTCGGTTTGAGGAGACATTGGTGTTTTCTTGAATATATATTATTTCAAATGGTAAAATGTCATGCGATATATATATATATATATATATATGTATATATTTTAGAGCAAAATGTAAATTTTTTTTTCAACTCAAAAAGCAAACACAATGACGAGATGATAACCGTGTTCTTCTACTGCTGCGTTTGACACAAGCTGTGACCCTTTCTCAATATGTATATTAAAGCAGCCTAGTTTGCCTTTCGTTTCGTTCTTTATCTCTCTCCCTCTCTCGTGTTTTTTTCATTGCTGTGCTTGCCGTCAATCTGCATGCCTACTACCATGCATCATGCGACTGTTTTTTTTCCTGTCCGTCCGATATTGTTATATGGTTATCTAAATAAAACTGTGAGTGAAGTACTCAAGAACAAAGAAACGGTGGCATGATAAATGTTTATCTGGTCAGGACTTTAATCTGAACATAAAATTGTTTCTATAGTAATTGTTTTATTGTATTTATTTATTTTTTCTTAATTAAATGCGTGAAATAATAACAGTACAAGTTGGACAAGCTGGAAATTGTATTGGTGAAAGAGTGAGCAGAATAGAATTTTTTTTGCGAATAATAAATTCACAGAGAAGGAAATTAGTTTTGGGAGTTAGCGTGTGAAGAACATGGGATCGATTCGTGTGGGAGTTATCATGGTGAAAGTGACCTACAGCTTGAACGTATAAATGTCTATTTTAATGAGACAAGAAATCAACGTTATGTACCACGATCTATTTTTGTCGATCTCGATCAAATGTCGATTAATAAAATTCGAAATTCAACCTATAAAAATTTATTTAATCCAGAACTTTTAATCAATGGAAAAATGAGTGCGAGTAATAATTTTGCCAAAGGATTTTTCACTGAAGGTTTTTATAATAAAATTTAGTCGAAAATAAATAAATAAATATTCGTTTCAAGGTGCTGAAATTTTACCTGAATTAATGGATACGATTCGTAAAGTAGCTGAAGAATGTGATTTAGTACATGGTTTTCAATTTTTACATAGTATCAGTGGGGGTGCCGGGGGTGGTTTAGGTTCATTATTAATTGATAATATTCGACAAGAATATCTCGATCGTATTATAAAATCTTATTCAATATTTCCTGCGTTATCAATGTCACACGTTGTTGTATGCTGAGAATATTTGTCGTTTTTCGATGTCATTTCTCTTTTCATATATAAAGGTTGAACCATATAATGCTGTACTAACAATGAATCGTAAGAAGAAGAAGAAGAAGAAACGAATTCAATAAAATCAAATGAGAAAATTTTCATTTAGATTTAATTGAAAACACCGACGAAACATTTTGTTTTGATAATATTACTTTATTTGACATGTTCAATAAAACACTTCGACTTCCACAAGGAAGTTATACAGATATTAATCATATATTAGCACAAGTTATGATTGGTATCACAGCTTGTTTTCGGTTTCCAGGTGAGAATGAAACAGTAGAAATTTCGAAATATTAAAGATAACGTATTTATTGCAGACACCTGTTGAGATTACAATAGATTTCGTAGAGCTAATATTCTTTTATTTTACGGATCTCAGATATCTATAAAACAAATTTTGTCCCAAGCGGACGTACTAGATAACTGGAATTGAGGCCGTTCTTTTTGTTTTGCACTGTTCTCTGTTATTCAAAAGCAACGGCGAAGTAGTGCGTCCCAAAATTATTTGGACGCAGCAATCTAAATATATCATTTTTACTCTCGGCCACGATAGTTGAAGAATTTTAATTTTTGTTTCTCATAGGACAATTAAATATGGATTTACGTAAACTAGCTGTGAACATGATACCTTTTCCAGCGCTTCATTTTTTAACAACGTCATTTTCACCTTTGCAAGCACGTCACATAACGCTACATAAGAATATAAATGAACTGACACTAATCAAGCAAATGTTTGATGTAAATAATCAAATGTTAGCATTTAATCCACAACATGGAAAATATTTAACAGCTACAGGAATATTTCGTGGGAGAACATTATCACTGAAGCTTTTGCATGATTATATATCAAAAGAAAAAAATAGTCAACGTTTCATTCAATGGATACCGAATAATGTTCGTATAACGGAATGAGAAAAACTTACATTGGCTTTGTTTTGTTTAATCTAATGCTAATCTAGTGCAAAATATCACATTGTGATATTCCACCGAACGAATTGTCATGTTCGGTCACTGGTATTGCCAATCATACAGGAATAGTAAAACAGTTTGATTATATATTACAACCGTACACGAAATTATTTCAACGTCGAGCGTTCATTCATTGGTTCATTGATGAAGGATTGGAAGAAATTGGTTTGCTTTTTTCGGTGTGACTTTTTCGTCTCATTCTTTACCTTTACAGAATTGATCGAAGGAGAAAATAAAATAAAAGATCTAATGAAAGATTATAAACAATATGAAAATGATGAATAAATTGCATAGAAGTAAACAAGTCGTTTTTTATTGTTAGTTGTTATCAATCAAATGAGGGTTCTATTCAATGTCGATTGTTCAAGTTGAACTTTAACAATAACAAAAAAAAAAGAAAAATTCTAAAGACATCGAAACACAGGATTTTTTTTTATCATCTATCAACATTCTGACTAAGTAGGAGCCATTGTAATCTAACAAAATTGAATTCATTGTTTTTTTTTCAATCGTAGAAAATATGAAGTGACTCTATAGGACTAGGCCTATGAATATTTTACATTCGGATCGACATTTATTGGAGCATTTGACGAAGCCTCTGTGGCGAAGCGGATTAACGCGTTGGACTTCTAATCCAAAGATCGTGGGTTCGATCCCCACCAGAGGTGGTAGTAGTATTTTTTTTCTGCTTTTCTATTCGCTGCACAGAACGCAAATAGAAATCTAACAAAATTTGCCATCTCAATTCTTATATTTTCAAGTGTATTAATGAGCGAGACATAGCGAGAAGCAAATTTTATACTATGATTATGGTGCTATTTTCAACTAAAATTTCACCATTTGCTAGATTTTGCGTTTCATTCTCCGCTTCGCTATTTTTTAATCAAATGGTTGCCCTGCGATACTACTATACTGTATTCTAGTGTACCTTTATTAATATTTATGCCAGTTCTCAAGGAATCAGAGGCATTAGCGTTAATCTGGCACGTAGATCATGTGACTATCCGAACTTGAAACTATTAGTATATAATCTATACTTTTGTTTGTGAAACTAACTAGTCACATACAAATATTACACGCATCACGTATTCTCGTTTTATCTTTTCATTCTGGATACAATCGTAGGTTATTTTTTGCTTTTGCAATAACATATTTTCGATCACATGAAATAATAATGATATGATTTGAAGGATTGCGTTTGTGCAACTTTTTACTGAATAAATAATACGTATGAAGGTTGTTTACGTTTTGATTTTTTTGTTTCGTTAGGGACTTGTGACCTGAGAAATAGCTCATGAAAAAAGCATTAAAAAGATAGCACAAGAAAATACAGTAATATTAATCGACCATTAAGTCACTCTATTGCATGTTATTTTCGTCTTATCAGTCGTACTTCAAGATATAAACATCTTTGAATAATGCTTATCTTCTTTTCCAAGAGTTCTTAGGTCATTTTTTGGCTGGGTGTTTGTCAGCATAATTATCAGTATTACTTCAATCAAAATAATCTTTATTTAAAAAAAAAAGAAGAAGCATATAAACATGTAACCAGATAAAAATTTCTAAGCAATGAGAGATGGTGCAATGCGTTTTTGTGCTTTATCATACGATTTTTCTAACTGGTCAAAACGATTCCATTCTGTTGTTGGTTTCTAGAAAATAGAATGAATTTGATTAGATGGAAAACGCACAAAAAAAAGAATAACATACGAAGGTTGTGTTACGACTGGTTGATGATACAGATGCAACTGAAAGTGTTGAAAGAGTTTCTCGTATTTGTTGTTGCCGTGATACGCGTTGTGCCTTTTTAGATTCGATAGTTTGTTTTAATTGTTCAATTTCAGGCTTTGCAGTAAAATTGGATGGTGCACTGCTTTGTCGTTGTTTTCTAAATATTTGGGAAAAAAGAAAATTGGTTCGACTTATTCCGAACAAATTGTAAATCATACTTAATGGCTGTTTGCGTAGTTAATTCATTACGATATTTAACAATATTTTGAACTGTATGTGTAATCATTTGTTCTTTGGTTTGTTTCTCTTTAACAATAAGATCACGGCGTGATTCTCGTTCCTTTTCTCGTTCAAGTTTAACTATTTCAAGACGTTCACGTAACTCAGCTATGGACATTTCATCGTGCACACCGTGTCCAGCTACGGACGTTAGATCAACTTGTTTGTATCTGTCGATAGGTACTGATTCCAAAACACGAATTTGTTGAATTAATTCAGCACGTTGTCGTATTTCTGCTTCAGCCTAGTAGCAGAAAAAATATTTTTTAATACTAGGATTGTTGACTGCGTGAAGAGTCGGACGGGCTAAAAATTTGGCAAAAACTGAATGTCAAACGTTAAATTCATGGATTTCGTTAATAGAAGATGTTTTTTCTGTCAGAAATGGCCATAAAACTTTAAAAAATCCTGCAGGTTTTGAATTTTTGAGAGCGGTTAGCCCTTCTCATCCTCCTAATCGGCAAGCCTTTCTCCCACTTTCAATCATTTCCGAATTACTAACATCCTCAAGAGCTTGTTTCATCATTTGTTTATGTTCTTCTTTATATTGTTTAACAAAATCAGCTTTGTATTGTTGAAGTTTTTGTTGGGACAGTTTTGCATTTTCTCTTCCACTAACAACTTCATCAATTAATTGTCTACAAGAGAAAAAATAAAAATAAAGTCAATTGCTCTATTAAATTCATTTACTTCATTCGTTGTTCGTCTTTGACTTTTTCTTTAACATGTTCTTCAATAGCTTCACGTGTTTGACGTTTTAATTCCTCGGCTAAACGTCGATTTTCTTCTGTTAAACGTTGTCGTGCAAGTATAGCTTCTTCATAACTCATTTTTCCTTCTAGTCGCTTTCGTTCAATAGTAGTCATTTGATCGTCATAATCTTGTTTTTGCATTGTTTGTTGCCATTGAGTGAATTCTTGTGCATCTTTTCCACCAGCTTCGAAATCCATTAAACGTCGACGAACATCGTCTTCTTGTTTTTTATATAATTGACTTTCTTTTAATATCGTAGCAATATTTAATTTCACTGGAATTTTATTTGCCTAAGAATAAAATCAAAAGAAAATATTTTTTTTTGATATTTAATAAAAAACGAAAAATATCTACTTCAGGTTTCGGAGGTGGATTGGCACGAAAATGATCAAAGCGATAATTTTTCTCACGTTCTTGCATGATTTTTGATATTTTACTTTGAGTTTTAGATGATTTGTCTGTTTGTAAAAAGTGATGATGCAATGCTCGTGTTTGATCGAGTTTATTTAAGCCACGACGATGATTATCTTCACGAATTTTTTCTAATTCTACATGATCTCGTGGGAGTTCATAGGTTGTTTTAGGTACTGTTCGAGCTTTGTCGATTTTAGGAATCTAAATTTTTGGACAAGAATAAAATTCACAACGCTGTAAAGTAACATTAATACGAACAATTTTCGGTATGGGCACCATTCGTGCTTTGGGTGCAGTAAGATTGAATGGTTTTGATTTAGTTGGTTCTGGTACTGGACGCGGTGCTGTACGTCCTTCAACAGCATCTGAAAGATCGAGTAGAATCGCACGTAAATCTGGTAAATATCTATTTAAAATAGAAGAAAATAAGAGATCAATTATTTTTCTATTGAAGAGGCAATTATTTCGTTGACATACGTTTTAATGACTCGACCGATTTTTTCATCGATATATTCTTGTTCATATAATTTCATACATTCTTTTTGAATTGCTTGAAGATGTTCGTCATCAATCAGGAATTTCAAAAACTAAAATAATAAAATTCAAGTTAAAAACGAGTGTCCTTGAAATTTATTCGTGTTTTCCTCTTCTATAAGTCAGATTGTAAACTCTCAATCGTGACAAGAGAATCGAAGATCCTATATGTCGATTCGACTACCAGATAGCCAAGAAAAAATCGATAGAACGGATGATTAATCTACACATAAGACACCATTGGCTGATTTAGTTTTCTGCTAGATTTAACCGATTGATCAGCTATGTGTAAATACTACTTTTCCAGGTAAAGTGGAACGCATGAGTATTTTTAATTGAGGACTGTAACATAACTAAAAGCAATTTTTTCTATTCGGATTCTTCCATTCAGTAATAAATTAACCATTATAGAAGAAGAAAAAGAATAGTATTTTGCTTCAAAAATACAAAGTAGTAGACAACTAATTTCATTACTTGGGAATTTCTCAATCTGACCTATTCGAAAAGCCTTGTTCTATTTCTATAAAAGTTCTTTCAATAGGAAAATTGTTGTGTACCCGGAACTTTAAAAAAAAAGGTTTCTTATATCCACAGGCCATATTTCCACAACAAAACACGGACTTTCTTGAACCCGGAAGTAACTTTCTAAACGAAAAGAATGAAGGCTTCTTTTTACATCTGGAAGCTTTTCCCTCAAAAAAGTGGAACAAAAAGAGTTCACTGTCAATTGTTGAACTATTGTAATGCATAAAAGAACGTTCTCGACACATGCGAATATCTTTTTAACTTGAATTCTGTACTTCTAAGTAATACCTGATGCACTCGATTTAATTGAACTGAATCGATAAAACCACGTAATAATTTAAATCCAACACTATCCAATTGATAGAAGATGAGATAAGCAATGACTAACAAAAATAAAACTTAATAAATAAATATATTTCAAGTTCAATGTTCAAACTCTTATAAATATTTTGCTCGGATTTTCGAATATTGATCCCGTCTGTAGCATAAAATATGTCAGTTACAGTTTTGAGTAATGTTGAATGTCGTATGCAATCCAATAAGATTGTTGACACGAAGGCTTCATTTGGAACCTTTGAGAAAAAAAACAAATTCATGATCATAAGAATACAATCGTTGCACAATTGTTTTAAATACTTTATTGTCTTGAAAATACTGTTCTAAAAATGTTTCTTCGGATATACTATGATCATATTCATTTAATACTTGTATACAATGATAAAATAGTTCACTATATGCATTAGCATTTCGTTCCATTTTAAATGAAAAACTGATCCAGTATAACGGCCATTAGTAATGTTTGTGTCATGACAACCAATAGCATGATTAGCGACAATGATTACTATATTTATTCAATCATATTTATTTAGATCATCTAGATCTAGCATCTTTAGATTTTTCATTGAAATAAGAAAAAAATAAATGAATCTGTTATTTTCAACCAATGTTTTTATTCGTCAATACCTCAACAAATAGCAACGATGACTAACTTGTCAATCAATCATTTCTTTGCCTACTAGCTTCCTTCTGTTCTGTTTATTCACATCCCGAATGGTTCGGATGGTCCCCCATTGTGCTGATCTTTATCAAGGTCGAATGTGCATCCAAATCTTTTTAGTTTTACTCTTCCAAGGTAAAATTTTGTCAGGAGTTTCTATTCTGAGATTAATTTCAATATTTTTAGTTGTAACCACATTTGCCTATACGACAAGTCCTACGCCATGGTTTTGTACAGACCCGAGTGCATTAGATTCAAATATTGAGATTTCTCGAAAACTGCCATCATGTTTACCAGGCTATGTTATTGACATAGAAGAAGTTGTGTATGAATCAACAAGTGATGGTACATGTTCCGGTAAAAGTTTATGTAGTTACCAGAATAGAAATGCACTCTCATTCGCGTGTAATAGCAAACAAAAATGTACCGTGGATATTCGACACTCTCGTTTTCATATTAATAAAACTTGTGGTTCAACAGTGAGATTTTTTACTAAGTATCGTTGTTTGCCTGTTATACAAGAACAAAAGAATTATTCATGTGAATCAACCATGCGTCAAGCAAACTCAGGTGATATTAATTTATTTTGTGACAACAACTATCGTCTGTATATAAAAATGGCATTAGTTGGAATTATTGGTAAACCGCACGATGGTACCAAAACTCGTGTTAAATGTAATAAGAATACATATTGGCTGTGCAATCATTATGTACAAGATGCTTATCGTAGTGTTTGCAATAATCAATTAAATTATGGTATTGGGAACCAATGTAAAATTCGATATAGTGAACGACCAAGACTACACGGATGTGAACACGGAGATCTATCAAATTTCTCATTAGTAGAATATGCGTGTATACCAGGTAATTCTTGTTTGAAAATAAAGGCTATGAGAGTTCAATGAAACGAGAAATAGGCTTGCTTATACTGCTCGAAGCTAATATGAAATCAATGTATCTCATATTTAAAGAAAGTTTACCGCATAAAATATTCCGAGCATCCCCTAGGGGCTCGTTTAATACACGTTACATCTTTCTTGCTAATGTAACAATTGTCAGGAACAGATTTATGAGACATTTTGTATTTAAGACTATCAGATAATGATTTCGAACTGAATGTTGGATAGTTTTCTATTTATTATTATTATTATTACAAATGCCAGATATTTTCTTGATGAAAAACTCGATGTTTATCATAGATCGTTTATTCATAAAACTTGATAAATACAGCAAAATGTTTTTCTGTTTTATGGTTTTCGTGTAATTTATCGATTCTTGAGGGCAGATCTACTTGAATTTATTTGTATCGATTGAGAACCAAGAATGTTGAAAGTTCGACATGATTAGTCAATTTATGACCGAAACGAAATCATAAAACATCAAAGATCAATGAAAATTATGCTTGTTTTTCTAGGTGAAAGTATAAACGAAGATCTTCCTCGAATAGATATTTGTTCAAGTAAACAAGATGAACGAATACCTATCAATCGTGGCCTTCTTCAGTCTCCTAATTATCCTCAATATCTAGGGCAATATGTATCGTGTATGAAGCAGTTACATGTCCCTCGTGAATCTCGTTTACGTTTATTTATGCTTGAAAAATCTATTGATTATTATCAGGAATTAAACATTCGCCTATTAAATAATGAACCCAATACGCAACGTACATTAGCTAAAAACGAATTATTCGATACAAATATAACTCATCCATTAAGTGATGAAATCGTCGAAATCGAACTCAAAACAAATCATATTGGTAGTGGAAACTTTTTACTTTATTTCCAAGGTAAATTTTTCTTTTATTTTTTTGTTGTCTTCATTACTTTTAATAGCAGTAAAATACCATCTATTTCACTTTTGCCATATAATTGCCATAATAGCAGTATACAAAGAGAGGGAGAGAAAGAGGAAAGAACCAAACGACATGACTCTTCTATATTTACCATGCTATTTATAATTTATGATCAACACGCATCAACCATTAGTTAATAGTAATTTATTCTAGTCGATTCCCGCATCTCGGAATACGCTGCATCAGTGTTTGAAAATGGCCGGGCTACTGACGATTCTAATCGACGAGAAAAACTATTGGTTAAACGAGATTGGGGTAAGTTACCAAGTATTTCATCATCTAGAAATCTTATTTCTTTTTGTTGTCTCTGTAAAAGCAATCATAGCTGACAAATTGTTGATATTTATTATAACTGTAAATAGTATGAAATCAAACAAGTCATAATGGAAGCTGTACAGAACGCAAAATAAATATGTTTTCAGTATAAAAAGAAAAGAAAACGTGATATTATTACTAATAATGATGAATGAAATATGCGAATTGAAGCATAAAAATAAACGATATTAATTTTAGTTTCTGTACAATTATTGTATTTTTTTCCTCTACTTCTTAAAAGAGCTCTTCTCGTCAGAAATGTTAACTGTAGGTTAGATGCCTCGCATGAGGGGTCTTGATTAGACGCATAAACAAAAGCTAATTTCTTGAATGATTTGATTATTTCATGTTGTTTTCCACTCGAAAAAATATAAAAACAGACGAATGACGCTATTGAAGATTGATCAGTTTGCTTTGAGAACTCGCGAATATTAACAGTTTTTCTGTATGATTAATTGGAATGAAAGAAAAAATATATATGATTAGTTATGTCAAACTACTCATGACAAAGAAAGCCCTCGAATTGATAAATCACTTTTGGGTATTCAATGCAGACTAATGATTTGTAAATATCTTGAAAACAATTCAGACTTTTAGTTTATTGTTGTAAGTTTTCGATGGTATTTTATCGAATTATATGTAATTCTCCTTAGGGAAACAAACAAAACTAATTTTGTAAATAGACAGATTTCAAGGAGATTGATGTTTTGTTTTTAGTGAATATTTGAAATAACAAAAATTTTATTTCATTGGTTTATATAAACGATAAGAAAAATACTCGTTGTAATTGACCTTGTATATTAAGTAAGGGAAAGCTATTCTTGTCTCTATGTAAATTTGTAATTCGAAGACAAGGTCGTTTAACGTTCCTAAAAACGTCACAGCACACTGAACTATCCCTCGGGTAATAAGCTAAAAGCACGAACTCTTACAAAGACAAATCTCTATCTTTGAAAACAATAATTTTTCTATTTTAGGTGTTGTTATCGGTTGTTTAATCGGCCTTATTTCCGTGATTTTGATTATCGGTATTGTTTTACTTTCATGTCGAATTTTAAAGTTAGTCTATTCTTCTCTAACTACTTTGTTCAATAAAATATTTTATTTTAGAACTCGTCGTGCACGTACTCGGAAATATATGAGAAAAGATGATGATCATCGTCAACATTTGAATGCGCCTGCTACTAATTTAAATGACAATCGTCATCCTATAAGAGGAATAAAAATAGAGCATCCACATTTATTATCTTCACCACCAAAAATCATTTCATCATCAGTGCCTGTTCATGATAATGGATCGGATCGCGAAACTCTTCTTAAACATGGCCATCAGATAAATGCAGCAAGTACGAATATTGATAATTTTTATGAAGAAATAAAAGAACATCAACAACAAACTAATTTCAATTTAGGAAATTATCCTGAATTGAAAAAATTCGAAAATAATAATTCTTCACAACCAATAAGAGATCATCGTGAGGTATTCCATAATGAATGTTAACGATAAGCTTTCATTTTATTCTTGCAAAAGCGCATGCTTCTTCTTCTTCTTTTAAATTATACTTTCACTTTAGATATTTTGTCTCTTGTTTTGCAAACTTAACAGTTCTATGTTAAAATTCCTAATAAATATTTTTTTTAAATATTTTTAGTTAATATTCTAGTCATTGTATATAGACCGTGTTCTTTTATTGTAAAAATAAAATAAATTATTATCGATTTGCTGCCAACCATCGCTTTAAATCTTATGCTTTTGCTTAATATCACGCCCTGCATTAGTACATTTAGTTTTAGCTTCAGCAAAAACAAAATCCGAACGCATTGATTAATTTTCTATAAATATACTTAGACTGAACCAACTGTACGTCGATCAGCACCAACGTCGACGCCCGCATCATACCAACGACATTTAGGATTCGCAGTATCTGATGCACCGATGGCAAGTACAGAAACTCTAGATGTTGGAAGTAATTCAGCAAAAATTCAACATATGAAACGTCCTGCAGAAGTACCACCACCTAGAATGGATTTAAGCCATCCGCTACCAACTGCACCTCCACTTCATTTACTGCAAACTGATCTAAACGAAAATATGCAGCCACAGCAACGCATGCATCATATGCAAAATTGGAATAATAAGAATTAAAACTAATACGTTTAGAATAGAATGCCTGCGATATGAACAAATATATATATATATTTATTTTGTGCAACCTGATTATATGTATTTTTGCTTTGTCTAGTCCATTTCATTTCTTTCATATTGTCTACTCCTTTATAAATGCAATTTTATTAGATGAAAAAACAAGAACTAAATCCATGATAATATTAAAAAAGACAACAACTCTTTTGAACTTTACTTCTTAATGGGCCTGTTAAGTATAGCGATATGAGTTAAGTTGTTGTTGTTCTACTTTGATGATGTGTAGAAATAAGTGTGCCGCTCGTTTGGCTTCAATGAGGGGATTTATCAGACAACGAAGCTATATGGAAAAAAATAATTATTGTTAATTGCGAGTCGTCTCGTTGGTTCACACACTTTTCTTTCTCTCTGTCTCTCCGTAGGTGGCAATATACATTGACTCGCGCACGTATGGAGAGAAGAAAACAATTGTTTTATTCCTTTCACATGATCAGAATGTATATAATCGTTTAGCAACCAAGCAATTCCGCAATCGTACTGACATTCCAAAGACGTAACTTGTTATCATTCATTTGACAAAAAGGAAATAAAACACAATACTATGGATGATTATCATGATCGAAAGTCGTTTGCCCTTCGTGTTCTACGTTCGAAAATTGTCAATTGGAAACAAGGACACGAAGATAACGAACATAGCCAACGTGCTGTCGATTTTCTTATAAAAAAATTGAAGAACACCGATGGTAATGGATTAGTATTTTAAATTATTTTCTATCTATTTTAGTTTTCTTTTTTCAAATAATCTATTTCTAGGTGTACTCGATTCATTAGCAAAAGTATTATTAAAACCTCATTATCCAAGTTCATGTATAACAATTCCACAGTCAGTAGATAAACGTATTCAAATTGTCTATCGTAAAGATTTTCCACATGTTGTCTATTGTCGTTTATGGCGTTTTGCTGATTTACAAAATTATCATGAATTAGTTCCTGTACCTTACTGTCGTTATCCATTTTTACCGGGAAGTAATCCTAATCAAAAATGTGTTTGCATAAATCCATATCATTATAATCGAATACCATCGCAAGGTGAAAATTTACGAAAAAAAAAGAATCACAATTTTAAGAAGAATTTCTTTTTGTTTGTTTAGTTCTTCCGTCAATTATTGAACCAAGAATAAATAATGAAAATGCACCACCAACACCACCTCCATCTCTGTACTCACCTGATCCATGTAAATAGCTGCTATTTTTTGTTTTGCTTTCTTTGAAAATATTTATGGAATTTAGATTCTCCTCAATGGGTACCTCACCAAATACAACCGGTATGGTGTACAATAAATTATTATGAATTCAGTAGTAAAGTTGGTGAACAATTTCGTGGAACAGAAAGAAAAATATTTGTCGATGGATATACATTACCGTATAGGAAAGTTTCAAATCGATTTAGTTTAGGTTCATTAGAAAATGTTAAACGGCAAAGTATTGCAGAAGATGTTAGAACATTAATTCGCGGAGGTACGTTCTGTAATATACGATGTAGCAGATCTCCTTATAAAAAATTTCTTCTTTCAAGGCATTGAATTAATCTTACATGATAATGGTGATGTGTCCATAAGAAATCGTTCGTGGACACATTCTGTATTCATTCAATCAATTCTTTATAATCGGTTAAACAGCTTAAAAGATTCGACTGTTTATCATTTACAAAGTCGTCACTCAATAAATTCAATATTTAATTTATCAGTTTTTACTCAATTAGTCAACAACCCAGCTGCTACATACGAAACAATACTTGATCTAACGAAATTATGTACAATACAAGTCAGTTTTAAATATGGTTGGGGTTATGAATGTAGTCGACGCGAAATAACGTTAACACCTTGTTGGTTATCAATTATTATTAATGAACCACTTCGTTTAATTGATACTCGTCTACAACAATTGCAACCTGAACAAGCAACTATATCCAGTTAATCGAACTTTGTTCTTTTTTTTGTTGCTTTTTTCTCTCGCTTTGTATTCAAAAAGGAAAGAAAAAAACACATGTTGTGCACAGCTGTGTACTCGACATTTTTTTTCTCCTATCTTTTACCGCAAAATGTAGATATTTTTGCCAGAGACAACATCGACGACCCGACTCACTTTTGTAAGGCAGAGAAAAAGAATATTTTTCTCTTTTGTTCTTGTTTTCGTCAATGTTATACAAAAAAACCAACAAAACTCAATCATTCAGACAGAAAAAGAAAACTCTAATTAATTCGATGTCGATTAATCGTAATAAGAGAGGGGGAGAGAGAGAGAGAAAACCTAGGCATATATGGTAATGCAATTGGGTTGTTGTTTTATATTTCTTCTCCTAGGTCATAAAACAAAGGTTTTAGTTCTGCTGATTCGAATATCATCTAGGTCTAACCTATGTTTTTCTATCATATCACGATTGATGATGCGAGAAAGCAAAAAAAAACACCAACAATGAGAATATAAATAGGCATATATGATTAAAACATGAATCGTCCTCTTCAGAGGTACTTCTATCACACACTGTGAACATTGCGTCAAGGCAAAAAATTTTTTTTTGTATGATGGAAGGGAGGGAAAGAGTGAAAAAAGAAAAAAAATACACCGCTAAAAAGACAAAAACAACCAAGTAACATACGGCGTAAAAATATTTTCTTTCTTTTCATCGTCGGCTAAAGACATCAGCCCGGGTAGAAAGGAGAGAGAGAGAGAGAGAGAGAGAGAGGAAAGGAGTAGGGGTCTTATGGTTGCTGGGCACTGATAATATAAAGGCATCGAGAGAAACAGAGAGGCTCTCAGCACTGCGGCCAAACACAATCCGCAGTGAGTCCTTCTATTATCTCTCTTTTCAAACAATATAACGACAGTTGCATCGGAAGTTTGATAATCAACAAGACTCCAATGTCTATGCTAAGTTATAAAGGTTATGCTTACATATGATTTGAGAAAGAAATATGAATCTCTTATGCCTGGATGTCAACAAATGTAAGTAGAGAAAATAGTACTAAGAAGAAATTTTATTTCGAAATCACATGTCCAATTTTTTTTCTTCTGCTCCACGTTAATTATTTATTTCAACCAAAAAAATTATTGAATTAACAGCATTAGATTTCTTTTTTTTTCTTCCGTCGTCAATAATTATCAAATCTAGATTAGAGATAGAACGAAAACAGCTGATGATACTTTTATCTTTAAGTGCATCCTTTCTACATGGTAAATAACTACACAGGCAAATAAAACATGAATGCTTTTTTGCTTTTTTTCTCGTTGCCTTATGTCGAAATGATGTTCGTGTGTTAGCTGTTTCGCATTCAGTCGTCATCAATGTCTTCTACTCCTCATCTTTCGACTGACATTTATATTGATTTAACTTAAAGAAATCAAGAAGGGTACCTGACGGGAGACTTTTATAATAGATTAAACAAATACACGATTCATCATAAGAGTAAAAGCGAAAATGTATACAATACAGAAACTATTTCATCAGCGTACTTTTACTTTCAACAATAAAAACTATAGAAATGTTTTGAATAAAATGTGGGGAATTTTGCGACCGCATACAATAATTCTATCCATGCTTATTGCTTCTTATAAAAAATAAATTCAACATTACAGACTGCATTATCGATAGAAGAATTTTGCTATTTCACATACTGTAGGGTGAAAAAAAAGAAATATTTATTCAAGATAATTAGAATACTCGGACTTCTTTTTCTAAATTTGTAAAAGAAATTAATAGACTTCGTTAAATATATCAAGGCATGATCCGATGCTAAAAGAACCCTATGTCTATAGAACGACTCAAGTTTGTTAACGAAGACTAATTGCAGGAATGATAAATATAGATAAAACAATTTTCAAAATGAACCGACAGAAATAATTATTTCATAACCACGTCATGGAACCATTTGCTTTGACCGATGAGGGATAGGACTGATTCGAGTCCGGTGATCATCGACCTTTCTGTTTTGGGTTTGAAAAGGTTTTTTTAAAATTCCTGTTAGCTAATCACAATGAAATTAATTATAGTATTATTGTTGTGTTACCGTTTCTCAAGAATATAATATTTTTCTATATTTGTGAACGACTCATTTTAAATCTGAGTTTAATCTGCTTGAAAGTATTTTACATCATTCTTTCACCATAAGTAAAAAATAATGAAAATTTTCTTTCTAGTTTTCTGTTGTTATGATTAAAAAAACGCATGTGAGGCACAGTCTATACAATGTCAGATAGTCTTCTTGCCTTTTTTTAGACATCCGGCTTCCGATTATGTGTTATTATTATGAAACTTGTCTGATCTCACGACATAGAAGATTTTCTCGTACGTAACATCGAAGTACGGAGCGCTGTTTTTATTTTGAATATGAAAAAAAAACAAATTTGCAAATTTTTACTCGCGTCAGTTTTGGTTGTATCGGATTTTTCTTCGATAAGACGTGAAGTCTACCAGCGCAATGCTAGAGGTCGCTATCGATCAAACTTATTTTAGCTGGTTAAATATGATTTTTATTTTCTTAGTTAAAATTTGTTCTCCTGCAGAAATGATTGAAATTCATTAGTTAATTTTACTATCTTTCCAAATGAGATTGATACAAATTAGTACATAGAAATGTATATAATGCGATTTATACATTAAATTTTCTCGTCAGTTGTTTTGAAATACTATTAAAACAGGTAATGATAACCCTAGAAATATTCTACTTCGATTTATTTTGATTGACTTGACGACTAAGCAAGGTTTGAATACATATCAGACAAAGATAAAACTAATAGAGCGTAAGAATTGTGTTTCATGGGACAAATATAACCTGTATTCAAACACTCGTTGAAGAAAGCTAGAAAAACAAAAGTACTTTGAGTGGATTATAAACCCTTTGGATATCAAACATCATAACATTCTTTTCTTTTCTTTTTTATTCTATCCAAATGTTCCTACGCCGAATCGACAGGAGACTTCCAAAGTAACATATTCATACTTAGTTTATTTATCCGTTCCTTTCATGAGATGTACTCTTAATCACGATCATATGTGATTCTCAGACGATATTTCAACTCGTATCAAGGAGGTTACTGAAAAACGATATTTTGCTGTATAGGCTAGACTAAATTATTAATTATACTTATAGACGCCGTTTCGAAGCTGAAAATAGCAAAAAATGACATAAAAATCTCATTATATGTATCTAACCATCGGAAAATACATTTAATAAGGTTTCAACATCGTTTAGAAAGGTTATTTTCGATTAAAAAAATGTATCTTAGTGTGAAAAACGCTTGTTGTGAACACTACATACTAAATGCAATGTCGTCTATTGAACTTCTTCGTAACAAACTTTGAATGTATCGTACGAGTATAAAATTTACCACCATCGAAGTTTTTCTTTTCTTTATTAGTCATAAATATAGTTCTTGGTAATTTCACGCAATGTTTAGTTGCAATTAAGTAATTATTACTTTTTTTGTTGGATAAAAACATCGTGTCATACTTCCCACTTGCCCTCGTTCTGTTTCTCTACCCTTTTTTTTTATTTTTTAAAATTATTTATCGTATATATTATGTGTTTTTTTCATACTATGTAGAAAAACGAAATAAAATCAGCCAATTGCTCTCAGCTTTATATCAGTTGCTTGTCTTCTATTGGTTGACAGTAAGTCAATATTTTTTCTTGTTCTTCTTCCTTGCTGGTTCGTTTGCTCGAAAAAGAATAGCTATCAGTAATTGCAAACATGTACGAAAAGAAAAAAGAAAGAAACAAGAAAATCTGTGTGGAGATGACTGGGTAACAAAAGGCAAAAGTCGTTTACTTGCTCGCCCATCAGTCTTGTTCTCATCATTCATTGCGAATACATATTTTTTTTCACGGATGACAGAAGATTTGACGATATTTGCAGTAATTATGTTTTAGTCATAGAAACATTTGAGAATATTAAAGGTAATCATAATACTTACTTGGCTATTATTAATGGATATGAAACATATGAGCCGGGTAATCATACTCGCAGTATTGAGAATTTTGAGAATGAGTAATAATAATTACTGTCGCTCGTATTTCTATCGGTTTCAGCCCTCACACGACTCACGGAGATGAAATTAAGGTTACTGTTACAAGAGAAGAGAATTCTATATGAAAATAGATCTTTAACCTCCTACTGAGCAGCTCTATGTAATACTAATGTAAATATCAATTCCAGCGGGAAAATCCGTGTCAAAAGTAAGATTTTGATAACATTTAATCTTGTATTAGTTTAGATCAATATCGAACTGGTATGATGTTTCACCTGAAAATTATCCAGTTTCCTATGGAATAGAAGGTATGATAAATTAGATTTGACTGGCACAAGCGAATATTCCTAGTAAATCTTCAGTTTAATAAGATTTGGAAAAGAAAATTTAGGAAAAATGAGTCCCAATAAAAAAAAGTCTTCATAACATAGCAGAAGATTACCTATTAAAGATTAATAGACGAACTTGTTAAGGTTTTACGATTGACATATAAATATGGTTATCATGTGTTTGAGTAGATAAGATGCAGCGAATATCCGTTAGTAAGGTTATAAGTTTGTGCGCCAAAGAATGCCTTGATTTTCTCTTTTTTTGAGCTGCACGAAATGTTCTTATAAACTGCTATGCTTTTACCACGATAAATATTCGCTCGTTTGGACAGCTGTCTCTGCCTAGCATGTGCGCCATGCATTTTCAAGTCTTTTTTTTATATGAAAAAGTTAATTTCCGTATTAAATAACGGCAAGCTGTTGATTTCATATTGAAATCAAGTCACGACATAGAGGACAGAATGACACAAATTATTGACAGCGTTAGAAATTTCTCAGTTCTCAGACTTTTTTCAAATGAAAAAGTGTTTCAAAGTATTAGCACGAATGATGCAGATTTTACAACGCTGAGACGTTATTTACTTAATAGGCCTACTGATCGAACACAGCGCTCATTTTAACCATTGCTTCGCTTTCTTTTGTAGTTTTTTTTAAAATAGTCTACGACGACTTTTTCGACAGTTGAAAATAGTTACAAATTGTTATGTTTTGCTTTTCAGTTAGACTGGATTTCTCTATAATTCATCACCTTTCTTTCTAGCACGTTTTGTTTACAAAAGCTAAGGACCATCGTTTTTTTCCGAAGTAGTTTCACTGCTTCATAAGATTAGGAAAAAATATAGATACCCTAAGGCCTATTTTTTTTTCTTCAGGAGGAGGAAATTTAGCAAAATAACAACATTTTTGTGAGCATTCGTTGACTTTCCTGCGATGTTCTCAGTATATTTATATTATTTTGGTTCTGCGGTTTATTTCGAACTACATCATTATATATCCATCAGAGAAGTCGGTTTGGATTAGAAAAAATATTCTACCTTCTATTTTCTGTTTGATAATAAACAGAAATCCGATACCAATCTGTACCAATAGGAACATACAAACCCCATGAAGTTCTTTGTGCACATCTGCTATGAGTATGATAGATGTTTCGCTATTTTCTTCGTTCTTTTTCTCACATTATCATCGCGTTATTTTGCATTTCTTACAAGGACGTCCTGGCGGCAATAGAGGAACTTCTTTTTATAGAAGTCGCTTTTGTTACCATTGCTCTGTTTGTCTTTCTCTGTATGCTTATGTGCGTGCGCGTTTATGTGGAAGGAACCGATCGTCCGACCAGATGATTTCTATAGGAATGCTTGCTTGTTTTGCTTCGAATGCACTATTCCCGTTTTGACAGTTCGACGCTTTGCTTTCTTTTATTATTATTTTTTTTCCTTGCGGTAAACAGGTTAAACGCTTTATTTCTCTCTGTTCTACACATAATAAAATGTATTTTTGTATTTGTAAGTCTTACTCCTTTCCTCTTCGTTGGCGTCGCACATTCGAGAGATCTAAATATACCAAAACATTCTCTAAGAAACGAGAGAAGAACAGGAATAAACTTGATCAGCATATTTTTCCCTTTCTGTTTTTTTGTTTTCTTGGTTTCAAAGTACAACGAGAAAATAGAGGAAAGCACGACGATAATAATGAAAATCTATTTTGTGCGTTTCTATATCGCCAGAGACCGGGAAAGAAGGAAGCGAAAATACGGCAACAGAAAACATATGAGTCGATGAATAGTTATTACTTGTAACACTCAAATATCCCATATAGCGATGTATGTATATATATATAATATAAATTAACAATAAACCATTGATATACAGGGCGTGGGTTAAACACATTTTATCTACTCAGTTATTATTTTTAGATTAGTGTAAGTTTAATTTTCATTATTATATCACATAGAATGATTACTGAATACTATAGGAACGATTTACTATCGTAAATCAACTATTGTCTCTTGATGAGATTTTATTCTTTCTCTCGAGTATTTTGTTTTTATAGATATGCTTAAATTCTTTCCATTATTCTTCCATTAATTCTTTTTTGATTACTCTTACAAAAGAAAAGAATCTTTCGTTCTGCCAGTTCTATCTTTTGATCAACTATGTTATGTCTTTATCTTCATATAAACTAAAAGAAAAGTACGCTTTTCTTGTCCATTTGTTACTGTTTTCACGTTTCATTTTTGTTTTTTACAGGTTCGATTGATGGAATTTTTTTGTTTCTCCTTTACTTATAAATACATCCGTATGTTGTTTATTTGGTTTGGTGATCTTCAGTAAATAACGAGTACATTTGTTTTTCTTCTCGAAATCAGAAAAGAAAACAACACACAAAACAATTAATGAAAAAATGAAGAAAGTTTTATTACTATTTTGGCGCCCATTTTTTATACAAGTTCTTCCTAGTTCTAAGATTGTGAGTAAGTGTGAAAGGCAAACTAAGTTGTTATAATGTGCATAGAAAGAGAACTGACAACAACACGCCAAAACAGAGAGCAGCGAGAAAGCTTGAATACCTCAACGATGTCGACGAAAGCAAAAAAAAGCATAGTCATGTCTTTTTCTTCTGTTGTGTTCTATTTTTCTTTCAGTCAGTTACTCGACTCCACCATGAATACTGCTATTACCCATACGACACATACTCATTCTTTTTTTTTTCTAGCAGACGAATGAGATATTTATTTTCTACGTAGAATTTTTTGTGGTTATAAAATGACTTGGTTAAGTTGATTAGGACTATGTTATATTAGAATTTTTTTAAAATTATTTTTCTTTTCTATTTCAGAGCAATATGGATTGAATAATAATGTTATGTATTGACCCTGAGACCCTAACTTGAGACTGTTATTGATCCTCTCAGGTTTCGGTCTCCGGTTCGATCATTCATTATAAATTAATAGATGGCCGTGTTTATGTAACGTATGAATTTTTGTTTCAATGATTATTAATTTTTAGGAAAGAAGAAAAAGCTAAATGAATGTTTTTGGTATTTATGATCATGAATGCTCATTGATATTATTTTTTTTATTATGAAGAACGGAAGGGAAATAGAATAGGATTCAACAAGCATGCATACTTTGTTTTTGTGTAAAGTTATGTTCATTTTTTATAATTTTATTATAAATACAAATTAAAATTTTGTAAATATGATGCACTCTTTTTCTAGATGGAAACATTTCAAAATGCTGTTTTATCTTGTAATATATATATATTTTTTTTTCACTTTAATGTTAAGATATTGATACCATATAACCAGAAAATAAATATTTGTTCGAGTGGGTGAAAAGTGAAGTAAATAAATGCTCTTTAAGGGTTATCTGCGTAGGGTGTCTGCATAGGATAATAGCAGTCATATACGGATACCAGGGGAATTTCTTGTTTTTCTTGGTATCGTTCATTCTAAATTAAAATGTTGAGTTCAAAAAAATCTCAACGAGCATTCTTTATGAGTGATACTTTTTTCTGTTCTTGCTTTCAAATGGATATAGTAAAATTGTAATTCTATACAACATATTCTTAGACATGCTGAAAACCATAGTTACGTGCTCATTTTACATGTGAATGGAAAACAATCAAGATCTAGATTTCAATAATGAAACAACATATGGAAGTGAAAAATCTTATCCTATGAATATTCAAATAACACAAACAAGATGATAATAGAATCATTTCATCTAGTTAAAAAAAAATCTCTATGTTCCTTTCACAATCTTCATTCAATTAAAAAGAAACGAAAGCCTTCACATTTATTTTTTATGTAAAAGAATCGCTTCTGATATGTAGTGACATCTACTTGTCGACTTCAAATATCATAGTCACTGTAGAGTTGTAACTATAGTTAAAAACTATTAAATGACTGTTTCAAACTACTCAAGACAAACATTAGATAAACTACATTTATTTTAATTTGAATTCGTATCTGTGATTTTGTTTGCTCGTTGCCATTACAATGGATAACGAGCCGACTGTTACGATAAATAATGCTGATAATACTGATACGCATTCGCAAGGTAATGCGCCTGCTGATAATGCATCTCGACACAGTTCTCGTGCCGGTTCTGCTCGTTCCGGTCGTAGTAAAGCAGCATCAAACCGTGAAGCAACGGCCATTGATGTAACAGGTGAACGTAAATCATCGGCAACTGCTCGTGGATCTCCAAAACCAGATGCAGTTCCCAATGTCGAACGACAACCGTCCGCTTTGGCAAAATCCAAGCCTCCATCACCCGTTATACCGATAATTGATACGCCCAGTGGTGAATTTGATGATGATGGAGTAAATCAAGATTCTAGTACTTACGGTCGATCCGAAACTCAATCTATTGTAAATATTTTATGAAAATTTGATTTAATCAATTTTTTTCTTCTAAATATAGATTGAATATATTCATAAACTTGTTACACTACCTGGCTTAGAAGCCACCATGTGGACAGATGAAATCCATGCACGAATTCGTGATTATCTCAATGAACCAGATAATCGTATAATGTGTTTCTATATCGATCGTGTACTTGGCCTCTGCGTTGAATTTGGAGTGCCAACAAATCCATTTTCACATTTAGTATATTTTATGAAAAATCAATCACTACGCATTTTTGACAAAGAACAATTTATTCGGTAAATATATATTTATAATTCTATATAAAATTATGTTGTATGGTTTTTAGTGATGTTCAATATGGTAATTTTGGTGGTAAACATTTTTCTTCACTACTTCGTTTAATGTCTGGTCTTTATGCGCCATTATTTTTTGGTAATAAAATGTGGCCAGATTCAATAAAAAATGATTTCGCATCACAATTACATCGTTTTCTTGCTACATTAACTGATATACGTTGGCGTATGGATGGTATAACAAAATTATATATACCCAAAGAAGGCTTAGATATACCGAGCGAACAAGCCTCAAAAGATAAAGAATTAGTTCAACGCTTAGAATCAGCTATGGTACATTGGTGTCGACAATTGAAAGATGTTTCACATTCACAAGACGCATCGATTGTTGATGAAAATAGTGGTCCGTTGGAAGAAATTGAATTTTGGAAAGCGCGTAGTCAAGATTTATTAGGCATAAGTCAACAACTTGATCAAGATTCGATAAAAGAAATCACACATATATTGCGCATAGCTAAATCATCGTATTTACCACAATTTCTTAAATTAGCCGATCAATTACAGTCCAATACAAAACGTGCTGATAATAATTTAACATTTTTACTTGCCTTAAAAGATCCGTGCCATGAATTAGCTGATGCTAAACCAAACGAAATACCTAAAATTTTACCTAAATTAATTTCTTTAATTCGTGTTATTTGGATTAATTCAGAATTTTATAATCGACCTGAAATGTTAACTGCACTCTTTCGAAAAGTAAAATTTCATTAATAGAAAGAAATTTTCTCTTAATGCTTTCTGTTTAGTTGAGTAATGAAGTTATTCGTCGATGTACAATTGCAGTTGATCTTGATAAAATTTTCGAGGGTCATATTGTATCAAGTCAAAAGACATTAAATGAATGTATTGAATGTTGTCAACAATGGCAAGAAATTTACAATAATGTATGTTAATTATTACTAATTTCGTTTATTTAATGAGTTTTTTTTCTTTGTAGGGTCAAGTACTTCATGAAAAATTTTCAATAAAAGGTTGGCGTCTTGATCGAACAACAATTTTCGCTCAAATTGAAGCATTTATTCAACGATGCCGAGATTTACTTGATCTATGCGAATGTCAAATGCATTTCGCACGTTGGGAACAAGGTGTCAAAACTGAATTACCAATATTTGGTGGACAACGTGGTCCATCGATTAATCGAATGTTAACGGAAATTGAAAATGCATTTGATAAAAATCTACTGGATTTAAGAAAAGTTCAACATACAATTCTAAATGTAAAAGCAACAACTTGGCATGAAGATTATAATCGTTTCCGTTCATCAATTAAAGATCTCGAAGTTATGATGACAAATGTTATTACATTTGCATTTGATGCCGTTAAAACAGTTGAACAAGGTGTTGAAGTTCTTGATGTTTTTACACATTTAAATTCACGAGAAGTATGTTGTACATTTTCGTATGATTCTTTTTCTTTTTGGTTGATATCGATAATAGTTTAGTTGTCGCATTGATTTTCATTTAATTGAGATAAAAGAAAGAAAACGAGTGTAGATAAGAAATGTGCAAGACTATTCACCGGAATCGAGATCGCAAAAAATGTTGCCCCGCACAATTCTACTATAGATCTTTCGTCCATAGTTGGTTTCTCTTCTACAAATGAGTGATGCACTATTTTCTCTCTAGGCTATTCGTCGTACATTGGATAAAAAAACCGTTGATTTGTATAATATTTTCAAATATGTCCTACAAACAATTCAATCGATTATTTCAACATCATCGATTCCTCAATCTCTAGATCGTTTTCATCCACATTACGCTGGCAGTGCGTTTTGGGCTCGAAATTTAAAACGTCGCATTGAACGTATGATGTCGTTTTTAAATATGGCACATTTCTTACCTAATGTTGGTATTTCATCAAATATTCGTCAACAATATGAATATGTCAAACAAGCCCTAGACGATTTCATTCAACGCCAATTCAAAGAATGGTCGTATCATATTGAAAATGAACCAACAAAAAAACTTGAATGTCCACTGATAAAACGTATCAATGATGAAGGTTATTTACAAGCGAATTTCGATGCATCGTTAGTAAAATTATTACAAGAAATAAAATTTTGGGAACGTCTTGGCTTTGATATTCCACCGTATGCAACTGAAATTTTAACACGTAAAAATGAATTACGTACAGCACGCGAAAATGTTATGTTGATTGTACGCGATTACAATCGTATATTAGATAAATTAAATCCCAATGAACGTATTCTATTTAAAGAACGTATAAAACAATTAGATAAAAAATTAGCACCAGGTTTAAATAAAATAACATGGTTGAAACCAACACACGAGTACACAATTGATTGTCGTGTAAGCGCTTCGGAATTACAACAAAACGTCGATAAATTTAAGCAGTCGCATCTTGATTGTATTAAATTATGTAAAAAGATTAGTGAAACACTTCTAGTTAAAATTGATACAAGAAAAATTTTTGAAAATCTCGAATTCGAAGAATATCAAGTATGTAGAACAAAAAAAAATAGAAATAGATTCTTTTTAGTCGACATTCGTATTTTTCCCTACTAGAAACAACACCGTAAAGTTGCTTGTGAAAAAATTCGTGAATATTTTAATGAAATTTTGAAAAAAATTGAAGAAACATATAAACTATTCGAAAAAGATCCACCCGATGTTCAACACGAATGGAATCGTATTATTGGTGAATTAGACAAATGGCTTGAACGCGCTGTTCGATATAATTTCAAAGCATCGCTCGCTGAATTATCGAAAGCAATTAACGGTGATGGAAAAGCTGCGCCAGGTCCTTTGTTTAAAATTGAAATTATTCTTGAACCAAAAGCAGTGGGAGATACAACTTTATTACGAGTATTTGTTTTTCTTTTTGTTTGATTAAAATTAATTTTTTTATTTCTTTATTGTATAGATCAACTTCAAACCAGATTTAGCTACATTGAAAGCTGTTATGAATAACATTGGAGAACATGAATTGGCTGATTCAATTACATTTCTTCATAGACTTAAGCCAAGAACTCACGAAGAAGTAAGATTTTAAACCGAAAGAAAGTATTCGAGTTTTTCGCCTATTGTTTACTCAAACTGACCGTAGACTTCTGTGACTAGATGAAGCTTCTACAAGTGTGACTATTCTTACCGGATGTGTGCGAGGTTAAATCTGGAATTTTGATAGAAGATTATCTTTTGTCTTTGTATTGATTCTTTTGTTGATCATCGGAATAGCGGTACTCTATTAGAATACACGTTGAGACCTTTCGCTGTATAACCTTATTTTTTTAATCAGAAGAAGATTCCAGTGAACCAGACAAGAACTATGTTTCATAGCTTGAATGAAATCGGATTTTTGATTGAAATCTTAACATGTATTTAAATATTTAGCCACTTCATATGTTATTGAATAAAGATGAAGCTAAACAACATTTACAACAACAAATTGCTATTGGACTGGATGCCAATGAAAATTCTCTTGATGCTTATCAAAAATCATGGGATGACGTACGAGAATTGTGGGATATTGATAAAGAACGTTTCATTGCACGTTACGAAGAACGATGTCCGGACGCATCATTTTTCGATGCTGATATTAATCGTTATACTGAAGTTGCTAATAAAGTGCAAACACGAGAAACATTATCAACTGTTCAATTTGTACTTGCTGATTGTTCTCCATTGAAAAATGCTTTAGTTGTTCATTGTTTACAATGGCAAGCGAAATTAACCGGTAGTTTGAAAATAATTTTTACATAACAAGTGATTTATTTCTTGTTTATATTTCTTACAGCTCTCTTATTGAAATTAGCAACAGGTGGTTTAGAACAGTTAACACGCTATATCGAAGACAATAGTGTTAGGTAAGCACCTGATAATAAAAGAGAGTTCATTTTTAAAAATAATTTTGATGTTTAGTGTTTTGACGCCGCCGGAAAATCACTACGGATTAGAATCTAAACAAAAATTGCTAGAAACATTGCAGCAAGAAATACCGGTTTATGAAGGCAAATTTTCACCTTTACAAGAACAATTCACTCTACTTGAAAAATATGAAAAACCTGTTCCAGCTAGTGTAAGTTTTCCGTCTAAATATACGATATTTAAACTCATATTCGAACGTATCCAAAAGAGTTTATCAGAAATGAAATTTTTTTATTCGAAACCAACAATAAAATGAATTTTCTCATTTTGTGTTTAGACTCGCGCTATGCTTGCACAATTAGATGAACGCTGGCAGCGTTACCTTCAGTGTTTAACTGAAAGCGAAGAAATGTTGAAGAAATTACGTGAGAAATTCAAATCGAAATTATTACAACAATCGGAAGAATTCAAAAAGAGCGTTGTTGAGCTTGTCAACGACTTTAAAACAAACGGTCCATTTACATCTTCGACAACGCCCGAAGAGGCTCTCAGTAAAATAGAAGCTATGAAACAACGTTTGGCTAAATTGAAAGAAGAAGAGGCAGAACTTCGTCGTGGTCTTGGAATATTTCGTATTGATCATCCATTATCTAAAGATATTCAAAATCTCGAAAAAGAGATTGAAGCATTAGAAGGTATTTGGTCGATGGCACTTGAATGGAATCAAACGTTTGATAAATGGAAAACAACAACATTCGGAAATCTTCAAACACAAGTTATGGAAGATTATGCCTATGCGCTATTGAAAAAATTGGGTAAACTATCAAAAGATTATCGTGAAAAAAATTGGGAAATTATTGACTCAACAAAGAGTCGAGTCGATCAATTTAAGAGAACAATGCCGCTAATGACAACATTACATAATCCTGATATGAGAAATCGCCATTGGAGATCAATTAAAGATGAATCTCAAAAAGAATTCGATGAGTCATCCGATGATTTCACATTAGAAGCCATTATTAATATGCATTTTGAAGAAAATACACAAACAATTATGGACGTTAGTGAAGCAGCAGAACAGGAAGCTAAAATTGAACGTGGAATTGAGAAAATAAGAGAACAATGGGAAACAGTTGTATTTGAAATTGTGCCATTCAAAGATAAAGGTACAGGCAAATCCTTGTCATCATCAATTTCTCTCTATCAATGAATTAATTTTGATTATAGTACACATATGTTCGGATTACTGCTAGTACGCTGAGCTGTCTTAGAGAAGATTCTTTTTTTTCTTCTATTGAATACCATCAGATGAGATATCCATCGAACTCATTGCATCGAGCATATAATCTCAATAGCTTGGTTGTATGACTTTCGAATTTTCATACTACTTTATTCAATGACTGCCATTTACGAGTTCCGTTCCCGAGAACGCGGAGTCAGCTCTCAAGAAACCGGAATTCGAATCTTCTTCGGGTTCTAGACTTTGGCGGATCCAGATATTCCTAGCGCTTATCAGCCCTTTCACGATCATATATAATCTATTGAGCCATTCTATAGTGTTATTCACTTGAAAATTCTTTTCTAGGCCATTTTAAAATCAAATCTACTGAAGAAATCAATAAAGCCATTGAAGACAATCAAATGTCGTTATCAACATATAAAGCATCGCGTTTTATTAAACCATTCTCTCGAGAAGTTGATAAATGGGAACGTGATATATCTCATGTTCTCGAAGTAACTGAATTATGGTTAACTGTCCAACGTCAATGGTTATATCTCGAAGTAAATTTTGAAAGACAAAGACAGAAAAATAGTTTTCTTCAAAAATATTATTTTCTTTTAGAATATTTTCTATGGTGAAGATATTCGCCGTCAATTAGCTAAAGAAACTGCTCTATTTGATGAAGTAAATGATAAATGGAAAGCCACTATGACAACATTAAATCAATCACCAAATGCATTTCATGCAACACATTTAGAAGGTGTTGATAAAGAATTACAATATATGAATTCAAATCTTGAAGAAATTCAAAAGTCTCTTGAAATGTACTTGGAAAATAAACGTCGACAATTTCCAAGATTTTATTTTATATCCAACGATGATTTACTTGAAATTTTGGGTCAATCGAAAAATCCACCTGGTGTTATGCCACACATGAAAAAACTATTTGATAACATTAAGACATTAACTCTAGTGAAATCAACGGGTACTGGACCCATGTCGGCAACAGAAATGCGTTCAAATGAAGATGAAACTGTACCATTCGACGGTCAAGTAAGTTTGTATTCTCTTGATAATTTCATTTAACAAAACAGCAAAACTTCTGTTTAGGTTCTTCTCGATGGACAAGTTGAAAAATGGTTACGTGATGTTGAAAATAAAATGAAAGAAGTTGTGAAACGTAAAGTTATTGCATGTCGTCATGACCTATCAAATTGTGGTACAAAACGTGAAAAATGGTTAAAATCTCATCCAGGTCAAGCATGTATAACAGCCAGTCAAATACAATGGACTGAAGAAGTACAAAAATCTCTACGTGAAAATGCATTAAAATTGAAAACCGATCGAAAAAAGCAACATCTTGTTCTAAGAAATTTTACTGATATGATCAAGAAAAATTTAACTAAACTTGAACGTATTAAACTTGTATCATTGGTTACCATTGAAATTCATGCACGAGATGTTATTAATGATTTAATCAAAAATCAAATCAAAACTGAATCATCATTTGAATGGCAACAACAATTACGATTTTATTGGAGAAAAGATGAAATTATTATTGAACAAGCTATCGGACGATTTTGGTACGGCTGTGAATATCTAGGAAATTCAGGACGTTTGGTTATTACACCTTTAACTGACAGGTAGAAATTTGTATGGTTTAAAATGTTAGAATTACATGATTGTTTTTAGATGTTACATGACGTTAACTATTGCGTTATCTTTATGTCGAGGTGGTTCACCGAAAGGACCTGCTGGTAGGGTTGAACTTTTGATTCAACTGTAAAATATAACAAAAACTTGTTTTCTTAGGTACTGGTAAAACTGAAACAGTAAAAGATTTGGGTAAAGCTATGGCCTTCTATGTCATCGTTACGAATTGTTCGGATGCTATTGATTATAAATCGATGGGTCGTATGTTTTGCGGTTATTGTCAAACAGGTGCTTGGGGTTGTTTCGATGAATTTAATCGGTAATTTATAAACTGTTTTCTTTGTTTTTCTTTCTATTTTCATTTCCAATTAGAATTAATATTGAGGTACTTTCTGTCGTCGCTCAGCAAATAACATCAATCTTAAATGCTATGGCAACTCTTAAAGCTGATATTGAAAATGCTATTCGTTTGAAAACAAATATGAGCGAAGAAGAGGCATTTGCAACAATAGATAAACGGTATTTAACTAAAAAGTTTACATTTCAAGGGCAAGATATTGATCTTGTATGGTCATGTGGTTTATTTATTACGATGAATCCAGGTTTGTTCAACATATATATGTATAAATATATTTTTGTTCTCATTCCGTTCAATTCTTTTCCACTTAGGTTATGCTGGCCGTACGGAATTACCTGATAACTTAAAATCAGTGTTTCGACCAATCTCTATGGTCGTTCCCGACAGTAATTACATTGCTGAAATTATTCTATTTGGTGAAGGTTTCTCTGATACACGTTTACTGGCTACAAAAGTCTATACACTCTATCAACTATGTGCACAACAATTATCTAAACAAGGTTTGAGAGGAGAAAGAAATTTGTTTATTCAAAAATTAAATTATTTTGACTTATTTAGACTTTTACGATTTCGGTCTACGTTCAATGGCTGCTGTGCTTCGTTATGCTGGCCGTAAGAAACGTGATTCGCCACATTTGAAAGACGATCAAGTCGTTATCTTAGCTATGAAAGATATGAATGTAGCTAAAATGACTGAACCAGATTTACCATTGTTTAACGGCATCGTATCAGATTTGTTTCCTGATATTGATACACCAGTCATCGATTATTCGAAATTTAAAACAGCTATTGATGCTGAACTTGTTGCTCAACATTTACAAAATACAGTTCATACAGTATCAAAAGTTATACAATTGTACGAAACAAAAAATTCTCGACACTCTGTTGTACTTGTCGGTTGTACACAATCGGGTAAAACTGCTATATGGCAAACTTTGAAACGTGCCATGACAAGAATAGCCAGTCAAGATTCATCGGATGCATTGTTTCAGCGTGTACAAGAATATCCAATTAATGCGAAATCTATTTCAATTAATGAACTCTATGGAGCATCGGATTTATCAACTGGTGAATGGAACGATGGTATACTTTCGAATATCATGCGAACAGCTTGTGCCGGTAATCAATTCACGATAGATAACTTTCTCTTTAAAATAACTTTCATATTTCAGATGATAAATCTGATCAAAAATGGATTTTATTCGATTGTCCTGTAAGATGATTTTTTTTTCAAACAGAAATATACTTACGATTTAAAAAAAATAGATTGATGCTGTATGGATTGAATCAATGAACTCTGTCATGGATGACAACAAAATTTTGACATTGACGAATGGTGAACGTATTGCAATGCCTGAACAAGTTACACTTCTTTTTGAAACTGGAGACATGGCTGTTGCATCACCTGCTACAGTATCACGTAAATGCGCATTTAGACAATAATATTTAATACACTTCAATCAATACTATAGTACTAGCAAAAAAGCATCCACCGATTGTTTTAGACAATTTTGAGGATGATTTTCTGATATCCTATTCGATGAAGTCTATTCTTGAGTGCCCGCTGTAAAAAAATTTCATTGTACATATTATTTCTTGATTTTCTCTATAGGTTGTGGTATTGTCTATTGCGATTACGACAATCTTTCCTGGCGTCCATTTATAACTAGTTGGATAAATCGAAAACCCAAAGAATATCATGAACCATTAACAACGTTAACAAATAAATATTTGAAGCCAATTCTTCAATTTAAACAATTGAATTGCAAAGAATTAGTACCCATAGCTGAGTTAAATGGCGTCCGTTCATTTTCCTATCTATTTGATTCTTTAGCAACAAAAGACAACGGCGTTGACCCAATCGATGAAGATAATTTTTCACGTTTAAGTGAATTATGGTTTTTATTTTCAACAATATGGTCCGTTTGTGCATCGGTTGATGAAGACAGTCGAAAAAAAATCGATGCCTATATCCGTGAATTAGAAGGCACAATACCCAATAAAGATAGTGTCTATGAATATTATGTTGATCCTAAGCAACGTGCATGGCTGGCATGGGAAGACAAATTACGTGTAGCTTGGAAATTAAATTCTGAAATGCCATTTTATAAAATTATTGTACCCACTGTTGATACGATTCGTTACAAATACATTGTTGCAGCACTCATCAAACAAGGTCATCCATGCTTATTGTGCGGTCCTGTTGGTACAGGTAAAACATCAGTTGCACATGCTGTTATGTCAGAATTAGATGCAAGAGAATATTCAACATTGATTATAAATATGAGTGCGCAAACCTCATCGAATATTGTACAAGAAATTATTGAAGCACGAGTTGAAAAACGTGTTAAAGGTGTCTATGTACCTATTGGTGGAAAGAAAATGTTGAACTTTATGGATGATTTTAATATGCCAGCCAAAGATGAATATGGTTCACAGCCACCATTGGAATTATTAAGATTATGGCTTGATTTTGGCTTCTGGTATGACAGAAAGAATCAAACAGTTAAATATGTCAAAGTGTGTTCGATAAAAATTTTGTCTATTGTTTTTCGATTGGAATTTTTATGTGATTGTTTAGGATATGTTGCTATTAGCTGGTATGGGTCCACCTGGCGGTGGTCGTACAATTATTAGTCCACGATTACAAAGTAGATTTAATTTAGTTAATATGACGTTTCCATCGGTAAGTTTTTAATTGAGAAAATCTAACGAAATATTGATGTTTTGTGTTTTTAAAGGCAACAGAAATTCGGCGAATCTTTGGTTCGATGATTACACAACGTTTGGCAGATTTCGACGATGAGTTTAAAGCCTTACCTGATGCCTTAACATCGGCTACTATTGAAATTTACGAGAATATCGTACAGAAATTTTTACCAACACCAACAAAAATTTATTATCTATTCAATTTACGAGATATTTCAAAGATTTTTCAAGGCTTATTACGTGCTGATAGAAAATTAATTTCATCAAAACAAACAATGATTCGTTTATGGATTCATGAATGTTTTCGGTAGGCATTTATTTTTCCCGTCGGAAGAATTCACATCAATATTGTTGATTTCTTTCCCCATAGAGTCTTTGCTGATCGACTTAACGATGATAAAGATCGTGAACAATTCGGTGCCATTCTAAGTGAAAAACTCGGTACTCATTTAGATGTAACATTTCATTCGATTTGTCAAAATCGAATTCCACCGACATTCGGTGATTTTATGAATCAAGATGGAATCTATGAAGACTTACTTGATTTCGATAAATTAAAAATTCATATGGAAAAAGTTCTGAAAGATTATAATGAAACACCCGGTACTGTTCCAATGGATTTAGTTCTATTTCGTGATGCTATACTGCATGCAACACGTATTATTCGTGTTATACGACAGCCACGAGGTAATATGCTTCTAATTGGTATCGGTGGATCTGGAAGACAATCATTAGCTAAACTGTCGTCGTTTATATGTGATTATTCTGTATTTAAAATTGAAATAGCAAAAAATTATCGTCGAAATGAATTTCGTGAAGATCTAAAACGTCTATATAAACAAGCAGGTGTATCAAATCGTGAAACAACATTCATATTTGTCGATACGCAAGCTATTGAAGAAACATTTTTTGAAGATATCAATAATATATTAAGTTCAGGTGAAGTACCAAATCTATTCAAAGCTGAAGAACTCGAAGAAATCAAAGCATCCATGGCAGCAGAACTGAAAAGAGAAGGCATCAATGATGAGAACAATCAAGAAGTTTATGCATTTTTACTCGATCGTGTCAAAGCTAATTTACATATGGTTGTTTGTATGAGTCCTGTTGGAGAAGTTTTCAGGTATGCAAAGATATTTTGTCTATAAGTCTTGAAGATAAATGAGCTTGACTTCTAGAAAATACTTTCTGATAATGGGTTTATAGGACTCAGTTATGGCTACCCTAGTCGAACTTTTTTTATTCAAGCGCTTGCCAAGACTTGAGCTCAAGATGTTCATGTTTTTCATGCGCACGTCATAAAAAGTACGACTAGGGTAGCTTACTGATTTCCCCCTATAGATAGATCAGAGAACACGCTGTATTTGAGAATTGAAAGACTTGATGAGGAAACATTCTTACAAAAAATCTTGCATTTCGGATAAACTTGAATAGCGGATTGCCAATCGGAACAGTTCTTTCATTAGCGATGAATGCCAACAATGTTTAAAATTATTGCCGAAAAACAAACCATTGTATATCTTCAATTAGTCTGTCTTTGGTTTTATAGAAACCGTATTCGTATGTACCCATCGTTGGTTAACTGCACAACCATCGATTTGTTTGCTGATTGGCCACAAGATGCTTTGCTTGAAGTCGGTGAACGTTATCTTTCACAAATTGAATTGGCTGGCGATGAGAAGGTAGGTGATTCTCTAACACACTAGTTAATATATTGTTACAATAATAATGTAATCTACCTAAATAAAAACTTCTAGTTTCCAACGGTAAGACAGTGGTTACTGTTGTTTTTATATCACATGTCACATGTCATCAGTGTTTTGACAGTTTTTCTTTTACCCATATGCATGAAGTCATTGTCATTTGTGTGAATTTTGTTTCATCGTTTCGAAGAAATTCTTCTTCTGCAGTTTTAATGACATGTTTTTGTTTTCCTTTCAAAAATAGTACCGTACGTCTATTGCACAAATATTTGCTACAGTGCATAGTTCTGTTTATCAATGTTCAATACAAATGTGGGATGAAATGCGCCGACGGAATTATGTTACACCAAGTAATTTTCTAGAATTAACAACCGGCTATCGAAAGTACGAAAGACATATTTGAAGATTTGTATTGATCTAAATGTAAAAATCGATTTATTTTCTTAGACTTTTGTATGAAAAACGTAAAGAATTATGTGATGCACGTGATAAATTAACAAATGGTTTAGGTAAAATTGAAGAAGCTAAAATTCAAGTTACAGAAATGTCAGTCGAACTCGAAAAGAAACGAGCTCTCGCCAATGAAGCACAAAAGAAATGCGAAGAATCATTGGGCGGTCTTGTTAATGAACAACGCGAAGTCGAACAAAGTAAAGCAACAGTCGAAAAGTTAAAAGAACGTGTCAAAATCGACGAAGAAAAAGCTTCAACCATTGCTCAAGCTGCTCAAGAAGATTTAGCAGCTGCTATGCCAGCACTCGAAGCTGCCAACACAGCTTTACAATCGTTAACTAAAAGTTCAATTACAGAAGTTAAAAGTTATGGGCGACCACCGTTGCCTGTTGAGAGAGCATTGGAAGCTGTCATGATTCTTAGAAGTTCAGAACCAACATGGGCTGAAGCTAAGCGTCAATTGGGTAAGTTCAAATAAGTGATAATTTACTCATACTATAATAAATTATGTCACCAACTTCAAAAATATGTTTATAGAAAGTAAAGATGAGATTTCGGGCACAGACTTTTGTTAGTATCAAGGAATATTTTTAACCAATGGCAATCTCTTCTCGAGTTCTCTCGCTCTCGATACCTCGAGTCAATCGATTAGAAATGCATCGTACTCTTCTTTTGATAGATGCCATTGAAAATCTATGTTTTCCGATTAAAGAGCTAATTTCCAGAGAAACTATTTCAAAAGCTAAACACTTTTTTCCTGTTTTAGGTGATACTACGTTTATCAATCAGTTAATTGATTTTGATAAAGATAATATTCCGGACAAAATAATTATGAAAATCGGCAAATATACATCTGATCCATTACTCGCACCACAGGAAATTTGTAAGTTGCAAACATCGATGAAAAGAGAACTATCAATAAGATTTCTTTTTACAATAAAATAGTGCGAGTGTCAGTTGCTGCTGCTGGTCTATTTGCATGGGTACGTGCTATGGAAGATTATTCAAAAATATTCAAAACAGTCAAACCCAAACGAGATCGATATGAAGCAGCTATGGCTGAGCTGAACGAAAAACGTGCACAGATTGCTGATGCTGAAAGACAAATTCAAGAAGCACAAAAACGTCTCGATGAACTACGAGCTAATTATGAAAAACAAATGGCTGAAAAAGAACAATTGCGTCGTGATTGTGAGCATATGCAAATGATGCTTGAAAAAGCGTCTCGTCTTATCAACGGTTTAGCAAGTGAAAAAGTTCGTTGGGAAGCCACTGTAGCAGATCTTGAACAACAAATAGGTTATGTTACTGGTGATTGTTTACTAGCTGCGGCTTTTCTTTCCTATATGGGCCCATTTCTTTCACAATATCGTGATCATATGATGAATGAAATTTGGTTAAAAGAAATTAAAAAATTGTCCATACCATGCAATCCGGACTTTAATTTTGCAAATTTTCTATCAGTACCAACACAAGTACGAGATTGGAATATTCAAGGTCTACCATCGGATACATTTTCGACAGAAAACGGTGTCATCGTTACACGTGGAAATCGTTGGCCTCTGTAAGTTTATTTATATTAAACTTCATGTTTATCTCAGATCGATATGCATACTTCGAAAGAAACATCTAATTTTCCGCCGTATGCTCATATTTGTATGTTTTAATCATACGATTTATTTGACTATAAATTGTGTAGAATATGCAAATTAAATCTTTCCTATTCCAACATTGGATAATCAGCCATAACGAGAAATATTCTCAAATTTGAATTTTAACTATTTTCATTTAACGTATTCTCTAAGTCCTTTGTTCATTAAGCAATTTTTCATGCGATCGTTTCTATATCTATTTTTCATTAGAATGATTGATCCACAAGCTCAAGCTATCAAATGGATAAAAAATATGGAAATGTCCAATAATTTACGTCTTCTTGATTTACAAACACCAGACTATTTACGTATTATTGAAGAATGTATTCGTTCGGGTCGTCCATGTCTCTGTCAAAATGTGAAAGAAGAACTTGATCCATCTCTAGATCCTGTTCTAACCCGTGCTGTTAAACGTATTGGTGGTGTTGATATTTTGAAATTAGGTGATCGTGAAGTCGAATATAATAAAGATTTTCGATTTTACATGACAACTAAATTACCTAATCCACATTATGCACCTGAAGTATCATCGAAAGCAAATATAATTAACTTCGCTGTAAAAGAACAAGGTTTAGAATCTCAACTACTTGGTATTGTTGTACGAGAAGAAAAGCCTGAGCTAGAAGCTGACAAAGATAAATTAGTACGTGGTATTGCTGCTGGTCGAAAGAAACTTATTGAACTTGAAGATCAACTATTACGATTATTGAATGAAACCAAAGGTTCATTGCTGGAAAATGATGAATTATTATCAACACTTGAAATCTCGAAACAAACAGCTAAAACTGTACAAGAACAATTGATAACATCTGAAGCAACAGAAAAAGATATTGATGCTGCTCGAGAAGTGAAAATCTTTCCAAAAACAACAAACTCGGATAATCATTTATTTTTATTTTGTTTAGAATTATCGACCATGTGCTGAACGTGCGTCTATTCTATTCTTTGTACTTAACGATTTAGGAAAAATCGATCCTATGTATCAATTTTCGTTGGACGCTTATATTGATTTGTTCAATATATCAATTAAGAAAAGTCAGAAGTCTGCTAAACTTGAAGAACGTTTAACGAAATTAAATGATTTTCATACATATGCCGTTTATAAGTAAATTAATTAATGATGAAGTATTCTTTAGAAAACAAATATTCGTTACTTTTTCTCTATTAAGATACACTTGCCGTGGTTTATTCGAAGCACATAAACTACTTTTTTCATTCCAAATGTGTATTAAAATTCTTGAAGCTGCCGGAAAAATAAATATGGATGAATATCAATTTTTTCTACGTGGCGGTGTGGTAAGTAATAAATAGAATAAAAGTCTAATTGGAATGAAAAAGAATAGACTCAATAACGGCAGTAGCTAATGATCTGTTATTTAAAAAAAAAATAAAAATATGTTTGAAATTCGTTAACACCTCGATAACTGTAAAAAAAGAAAATACTGCGTAGGGTTTGTCTAAATGGCTAGTTCCATTGATCATGTTCAAAATTGTAGTTACAAAAACACGATTCACGAGTTATCGATAAGCTAATTTTCAGATTTCCAGATAATATGCTATTGAGATTGGGTCCATTTATTTTTCTGAGTCTGACTTGAATATAACATTATTGTTTTTTAGGTACTTGATCGTGAATCACAAATGGACAATCCAAATCCTCAATGGTTAGCTGATTCATCCTGGGATAATATAACTGAATTAGCTAAACTAGCAAATTTTCATGGTATTATTGAGTCATTTGAACAATACCCAAGAGATTGGTTTCAATGGTTTCAAGCGGGTGAACCTGAAAATACGGCAATGCCAGGTGAATGGGATTCAGTTAATGAATTACAAAAAATGTTGATTGTTCGCAGTTTACGTTCCGATCGTGTACCCTTCTGTGTAACGAAATTTATCATCAATAATTTAGGCTCGAAATTTGTTGAACCACCAATTCTTGATTTAAGCTCAGTTTATGAAGATTCATTACCGAAGACACCAATCATATTCGTGTTATCACCTGGTGTTGATCCATCAGCTAACTTAACAGTTTTGGCAGAAAAAATGGATTTTAGAAAAAATTTTCTCCCGTTATCACTCGGCCAAGGACAAGCACCAATAGCTACGCAAAACATTGCTGAAGGTGTTCGTTTGGTAAGTCAACAAAAAATGAAAATATTCATTCGAGTCTTTTATTTTCCTCATTCTCATATTTGAGGAAAATCAAAACTTTTCTATATTTTAATAACCAATACATCTCATTAAAAAAAGGACTTCGCAGTTATTCATATAGACTATCAAAATTTTAGTTACCAATGAAAACATTGATGCTACTTCATAGTTCTCTAAATTCGACAAAGATTAGTTTAACATATTTTCATCAGACTATTCGACGAGGAAATTCTGTATCGATTTAGAATAGGACATTCATTTTCTTCAAAAGCAGGTTACTCTGCCGAGAAAATGAATGTTTTTTTCGTCTTCTTTTGAACAAATATATAAATATTATATTATTTTAGGGCAAATGGATTTTTCTTGCCAACTGTCATTTATCACTATCGTGGATGCCGGACTTAGAAAAAATTGTTGAAAATCTATCTATTGAAAAAGTACATCCACAATTTCGTCTATGGTTATCATCATCGCCATCGCCGCACTTTCCTATTTCAATTCTTCAATCGGGTATTAAAATAACTACAGAACCACCGAAAGGTATCAAAGCAAACATGAAACGTTTATATGCAATAATTGATGAACAAGATTTTGCTGAGAAAAGCCGTCAAGGACGTCCTGAAAAATACAAACGTCTACTGTTTTGTCTTTGCTTTTTTCATTCATTACTATTGGAACGTAAGAAATTTCTTCAACTTGGCTTTAATATTAATTATTCATTCAATGACTCCGATTTCGAAACATCAAATTTGATTATGGGCAATCTATTACGTGAACAAGACATGACACCATGGAAAGCCATGAAATTCATTATATCGAAAATAAATTACGGTGGTCATGTTACTGACACACGTGACATGCGTGTATTGAATACGTATATTGAAGATTTATTTAAAGAAGATGTTATCGATCCTCAGGTACAATATTATAAACTAACAAAATTACCTAATTATTATGTGCCACGTGATGGAACATTAAATGAATATAAAAATGCTGTTGCAACTGTATTACCAAATTCGGATCATCCCGAAGCATTTGGTCAACATACAAATGCTGAAGTTGCATCACAAATTCGTGAAGCACGAATGTTATTTGAAACTCTATTGTCTCTCCAACCACAAGTTGTTGCTGTAGAAGGTAAAAAAACGACCGAAGAAGAAGTTATGGAAATGTCAACACGAGTATTAGAACAATTGCCAGAGAAAATCGATTATCAATCCACAGTGAAGATTTTATCTGAAGATCATTCACCATTGAAAGTTGTCCTATTGCAAGAAATTGAACGCTACAATATATTATTAGATGTTATAAGAGCATCATTAATATCATTACAGAAAGGTATCAAAGGTCTGGTGGTTATGTCAGCAGATTTAGAAGAAATCTTTCGATGTATTCTTGAAGCACGTGTACCAACACAATGGCAAAAAATGTACCCATCATTGAAACCATTAGCAGCATGGACACGTGATCTTGTCCAACGTGTTGATCAATTAGCTAAATGGGCGCAAAGTGCACATGCACCGTCCATATTCTGGATGTCTGGCTTTAGTTTTCCAACTGGTTTTCTTACGGCTGTTATGCAAACAACAGCACGTACAACAAAAATCAGTATCGATCGTTTAATATGGGATTTTGAAGTCATGAAAGTGGAAGACAATTATTTGCAAACACCAAAAGATGGCGTCTATGTCAAGGGATTATTTTTAGAAGGTGCAGGATGGGATAAGAAAAATGCTTGTCTCATTGAAGCTGAGCCCATGCAGTTAGAAATAGCGATGCCAACGATTTTATTTCGACCTGCGGAAAATAAGAAAAAAACTATCGCAACTGAAGAAGATCGAGAAAGAAAAACAGGTATGAATGATGAACATTAAGGAATTTGTTTTTGGAAAAAACAATAATTTTGTAATCTTTGCATTTTTTAGATGTTTACTCATGTCCAGTATACTATTTTCCAAATCGTGCTGGTGGCTTTGGTCATCCATCGTTTGTTGTTGAAGTTAATTTGAAGACGCCACATTTTCTCAATAGCCATTGGGTGAAACGTGGTAGCGCATTACTGATGAATTTAGATCGATAAACTATACTACTGATCACGGAGTAATTGATATGTAAAGTTTTGTTTTGTTTTTATTATTTGTATACTTCCACATCCTATATCTTTTATTCTATTATAAAAAGACACGTTCGATAATTCACTCATAAAAGTAATCGATGATTATGCAAAAACCAAAAATTTTCCTATTGACTTTGTTTTGATTCGAGCTCTGCGAATCTATACAGAAAACATTTTGTTCACAGCGTACAAAATAAAACAGCAATTATTGAGAATATATTTTGTTGAATACAAAAAACCAACTTATAAAACTCAAAACAAGAAGTAGTTGACGGGTGCTGAAGGAAACAAATAGAATATCAAGAGAAAAAATGATGATATTGCTGATGGAAAGTATTCGAGTTCCCACTGTGACATCTGGTCAGTCTCGGTCTCTTTGCGATAGGAAACACTCATGGCCGCCTGAAAAATATCCGACATGAATACTACTCTCATATCTCATCGATGTCAGGTACCTTTCTGGCCGAGATCACAGTTTTCACGAATAGTGTTGGATTATTTCTGGAGCTGGAAAAAAAATCCAATTTCAACCGTTTGATTTTTTATCTTACTGTTTATTGCAAACTGTGTTCGGTTCAAGTTTGCTTTTTTGGAACCACAGAACTATAATCTTGTTCAATCCATTCAACAGTTATCCAAGTGACTAGAGGATATTCGTATTGATGTTTTACAGAAGCTAATTGATCAATATTATTAAGTCCATCACTGTCTTGTCTCAAAGTAGCATCAAATAAAAGTTTAAAACGATTTGGATTTCGTGTTTGTATAGAATGAAAAGCAGCATAGTAATAACCAGTTGTTGGTCGTTGAACACAAATATCTTTTGATAAAAATCTTAAACCCATATCATCGTCTTCTCCGCCCCAATTAAAATATCGATTTGAATAACCATTTAATCGAATGAAAGTTTCTGGTCGCATTGCTAAAACACCACCAACAAGAAATGAATAGATCGTTGTATACGAACCGTTTATGTCAAAATGTATATTCGCCGACATATGAAGAGGATGATGAGTTAACGATAAACATGAATATAAATTCTGGCCATTTTCTGGAATAAGATCAACATCTAAATAAAACACAACGCTATGAAAATCCGAAAAAGATCGATTATTATTTACCATGAAAAATAACACACGTCGGTTTAGAGGTTCTCATAAGATGATTAAATGCAACATTATATAATCGACCTTTATTAAATGAACCTGAAGCTTGTTGTTCAATAATAAATATTTTATAATTTCGAATTCTTTGTCGTTCTAAAAATGGTATTAAATTGTATAATAACATTTTCAAGTTTTTTTCACGATCACGATAGGAAATAATGATTGCTAGAGTTTCATTTTCAAATATTGAACACGAATTAGACGCTCTCCATAAATTGATATATTTTGATGTTAATGATGAGCGTAATTGAAAATCATTGGGTGGATTAAGATTAATATTTAAACTTCCATTTAAATTAATTTTGCAAACTGTTGATAATCGATTTACTAATTCAGTTTGGTTAAGAATTTCACTTTGACCATCGCAGACTACTCGATAGTCATATAATCGATTGATAGATACAGGTACAAGAACTTTTTGTTTATGCAATAAATACCAAGGCTTTTTATAAATAATAGAATCATCCAGTTCTTGAAAACTTTGATAAATCGATGTTTGAAAATAGGAAATTATTAATAGAAGTACCAGTACAAACAAGATAAATGAAAGCCAAAGTGTACATCTTTTACTACTTGTTATTTTTCGTGAACGGTAACACGATCGATAACGTTGTATAGCCATTAGTTCTGTACTGGAGAAGGAATTCTATTGACTTGTATACTGTTGATGAATATTTACTTAGCCAAAGTTCGTGTATCTCTCTCAAATGAAGAATATTTAATTTCACAAACATGCCCGTCACATCTACATCTATCAAATGTCAACGCGGCACACGTCCGGGTGGCTTATATATATATATTACAGTTGACATGAGGATTTAGTTGAGATTGGAATAATAGATTTAATTAAAGATAGAGAAAATAGACACAAAAGAGAGCAAAGAAACGAAAAGAAAAAAAGAAAAGAAATTCAAAAATCAAAATGTAAATAAAATTATATGAACGATATGGAAAATTTTTTCTACGAGTTAGATTTAGCAAACTATTTTCTAATTGATCATAATTTAGATTTCTTTTTTAAATTGATGGCCAAAACAAAAAAAAACTTTTATTTCTGATTTTTCATTTATCTCAACGCGCTCTCATCTCGCTTGTATAAATCACACAGTAATTAATGTATCTTGCTGAACTGATACTTTAATATGGAAAGGAAATACAATACTTCGTTGATTATGACATTAATGTTACATCATTAAATAAATACTTAACCGAGTTTTACACTTTAAAAATTTTAGTAGAATCTATTAATGTCTAACTTTTTTGTCATCATTTCTTTATTAATTTAAGCTTTTATAATTGATAATCGTCACTATGAAACAGACAATGATTATACATAAATTACACAGTTTCTTTTATATCAGCTTATTTATTTTTAATGAAGAACGATTGTAGCTAATAACACATCAAATGGAGTACTCATATAAGAAACTTCTTTATTAATTTCATGAAAATTTAAAAAAACAAATTACTTTCCTGGCATATCATTCGATATAAAAACTTTTCCCATTCCCATCCCACCTGCTCGAGACCCGTACTTCGAAATAACGGTAGCAAAAATCTTTTTCTGTCTTTTCTTCGAATGCAGAACAAAAGAGAAAAATCAATGTCCCTATGTCCCGCGTATTAAAACAAACATCTTTTCAGAATCTTTCTCATTCCTCTCTCTTCAATCATGAAAGAGTGACACAATTAATCTTGGAAACAACAAGGTGTTTTTTGAATCTGCATAACCAATCAAACTATCTCATATCACTCACTAATAAAATTTTATTTCTATGAATCACTCTCTCATAACATTTATAGAATAATGAACAATTCCAATCTCAACTAGATTCCAGACTCTACTACCACATATATATATATATATATAATATAATATTCAAACGTAGAGCTATGTTTAGGATTGTTTGAATAAAAGAAACACATAAACATATATCAGGCTTCTTTTCACTGATTTACTCTCCAGACTACGACTAATGATGCACGTCGTTTTAACTCATAGTTCTCTCATCAATCGATATCATATGATAGATGAAAATATTAAGGACAATAAATATCCACCTGGCATTTACTTTCATTACAGATTCCCATGATATATATTATCTTTGCAAAATTTCTAAGCAAAGAGAAATTTTGCTTCCAACAGAATCCACTTGAAACAATATTTCTTTTATTAGAAAAGTCTCCAGGACTATCGATGTCTATATGCTTCATATCTTTGAAATTCATTACCATCTGTTCATAAAATATGACTCTATGCTAAAAATTAGTCGCCAACGAGAGCAAAAGCGTAGGAGTAGAATTTATACTACGATTGTTTTTGTTCATCGATGTAGTGAGTTCGAACAGAGAATTAATCTTAGCGAGACTTTCTCATCAAAACTATATCATTAAAAATAGAAAAATAAGAGTGTATTTACTCGTGCTATGCAAAAATAGAAACTACAATAAACACGGATGATGGTAAAAATTATTTTACTTCGTCGTCATTTAGAATAAACTATGATATATCTATTCGAAAATAAAAGCATTTTCATTGAACATAATTAATGAATCATAACTTCTCTAATAATCAAAATGTAAAGTTTAGGCATGCTACATGATACAGGCGGCAAGATCATTAAAACAAACAGGAAAAAATCACGATCGGACGATACGAGAAGAGAATAAACATACAAACGTTTTCTTTCTTTCTATTTGATTTAATTATTCTCAACGGATCGATAGAATATCAACAACTGTGAATAACTCGTATAATCTAAAGAACTCAACTTAGTTTACACGATACGCATTCATAGAAAAGTAAAGCAAACTAGGGATGCAGTGTGAAAACTTCTATTCAAAAAGTAACTAGTACGTCCATTCTGCTTTAATGAATCGAGCTTAAAGGAGCACCTTTTAATCATAAAGCTTTGAAAATACTTTCAGATAACTTATGTTTCAAATGAAATAGCCCACAGGTAAAGCAAATCCAGCTTGATGATTTCACTCTTTTTAATTTTAGCGGTAGATTATGGAGTAGAATATAGATGGTTAATTGTGAAGCCCATCTTTCTCGAAGGCTTCCAATACGAGTTACTTTTAAAATTAACGAATTGAAACGATGACATTTTTACCTTCGGTTTGATACGAAGTTCACAGTCTTCGTGTTTAAAATAATTATAAACTTTGAGAAGTGTTCAAACAAAATGAAAAGAAAGGAAAAATTATCTGTTGAAGTTAACTTGTTTAACTCATTTTCAACAATAATTCACACATTTTTCTTACGTGAACTTATATCAAAGAAAGTGTTTCCTAGTAATTAGAAATGCACTACTCCTAAGAGAGAATCAAGTTATCGTCGAAGGCGTGCGCGTTCAGTTCAATGGCACTTTCATTCTATTCATTGTCTAATTTTTGTGTACACGGCTGGTACTGTCTTATTATATTCTGTCATAGTCTACATGGAGAAGTTAGAAACTCGCTTTATCTAGAAATTAGGAAATTGACTGTTTCTAAAGTATCTTGCTTAAACTGACAAAAAATATCTAAGAATTGTTTACGGATAAAAAAAAGATGCTCTAACACTATGTATTCACATTTTCTCCAGTGAGATATAACGTTACCCAGGATATAGATCATAAATATTGTTAAGTGATTTGTCAATTATATAATAGTAAATTAACCCATATTCATCATCATTTGAAGAATGTGCTGCTCCTGATTGAGTCGATTCGGTACTACTATCTGCTCTTCTTACTTTGTTGATTTGACTAGTTAGTCGGAGTGTTTAACATTCCATTAACATCTCTTCTTGTCGGACGGTTTGTTGTTTTCTCTATTTTAAACTGTATCGCACTCCTTGATTCACTTCGTCTTCATGTGAATAATCTCATTTTCTAAATTCTTCTAGTTACTTATTTATACACGTCCTTTTGATGTAACAGATATGATATAAAGAAAAATAAATAAATGTTAATGTCATCACATGAATATTGCTCCAATAAAAAATCGTCATCAGAGAATCTTCATATAGATTCATAGGTGAGATTTGATTCGATATTTTTCGGTCAAGATTTTTATTCGACGGAGTTCGAGTCGGCGAAAATAAAATTCAGCGAAGCTGTACCAATTCATAGCTATCTCCATACTTGTTCATATTCTACTACTCCTTTATCAAGCTCTTCGTTTTTTTACGATGTTTCTCCGTAAAAAATGTACATTAACTTAGTTTCCTACATTTAGACAGTAATTTTGTTTAGTATTTAGCTTGAAAATAACTGAACAATTATATCCAATTAAAATCAGTCTCATCCTTAATTTTTTCTTAACAATTATTGCAATTAAAAGTCGAAAATAATTAATGATACTAACCGCATTATTCCTTTTACGATAGTATGGGTAGGGATGTTATTTGATATATTGATGGATAGTCAAGGTAGTTCACTTCCGATGATGAAGAGCATCAGCATGTCGATACATCTTTAAAAATTTCCTTTTTCCGAAGAAATTTAGAAAAAAATTATTGGTCAAAAACTTCTTACGATGATGAGAAGCATGCTAAAAACATACTGAAAACATTATTGTCATTATCAGTTATTTTAGATAGAGATTTATCGTTGTTTATATCTTGATGAAAGTAGCTACATAAAATCTTAAATAATACCTGAATGAATGTTATTGGTTAGCTCAATTTTTTATGTTTAGATTATAGTCTTCTTTTCTAAAATAGAAGAACATTCGTTGATCTAATTGTTTGAACTTGCTACAACGGTAGATATGTTCTCAAACTATTTTTCAGCTATTTACTGACTACTGAAATTCGACTAGTAATCTCAATCATTTCGTCGCATATCAAGGTCTACTATGAGATTGATTATTAGATTTGCACGGTGGATAAAAGATGCCCTTTGAAGGAGCGAGTAGTTTTATTTTAATTTTACAAAAACTATTAGATCGAGGCAAACATTGATTTTTATGAGCATGGTACTAAAACGATTTATGAGATTTTCTAAACAGCGTTTATTTGAATTCAATGTAAATTAAATATCATTAGCATGACTTGCAACCAGTTATATCTCTATCAGAACCACGAGCTTTGTTTTAAAATGATATGAAAATCATTCACTGCATTGCAATTTCGATTTTATGTCGAAGAAACAATTTGATTGTTATTTGATAGTTTTGACATTTAAATCCAATCATTCAGCTGCTTTTTAACCTTTATAGACTCAATCTTATAACACTATCAAGGGTATACCAAAAGTACAAATTTTCTCAATGATTTTACTTTAAAACAGAAAGTCATTTTCAAATTTCAGAATTTTGTTTTTACATTCAATAACATCGAAAGCTAATAGGAAGGTTACTTTCAATTTCAGAACAATAAGAGAGCCATGCTATTAAATGTTGGCTTCACTAAACGTCAATGTTTTGTATGTTAACACATCGTCATATTTTATCAGTTCTATAGTGAAATAAACTGCTCTCCACAATCATTTCAAAAGTCAAATAGAAAGAAAGAAACACGTAACAATGAAGAGGACCCTATACATTTTTTTATTCCCATTTGTTAAATAAATAGATACCTTCTGTTCATGATGAATAGATGGTGATAAATTAATGGCTAAGTTTAATCTTTTTTCTCCTCAAAATTTAATGCCAAATGTTAAATATACTATGTAGTAAATGATAATGTCAGTTCAGAATTTACTATTTTTATCATCGTATCATTATCGTTATATAATAATTATTATATTATTAATTAGTTTTTTCTTCATATTCGATTGGACGTCAATTTCTAAATCTTCTCATCGTTTTATCATACCATCGATTAGAAATAATTTACTCATTCGTAATTTATCTATCAGTAAAAAGTCAGTTCAAAAACAATATCCATTTATTAATCGAACAATAAATATCAACAATAGTCGTGTTGTTCGTTTAGCTGTTGTGTCAGCTATCTATAGCGATGATTACGTGGAAGGTATCGAAGTTCTGGGCTATAGTCTTCGGCGAATCAATATTCAAGCTGATTTAATTCTTTTTTATATTTCAAATCGATTGAATCAAGTAACATTAGATCGATGTCGTAAAGTTGGATGGTTTTTATATGCTGTTCGACGTATCGAACCACCTCGATTTGCTATTATCTATCAACGATTTCATGATCAATATACCAAATTACACATATGGTCGATGATGGGCTATGATAGAGTGTTATATCTGGATGCTGACACACTTGTTATCCGAGACGTAAATGAATTATTATATGGAACTATTTTTGAAGATGATCGTGATGAATTACTCGGTGTAGTAGAAGATGTTTGGCAAGGACAGTTAGGACCAAATTTTAATGCTGGTGTACTTCTAATTCGTCCGAACGTGACTATTTTTAATGATATGCTTATAAAAATGCATAATATGGCCGCATATGGTTCTTATTGGGCAGAACAAGGATTTCTTAATTGGTATTTCAAAGGAAGGTATTTTTCAGTCTTAAAAGTTACTTAGGTTTAAGTTTCACAGAAGAGTGAGTTTGAACTTGGAATTCTAGGTTTTTTTCCTATAAATAAGAATGCAATGAATATGATTAAACTGACTTTTTTTTATTTGTCTTTCGAAGCACGGGCCGTTTACCTTTGATTTATAATTTTAACAATGTTCTTGCTATTTATCATCGTGATATTTATAAGCGATTACGGACTCGTATGAAAATCATTCATTACACATATTATAAACCATTTCATATCAAAAAGTTAAATCAATTATCTGACCCTTCGTTAATTGAATTATGGAATATGTGGAATCGAATGCATGATGACATGCTGAACCAATCGCTCATTTCATAAATATACGCTACGATCTGTCAATCTTGTTTCAATAAATAAAATGGAGTCTTTGTTTTCTATGAAATATGGAATTTGAGAAAAGTCTCAATGAAGTTTTCTTGTCGATTGAACTATCGCAATTCATCTTCTATTCGAACACATCCGTATTAATCATATATAGGAGTCAAATCGAAAATTACTTTTCAAAGAAGGAATTGGCGGCAACTCGACTAGTACCTATTTAGAAATCTCGATTAACAAATTGACCAGAAGCCCACCCACTTCCACCACATGTATTTTTGTGTCCTAAAACCAAGAAGTTCATTAATACTAAAACATTTGTACAAAATACGCAAGTAAATCATTACAAACTTCTTTCAAAGATTCAGGCCAGTGGAGAACCAAAAACTATTTTTCCTGCCAACGGGAAATCGGTTTTCCGATGATTTGGGTGATTTTCGAAAATGTTTTATTGCCTAAACCAAGGGGAGAAATAATATACACTGAATATTTTCCCCAGGTCGAGCAATCATATTGTAAGATCTGATCTTATATGATCTTGCACGATCGTACTAAAATCATACAAAAAATCGTAGTTCCTGAGATTTTAGATTAGGTCAAACAATCAGATTCTTCAAAGATCGTATTAATGTATAAGATCTTTCAAGAATCTGATTGTGCGAATTGATCTCAGATCTCACGAACTACGATTTTTGTCAGATTCTTGTAAGATTTCGCCCGTATTCCAAGATCCTGTGTCAGATTTTTCGACCGGGGTCGTTTCAACTATGGAAAGTATTCGATAGATGTATCTTTTTTTGAACGTCAACTTTATTTAAAACGCACAAATAAACCATCAAGGGCATCCAATATCCACTAAAATGATAACAATTACTCATTTCTTTCGACTATTTCATCTACATCGTCTAATATAAATGTTAGTTCAGTTTGTTCGATAACACAATCAATATCATTTACATGTAATACCAGTGTTCGAGCATGAGCCAATAAAATATTAATTGACGTAAGCCAAATAATGAGATTAAGAAATCTCTTCACTGATTCACGATAACAATATCTATAGAGAAGATATTTCCATGCTACTTCGGCATATTTATTTTGAATTTCGAGAATATGGATAGGATTTGTTAGATCCTTCGACATATTCGAATAATAAAGAGAATTATTTTCAGAATAGCTAATAATGACATCGACAATTTAACCAAGACAATATCTGAATCGACAAAGCCGGCTGCCCAAACATGAATATCAATGCTATTCTTTCCATATTTTCTATGCACCGCATTCAGAAAAGCATCTTGACTATATAAACTACAGTGTTGCATTATGAACACACTACCCAAACAGCAAACATTATCAGCAGCACTACGAAGCATAATGGCTCAATTGTCAAATGATAGATTACGAAGGTCGTCATTCGAATGAAGGTACGCTCCGGCTGTGTTATAAATGCATACTAAGAATTGTTCTACACATGATGTGTACATCCTGTAAGATGACTGGAAACCATCGGGCATACGTATCAACTGCTGTGCAATAGAAAATACTGGACATTCTTTAAAATAATTGAATAAATTTGTAAAAAATACCCATTCATCATTGGTCAATATTGATTTATCCGATTGTAAAAGAGTTAATGTTGGCAACTAATTAAATAAATAGAAAAAAAACAAGCACACTTTAATGAAGGAAAATATGTTCTTGTGAGAAATCTAGCATGACCTCGTAAAGAAGTTATTGACTTATATATCAAGATTATAATGTACTCAAACGGTTCACTTAAATGAATATGACAATTCTCCGGAACATGATCGCATTCCATCAACAAACACAAATTTTTTCGAAGGAATGTATTTCGATAAATGCATGGAAATAACCTTACCCTCTCTGGTTGACATCGTGCTTGTAATCGAAGTGAAATAATAGTTTTGGGTTTAATCTGTCTTGATGGACGAAATTTGTCAGTAGTCATTCCCCATTTGAAACATTTGGCAAGTCGGCATGCTGGACATGCATGACGATTTTTCATACTGATTTCACATTGACCATAAAAGTTACATATTAGCATATCCTAAATGAAATGGAGTGAGAATTACAAGACAACAAAAAATCGATCGAACCTGCCCGACATTGGCATTCCGTTTAAAGAACATTCTGCATGGGTGACATGAAACAACACCGAAAGCCCGAATATAAAGCAGGAGCATCACATATCTGGCAATGATGTGTAGGTCTTTTCAATAGTTTAATATCGCTTGCCATTTCTTGAGTCATCGCATTAGTTGAGGTTAACGTTTTCAATAAAATTTACCAAAGATTAAACTTTATTTAGGGAAAACAATGAATACGAGTATATGACAAAGCCAAGTGTAGATATTCTTCTATATATCATAGAGCGGTAACATTATTTTGATTCTAACCAGCATAATATATGCAAGGCTCGACAAATCTACGCTATTCATTTCTGGAAAAAAATGTGTTTTATTTTACCATTCAGAATAAACTTTTCATTTACCTCGTTTTTTTATCTCTCACAATTTATTACGCAGAAACTTAAACTAAGTATGGAAATGCCTGTAGAGTCAGGATTTTAATTGAGGGCAATAGAAATGTTTTTAAGAAAGCATAGTGAAGAAAAACTACTCGTGCTGTGTCGCACACTCATTCTATTTCTTTTTTATTCGCTTTTCAAATTAAATACAAAATAAACGAGGAAACATCGGACTTGCATCCGATTGTTACGTGTACTGCAAAAACTCAGTCGATTTATATATGTTTTGAATAATTCTGAGAAAGAAATGTTTTTTTGAAAAAATCCCTGTACCCCCCTCCACCCTCAGGGATGGTCTGGTCAATAATGACAGTTTTTTCGATAACTCAGCTATTTCTTGGCGGATTCTTCTCATCTTCGAACTCAACTGAGATATTGATGAGATGATTCTGTGTACAAAATTTTAAGACAACTGGATGAGGCTTTCAAGAAATATCGTGTTAACGGCCGGACACACTGACCGAGTCTAGAGTGTACTCACTTTTTGAGTACACAAAAACCCTTATATTAATGATGCACGCTCGTTCAGTTATACTCCTATGATCATGAAACTAAAGATAAAACCGTTGAATGATGCGTGATGAGGAATGCAGCGTTGCAGCTAAAATATTTATATTCTATCAACGGGCTTTGATATTTTTACTAATAGTATCCATTCAATAACGGTTACATAATCCGAAAAACCCTACTGAGTATGATGAACAACTTTTCATTGAAACGCACTTCCATTCTTTCTTTCCGCAGAGGCAAATTATTTTATGAATCGAAGTCAAAAGACGCAAAACAATTTTCATGAAATACAAGTTTTGATATTTCTAAACGTTCAGTTCAATGTTCTTTGGGAAAATACAAATACATTGGTGATTTTCACGATTTACCCAGTTGTGATAAGTCGAAAAGAATGCGATATTCGTATGTTTCAACAGTGGATTGAAAATGATGACTTTTCAACTTCTGCTCATGAAATAATGATAATAGAAATTGATATACAGAGGAACAAATATTTATATGGAACAGACTTAGTCAGCGATATATCAACAATTTTTCGCGATTAATAATCTGAACGAGACAAAAATTTGGCTCACAAAAGATGAGCAATGGCTACACGAATGTAGTGAAGTTATTGCGGTTATTTATATGGTTCGAAAGAGCCATGACAATGCAGCTATCCGAAAAAACTTACATTTTTCTTGTCACTCGAAAACAGAAAACTAAAGTCTATTGTTGTGCTGTATTACTCACATGCCGTTTTTTTATTCAATAAGTATGAAAAGAAATTTGAAAATAGTTTTTGATTTTGTTAATCTAAGTAGAGCTTGAAAACGTTTGTATTTAATGACTTTTGCAGATTTAATGCATGATTTAATTAGATTAATACAAAAGATAATACTACACTGGAAAAAAAATAGCACCACACGGAACCAAGAAAGTTTCGAATTTTCTCACTGAACTTTAAAATGGTTTCGCAGGCACTACGAAACTTAAAAAGGGTTTCGAGATTTGAAACGAATTCTGAACCTTTTTTAGGTTTCGTAGGTTTTCCACAAAACCTTCGAAAAAGTTTCCTGGGCTCTTGATAATAATTTTGAGACTATCTTGGGCTTTTACGAAACCTTTTTGAGGGTTTAGAATTCGTTTCGAAAATGGCTCCGTATGGTGCTATTTTTTTTCCCAGTGTATATAATTATATGATGATAAAAAAGAAATAAGAAAATTATTGTGAACCTTCATGATACTTTCTTCTTGACAATGTTTTCTTTCTAATATTTTTCCTATGCTTGATGAAGTTTGTGACGTAGAGTGTTGTGCTATACTTAGCTTTAAACTATCTTTTTGATAGACACCGACTGAGATGGAAAACAAAACGGATAAAAGCCAGAATTTTCTCATTTTATCTCTAAATAACAACCTAAATCTGTCGAGAAAAGCATCAACGATGCTGGTTAAAGTAAAAGTAACATTTTCGACAGTCTTATCTTTATATATAGACGAAGATCTATACTTGTCATTTTTAGACTTAATCTTATTGTTCTCATAAGTAAAGTTGCATAAGCCGTGAGCTGCATTTAGAAAGTTGACTTCGTATAAAACAGTGAATTCCTCGATGTGGAACACTACTGAAAGATTGAAAATGTTTCCATATCAATGCCGAATATGTACTGCTCCTGCTGCATTTTATCATCAAAATGTTATTTCTTGTTATCCATGCAAATTATTTTTTTAAACGGAATGCCAATGTGGGACAGGTTAACTTGTTCATACATAACACGTATATGTAGGAGAGAGACAGGATATATATATATATTAGAGCAATGGAAAGAGAATAGAAAGAGGAGGTAAGAAGAATCATCTAAGCGTGTCATTGATATCGGCACACAACCGATTAATCTATAGGTGATATAATTGTTTTTCGTTGTAAGGAACGCGGCTTGATCGACATAATAAATAAATTTTGTGGTTCTTGATTCATTTGAATTGAATAAACACCAACGTTATTTAAATTAATATCAAGTATACTGATAGTCCAATGAGTTAATTCTGATGATGTACCAATTGGTGGATTAATTTCAAAATCATTATATAATGGAACATTATTTTTGAATAGAATAACATTATCTTTTAATAATAAATTATGATTATGTTGGAAAAATATTTCGATAACTATATCATCACCTAAAGTAAGAAAATTAATTAAATGCTAATTTAACAGGTGATTCATATTCATCTTTTAAGATTATTTAAAAGAAAAATTTGATTTGTAAATATATAATCAATTATTAAGAAATTTCTATATATTTTATTTGGATTCTACTAAACTAGTTTTTAAAAATAAAAATCAATTTACCTTCTGTGATTTGTTTTCTTGCAATTGAATTTGACGACTTCTATTAAGGAGTCTTGAATATCATTTCTTATTGTCATTGTTCTTAAATCAATAAATATTATATGGTACTGTTTCTCTATCAATTTGAAAGGTAAAAAGTATTTAATCAAAATTTTTTTGTTGTAATTACTGGTTAATGCTATTTGTTGTGTTGAGCATTCGAATACTATTTTAAGTTTATCATCAACTAAATCATATAGATTCTTTTCATCCTGGTGATACCATTTAAATGAAATAAATGCTTTATTTATTTTTAAATGAATAGATTCTGCTGGTTCAACTATTGGTTCCCAGGTCGAACAGTACGGTCCGTATACGACCGTTGACGGTTACTTTACGACTATTTTACGGGCGAAAGTTTGCCGTAATATCTGGCGCAGTAATACGGACCGTATTATCATGAGAGTACGGAGCACAAACAGCCGTAAACCATGAAAATTCAGTCCCGTTTACGGTGTCGTATTATTGTGCCAGGTATTACAGGCAAATACGGCCTATTTACTGCTGTAGATATACCGTTTTGACATTGTTTACCGTCGATAAACAGACCGTAAATGGGTCCGTTTTGATCAACCTGGGTTGCCAAGCAGTTGATTTATCTATATATAACAAATTTGAATCATTGATTTGTACCATTCATGTAGTTTTACAACAATTTTCAAGATGACATGTATATAAACCGGAATCATTTTCAACTACATTACTTAAAATTAATATAGATATTGAATCAATATTGTAAGTTTCCAAACGTTGTTGTGATTCTGATGAAATATCTAATTTATTTTTAAACCATTGAACATCTTTTGGTTTACGATTTGTTTCACAAAATAATATCAATTTATCATTTTCATGTAAATATATTTGTTCAGACAATAAATTAATTAATTTTAATTCATCTTCAAATGTATAAAAATCATATGATGCTAATTTATTGGTTAATGATTCTGGTAGATGTTGAATAATGTTTAAATTTTCATGTATAACTTCTACCTTAGCATGTGTTAATGCATTTTTAACTCGACAAAAATATTCTCCCCCAGGTGAAAGAAAACGGCCTCAAAACGGCATAAAAACGATGGCCGTTTTCTAGCAAAAAAACGGCCCGTAAAACGAGCTGACGGATTACGGCGAAATAGAGCGAAAATTAATGCCGTTTTATGTCGTTTTATAGCCGTTTCCGATAGCCTTTCAGACGGCAGGATGATCCTCCTGGGTAATGGTCTATAGTTCCATAAAATCTAGAGCCAAGAATTGAACCGGAGGCGGGTCTTTAAAAACTTTCAGAATAGGAATAGCAGCCGTAAAAAAATCACCGAGGAATCGGCAAAGGAGCGGAAAACATTTTAGCGCTATAGAACCCAATCGAAATCACGATTCCGATTCTGGTCATGGGTAATTTTTGGAACCGCGCTCAGGTCGAACGGTACGGCTTACCTATACGTGCGAAACTTATACCATGAGTGGAATTCGGTAATTATTCTACTGCTGAATTTTTATAAGCCAACCAAATGAAGGTGGTTCATTCTTGAAAAACATTTTTTTTGTTTTGTATTTTTCTTGTCTGCTTGTATTTATTGTGAAAATTCATCAAAACAAAATTTAAAAAAAAAACTTATTTTGTTTCGTTGTTAATTTCAGTGATTATTTCTCGAAGAAGTTGATTAAAATTATCAATTAAGATATTGTCACTTATAACAAGAAAAAGGATAAATTTGTGAATAGCTAAAACAACGGCTAGACTTGAAATGTCCATGAAAAATAAGATTCATGTTTAATCTTTAACATGAATAACAAAGGACATTATCGATCAGTCGGTTCTTGTCAGACGGGTTATAATTCCGATGTAACATGGTGACCCGATTCGGTCGGTTAATTTCTGGTGAATTCCGATGATTTTCTTTGTTTTCTTATCAAATCTGGTTACCAGATTCTCGGAGAACCGGCCAGATTTGCATTGCCGGAAAATATCAGGTCAGATGATACGATTGGACCGTATACGGCGTGATCCGACAATATCCGGTAACGAAACTTTGCCGGAATCTGCCGTGCGGCATGACGCTCGATTTCATCGTAGATCCGGCTTAATCAGTCTCACTGGAACCAATCGGATCATATCAGCACCAAACGGTCCTACTCACCGGATTAAACCACTTACTACAACACCGATCTGACCAACAACATCTGCAACTAATTACCAGATGCTAAAGGAAGATCTTGTGATCTATTCCGACCCTTAGTTAACAGCTCACACAACCGATGAAAAGCATGAATTAAAATTATGGTTCATCCAATAGTTTATTTATGAAAACTCAATCCACATCAGCAATACGATTAAGTATTTATTGATGCTGAGCGAAGTNTGGTTCATCCAATAGTTTATTTATGAAAACTCAATCCACATCAGCAATACGATTAAGTATTTATTGATGCTGAGCGAAGTTATCGACCCAAATGAATCATACTCAACTCACTTATCATAACTCCAGCTAATATAACTTAATTCTACGATCAACTCCTGGTCTAACCCGAAATTCACAGCCATTAATGATAACTCAGGGCAAGATAAACTTGCTATATGCTCATACTATCTTGTTCGTCCATGCAACTCGACAAAATTTAAAACGCGTTACACACATGTTTCCTCGGTCTGACAACACCAAAAGCATCATTTCAAATAACCAACAAACGCCTATGCGGACGCTCGAATGTTGCATACACATAATATTAAAAATTCCATATCCCATTAAATCATTTTCGCATGTCACTCAAAATCCTGTTCGATGAAAAAAACCTTTGTTGGAACCATCGAGAATGATTTTTCTGAACGATTCTCTATGTCTTAGTGAATTTTGCGCTACGCTCAGGTTGGACTGTAGAGTGTTTTTCGTGGAAGGAATGTGTGGTTGGATCCGTAGTGAAAGATGCTCAGAGTCCTGTTTCACGAGGAAAAGGTGCTTTGGAACGATCGAAAATGTTTATCACAACGATTTTCTATGTTTTGGTGAATTTTTGGATGCCTCAAAAATTGTGTTTAGAGTGATTTTGGGTTTGTGTTTATGGAACAAGATAACTCTTGAATGATGTTTACAATGATGATGATTGATGAAAAATTAGTGAGGATGTTCCAGAATGATATTCAGATGAATTTCTTGTGAATTATTAATGATTTCGATTGGTGCAAAATGATGTCTGGGGCGATGTTTTCTATAACTGAAATGCAGCAAGATGGCGCACTAAACGGGTTGGTAATTTGTTTAATGAATATGATGTATAGTCGGTTGGTTTTGGATCATTGTAAGTGTGGGTATTGGTGAGTCAGATGTTTTTGTTTTTGGGTTACAATTTTTTTTAGGGTGATTGCTGTTAGGGGAAATGTTAGTTGTGGACCCGTTTGAGCGATGAGGGTTTGGATTATGTGTGATTATTCATCAGGCGTAGTCGTTTTGGGTTGGTGTGCGTGTTTCTGAATAGTACAGCTGATTCATCTTGTGATTAAAGAACGCTTGTATGAGAGATTTTTTTATGAGGTCCTTGTCATCGGAATCTGATGGAATCCGGCTAAATATGTGCTGAAGCCCTTGTGAACCCGGGATGATGCGGTAGTCCGGATCGACCGGTAGCGACAATGTTCGATTGTATTATCCGGCAGGAAACGACCAGACCATTTTACTTTGAATTCCGGCCCGGATTCCTGGAGCAGAGATTCCGGCGAAATCCCTGGCGAATCCTGGCGAATCCTGGCGAATTTGAGTGGGAAACATGCCGGCTTCTGGAGTAATGCGTTGCTGGTTCCGATTGGTTCCGGTAAGATCCGGAGGCAGGATCGAGTGTCTTGAATATTTCCAGAATTCTTCAGCCTTTCGTCATTTATCAAAAAGAAGTATCATGAATCATCTGTTTCCATCCTTAATAGAGCATCTGCGACAAAGCGGATCACTTACTGATCAGTTTCACTGAAAAAATCCAAAAGCATGATTTCTGCATCTAAAACGTTATGGGTAAAGACAGAAGGGATGCCGTGCCCCACATTTTAATCGAATATTACCAAATCATTTATGACGATCCCCAACTTTTCAGATTCATTTATATCAAGCTCCTTCGTTCCGGTGTCACGTTGTCTCTGAAGTTCCCTATAGCGCGTTTCCATAAAAAACCAGACTTTGAGCAAAACTGATTTCAGCCTCATATCATTTTTCACGATTACAGCAGCAGATCAGAAACTGCAGTGCCACAATGTACAACATACAATAGTTCCTATACATCTTCACTACAAATGACAGTATAGATAGATTCCCTGTAATCTCTAGAAGCCTTATATATTGGACACTTTGAAATTCCACTTGACCTTTTCCTTTGCAACCGAGTTAAACGTTGAAGCTAATCTATACTGAACATATTTCTATATCGAATTCCAGTTGAACGTTATTGAAGAGATCCACTAAAGCAAGAAAAAAGCAACCTTTACAGGTACATCTTGGCTCGGAAAGATCCAATTCCGTGACAAGCATAAAGGAGATTTCGCTCATTCTTCTAAATTTTTACCCATTTCCAAGCATGATATTACTTTTTATTACCCTATATCAGTTTTTTGGTATTTTTTGACATCTTCTTCACTGATCCTACGTTCAAAAGATGATTTTTGCAGAATTTCTTTGATGCTTTTTGTATTTTTCAGATTTCTTATGATCCGTGCTTGAGGATAGACGGAAAATCATATGGACTCAACTGTAGGTGATCCCGAGCGTGTTAGGGTATAGAGAGTGCTCCGAAAAAAAAACTGTTTGAAGCGTGATTTGATGGTTTCGGTCTGATCTGGAGGAGGTTTCCGGGCCTGGTTGCATTGTTTAATGTGATCTATATGAAAATGTAGTATAATTGATGTCTGTCGTGGGCTCACTATCTATCCGAGGGGTTTACGAATGCTTCTTTTTTGGTTTAGACTTACAGTCGTATAGCTGCAGTATTTGGTCGTTTCCTGTTGATGATACGGCCGTTTACCGCCGTATCTAGTCGTCGTAATGCTCGACCTGGGAAAGTACAATCATTTTATTTTATGTTATCTAATATAAATAAATTACATATTAATTTTTCTTTTCTTCTCTGCTTTAGTCTGTGTGCGTGTATCCACCCTCAAGCATCAATCTGCAATATCTATCATTAAATATTCAATATTTTATATTCGTTTTCAGTGATGCAAGTATAATTCCACAAATTACAATTCATTCTTATTTATTTTATTTTTGTTTCTTCTCTTATTTTAGAATGTGTTCACATCGATCAACAGCAATAATATTTGTTATTCTTCTATTCTTGATTGACTTATTCACCGGTGAATTGAAAGATAATTATCCTTTTTATGAATGTAAGTATATGCAAATATTAAATATTTTGCCAGGTGTACTTCTTTTTGTTCTAGATCGTCTATATTTTCTTTGTTTTTTGAACGGTTGAGAAAAGATTAAAAATCAAACTGTATAAGTGAGTATGACTTTTCTTGTGCAACTTGATCATTGAGTGTCTTCGATTCAATGAAGTATAAGTTTAAGTAATTTTTCAAATAAAAAATATACTTTTCTTTTTCGTTTCAGTGGTGCAATTTGGAATTCCACAAATTCCAATTATTTCGTTTCATTTAATCTAAAATAAATGTATGACATGTTCATTTTTCTCTCTTCTCTGTTTTAGACTGTATTCGCGAATCGATCATGAACAATCAAATAATATAAAATAACTATAAGTATGTACCAAATATTTTCTTTTCATTTCAGGGGTGCAATTTGGAATTATAGAAATTAAAGTCATTTTATTTTATTTTATCTGAAATAGATTAACTAAATGTTCATTTCTTGTTTAGAATGCGCTTGTAGCGATCATGAATAATCACTGTAAAATAATTATATGTAAGTAAGTATTCAAATAAACGATATTTTCTTTTCATTTCAGTGGTGCAAGTTACAATTGGACAAATTACAATTCATTTTTATATACTAAATTTTTATTTCTTCTCTTGTTTAGAATATTTGTTCACATCTATCAAACAGCAATAATATTACTATTCTTTTTTGTTGGTTGGCTTGTGCAATGGTGAATTGAAAGATAACTTTATTATTATATCAAATCTTTTTTTATCCGTAGATTTACTGCTTTCCTTTTTTTGTTCTAGATATTCTATTATGATGCTTGGAATGATTGGCAAATGGTTACGAATTAAACTGTATAAGGAACTATAAGTAATATTTAAAATAAACGACATTTTTTCTTTTTCGTTTCAGAGGTGCAACTTACAATTATCTAATCATGTTTTGTATCTAACATAAATAAACTATGTATTCGTTTTTTCTCTCTTCTCTTTTTTTTAAGACTGTATTCGCGTATCGATCAATAACAATAAGTAAGTATTCAATATGCTCTGTTTTTTCATTTCAGTGGTGCAATTTGATATTCTACAAATGGCAATATAATTTTTGTTTTCTATTATTTAACATTTAAAGAAACGAGATAGTAAATTTTTTCTTTTTGTTTAGAATGTATGTTCACATCGATCAACAGCAATAATGTTATTAGTTGTGAATTGGTAAATATATTCCAAATTTATTATTATATCAAATCTTTTTATACCGAGATTTACTTCTTTTCTTTTTTTTGAGCGGTTGACAAAACGTATGGCAATGTTTTTTGGTTTCTCTCATGTAACATAAAGAAACGAGGTAGTGAATTGTTCTCTTTTTTTCTTTTGCTTTAGAATGTGTTCACATCGATCAACAGCAATAATGTTTTTTAATAGGGAAGTATTCAATATATTCCAAATTTATTATTACATCAAATGTTTTTAAAGATTTACTTCTTTCCTCTTTTGTTCTAGATTGTCTTTTCTGTTTCTGGAAATGATTGACAAATGGTTACGAATCAAAGTGTATAATTAATTTTTAAACTAAGTAACATATTTTTCTTTTTTGTTTCAGGGGTGCAACTTACAATTTTCCAATTTTCTATATTCTTGGTATCTAATATAAATCTCTTCTCTTCTTTTAGGCTGTATACCCGGATCTATCAAGAAGAATCAATCTGCAATAACTATCATTAAATATTCAATATACTTTTCTTTTTCATTTCAGTGGTGCAATTTGGAATTCTACAAATTACAATTCATTTTTATATATTGAATTTTTTTCTTCCCTTGTTTAGAGTATCTATTCACATCTATCAACAACAATAGTATTGGTATTCTTTTCTTGTTTGGCTTGTACAATGGCGAATTGAAAGATAATTATTCATTTTTTTTATGAACATATTTGCAAATAGTTAATATAATCCAGATTTATGTCTTTTCTTTTATTTGTTCTAGATATTCTATTATGATGCTTGGAGTGGTTGACAAAAGGTTAAGAATTAAACTGTATAAGGATCTATAAGTAATATTTAAAATAAACAATATACTTTTCTTTTTCATTTCAGTGGTGCAACTTACAATTATCTAATCATGTTTTGTACCTAACTTAAATAAACTCTATATTCATTTGATTTAGTTGTATCTGCTTCTTTTTTCTCGTTCTAGATCTTCTATTATGACCCTCAAGAATGGTTGACACTTATAATTATATATCAATGGGTA